CAACCAAGGCAGAAGACCGAACGCATTCGCGAATGCTTCCGAATGGTCTCGATTTCTTCCTTGCAAGACTGCGAAGGCCAAACCAGAGTCGGGCAGCAGCGTCAGAGTGGGTCTTCGCTGTCCAAAAGCTCAACCCTTCCGCGCTGCTGTCGAATATTCGCGACGCCGGAAAAACTGAGAAACCCCCAGGCGGACAAAGGGCGCCGGGCTTTTTCGTTAAAAGGCTGCTGAAAAAGTGCTAAAATTTTTTTTGCCCCAAAGCAACACGGGGAGCACACGCGACAGCCGGGAAAAGGGGAAGGCGACCGCCTTGCCCCGGGCCCGAAGGCAGGCGAGGCGGAAGAAGGGGGCGACAACAGGCGCCCTCTGAGAAAAACCCCGGCCAAGCCTACTTGCGCGCCGGCCCCCTGGCGGGCCCCGCAAGCGCGCTGGCCGGCGGAAGGGCGACGGCTTGGGGCGGGAGAAAACGAAACATCTCCCCGACGGCGGATGTGCGCGCCACCCATTCGCGCCCCGAATGACCAGTCAGACTTGAGCAATGGTTCTCCCCATAGAACCTTCCCGAACGCCCGACCCTGCGAACGCCCCCCAAAGCCAATGACTCCCCCCGTTTCACAAGATGCTGGGGGGGCGGCGGGTCTGCTAAAAAAATGCTAAAAGTCTGCTAATTCAGTGCTAATCCCATTGCTCAATCCCCTGAAACCACATCCCGCCGCGCAAGTTTTGGTCTGCTGCAGTGTGTGCTAAAGTGTCTGCTAAAAAATTGCTAGCTCTGTGCTAAAATGCAAAAACCCACAAAACGTTCCCGCTTTGGGGGGTCAGGCATTTTAGCATCAGAATTAGCAATGCACTTAGCAGGCGAAATTGCGATTTTAGCAGTGCCCAAAAATGTCCACTCCGGAGTCAACTCCGGCCCAAACTCCGGCCCCTGCCGGAGGACCGGATGCCCTCTCCCAAAACCAGAAAAGAGCCCAACCGAAAATAAAAAAGCAAGACCGCCTCCCAGCACGAAATCTCCAACCACCGAAGTCGGCCATTGGAGATTTCTTCTCGGAGCTGCGTATCTTGCTACTTTTCTATGGCCCTGCGCAAGTGCCCCTGGCGGAGGACGAAGGCGTGGCGGGCGCGGCAGGGCCTCCCACCAAGGGCTTTCGCACCCTGGCTATGTTCCCCGCCGCGCCCGCAACTAGAAGCTCAAGAATGGGAAACCGCCGAGAGCAGAAAAAGGAACACCGGTCGGGCCCGGGGGGCAGGCCCTAGGAACTTCAGGCGCGTGGCGGAAGCCCTGAAAAGCCTGTGGGGGGGACAGAGAAAAAGCACGGAACCCGTTGAGGCCGCTAGCAGACCAACACCCGGGGGCCGGTCTTTTGATTTTAGCAATTCTCTAGCCCATTTTAAGCGGGAAAATCCGGCGGCATGTGTCCGCCTGAAAACCCAAAGCATTCGGAGCGGCCTCCGAATGGTCGCGGTCAACCAAGGCAAAGACCGAACGCATTCGCGAATGCTTCCGAATGGTCTCGATTTCTTGAAAGACTGCGGAGGCCAAACCAGAGTCGGGCAGCAACGTCAGAGTGGGTCTTCGCTGTCCAAAAGCTCACGAATATTCGCGACGCCGGAAAATAAAACCGAGAAACCCAAAGCATTCGGAGCTGCCTCCGAATGGTCGTGGTCAACCAAGGCAGAAGACCGAAAGCGTTCGCGAATGCTTCCGAATGGTCTCGATTTCTTGAAAGACTGCGGAGGCCAAACCAGAGTCGGGCAGCAGCGTCAGAGTGGGTCTTCGCTGTCCAAAAGCTCAACCGTTCCGCGCTGCTGTCGAATATTCGCGATGCCGGAAAAACTGAGAAACCCAAAGCATTCGGAGCTACCTCCGAATGGTCGTGGTCAACCAAGGCAGAAGACCGAATGCATTCGCGAATGCTTCCGAATGGTCTCGATTTCTTGAAAGACTGCGGAGGCCAAACCAGAGGCGGGCAGCAGCGTCAGAGTGGGTCTTCGCTGTCCAAAAGCTCAACCGTTCCGCGCTACTGTCGAATATTCGCGATGCCGGAAAAACTGAGAAACCCAAAGCATTCGGAGCTACCTCCGAATGGTCGTGGTCAACCAAGGCAGAAGACCGAATGCATTCGCGAATGCTTCCGAATGGTCTCGATTTCTTGAAAGACTGCGGAGGCCAAACCAGAGGCGGGCAGCAGCGTCAGAGTGGGTCCTCGCTGTCCAAAAGCTCAACCGTTCCGCGCTACTGTCGAATATTCGCGATGCCGGAAAAACTGAGAAACCCAAAGCATTCGGAGCTACCTCCGAATGGTCGTGGTCAACCAAGGCAGAAGACCGAATGCATTCGCGAATGCTTCCGAATGGTCTCGATTTCTTGAAAGACTGCGGAGGCCAAACCAGAGGCGGGCAGCAGCGTCAGAGTGGGTCCTCGCTGTCCAAAAGCTCAACCGTTCCGCGCTACTGTCGAATATTCGCGATGCCGGAAAAACTGAGAAACCCAAAGCATTCGGAGCTACCTCCGAATGGTCGTGGTCAACCAAGGCAGAAGACCGAATGCATTCGCGAATGCTTCCGAATGGTCTCGATTTCTTGAAAGACTGCGGAGGCCAAACCAGAGGCGGGCAGCAGCGTCAGAGTGGGTCTTCGCTGTCCAAAAGCTCAACCGTTCCGCGCTACTGTCGAATATTCGCGATGCCGGAAAAACTGAGAAACCCAAAGCATTCGGAGCTACCTCCGAATGGTCGTGGTCAACCAAGGCAGAAGACCGAATGCATTCGCGAATGCTTCCGAATGGTCTCGATTTCTTGAAAGACTGCGGAGGCCAAACCAGAGGCGGGCAGCAGCGTCAGAGTGGGTCTTCGCTGTCCAAAAGCTCAACCGTTCCGCGCTACTGTCGAATATTCGCGATGCCGGAAAAACTGAGAAACCCAAAGCATTCGGAGCTACCTCCGAATGGTCGCGGTCAACCAAGGCAGAAGACCGAACGCATTCGCGAATGCTTCCGAATGGTCTCGATTTCTTCCTTGCAAGACTGCGAAGGCCAAACCAGAGTCGGGCAGCAGCGTCAGAGTGGGTCTTCGCTGTCCAAAAGCTCAACCCTTCCGCGCTGCTGTCGAATATTCGCGAGGCCGGAAAAACTGAGAAACCCAAAGCGTTCGGAGCTACCTCCGAATGGTCGCGGTCAACCAAGGCAGAAGACCGAACGCATTCGCGAATGCTTCCGAATGGTCTCGATTTCTTGAAAGACTGCGGAGGCCAAACCAGAGTCGGGCAGCAGCGTCAGAGTGGGTCCGCGCTGTCCAAAAGCTCAACCTTTCCGCGCGGCTGTCGAATCTTCGCGATGCTGGAAAACCTGAGAAACCCAAAGCAATCGGAGCTGCCTCCGAATGGTCGCTCGCGGCCAACCAAGGCAGAAGACCGAATGCATTCGCGAATGCTTCCGAATGGTCTCGGTTTCTTGAAAGACTGCGGAGGCCAAACCAGAGTCGGGCAGCAGCGTCAGAGTGGGTCCTCGCTGTCCAAACGCTCAGCCTTTCCGCGCGGCTGTAGAAATATATTTTTCTGAAGGGCTTATTATTGAAAACTCTCACAGGGAATACATCAAATAAAGCTCCTGTAGCTGTACTTGCGAGCTGTAAGCTTTTATCTCGCCGACCACTAGTACGAAGAAGTAGTTCCCCGTGAAAACACGCCTGTGAAAAGAGAGGACGAGCAAAGCTTGTGCTACTCCTACCCACTACCGCTTTCTTTCTTTCTTTCTTGTCGTGCCTGGGCATGGCGTCAAATGTTCAAGGCCCTATAATACTCCATCCCACTACCGCTAGCGCGGCGTGCTCTAATCTAAAACGATTCAGTATTGCATTTAGCTGACCAAAGCGCCTTATCAAGAACTGGCCGTAATGTGCTCTTTCCAGGAATGATCCACATGATTGTACTGATAATTTGTTTTTGCGTTTTCTTCTCTCGTCGACTTTCTGATGATCCTCTCTTCACCTTGCTGGTGAGGATCATCGCTATGTCTTCATTCTGGAACCTAATTCAACTCACTCTATCAGAACCTAATTTCTTCCACAGACGATCCGAAGACGAAGTCGTTGTAGATCACAATATTTCTGCGATAGTGCTGTTTGGCTAAGGCTAACTAACCCAGGTCGCAAACAACGAAAAAACCTGGTGCTCAGGCAACATTCGTAGTTGTACGATTTTCAACGGCTCCCCTCCATCGAAAAAGCCAGCACTTTCTTCATGTCGTGGTGATCGCAATTAAGTACTACTTGGTCGACACAGGGAAGACCCCGGTGGATCTTGCACACTGCGTTCGTGTTTTGAAATGAGACTCTCCAACGGTAGGTCGACGCGTCGGTCCGAGCGCGTCTATACGAGCGCACTCGCTTTCAGATCCAGCTTTTTAAAAAACGTGCCTTCTTTGTTTTTTTGGAACAGACCGTCTCAAGCAGGAGGCGGCATGATGCGTTTATGATGTGGTCTCTGGTTTTTTTGCTTCAAAAGAATGAAAACCACGTCGACAGTCGACGCTCGCTTTCCATATTTCATTTATCATTCCCGACCAAAAAAAGCTACTGTGATTGGCGCTACAAATTCGCAGCCAGATTTGCTTTCGCACCCAAGAATGAGCGCGGCTTCACAAAACTTTCAGTGTTCACATACCAGTCTTGGAAGCGTCGTCGCCAGCCAACGCGTGCTCCCAAAAGTGTAAAGTGTTAAGAGAATATTTTTCCTCCGGAAAAGTTTCTGAGAAGCCTTTCGTTAGCCTAGTGCTTCTTTAAGTACGTATACAACATCTTGGGTGAGCAGCTTCTGGTTTTGGACTACGCCGGCGCTTCACTACCGAAATAGGGCTGCGCTACAACTTTTTCTTGAAATGCGATTTCATCCGCCCGTAGTGATGCGGCACTTTCTGGCGAGAGCATTTCCATGTCCAAAATTTCCTGCGGAGAAAAGCCGGTCTCGATCACGAAGCGAAAAAAACTGAGTCCGGCATCGGTGTCCCAATCGTAGGTGTCATAATCGCAGGGCTCTACGATGCGGTAAAAACGGCGGGTTTCTTGCAACTCGGCGCGCAGTTGCGTCTGTGCATCCTCATCGTCGTACGGCTTACCCGCCTCTGCAGCGGCCATGGAACGTCGAAAAACCCAGACCTTGAGCGGACGGTCTGTCAGGAGATTCCGGAAACCTTGCATCTGGGGATCGCGTCCTTTGTACTCGTACTCGCGACAGTCGAGGAATTCCAGCATTTGGCCGAATTTTGCCACCACCTGCAGTCCCTGGAAAACACCAATGTGGTCGGGATTTGATGTGCGGAGTTGGGGCCCGGGAACGCCGCGTTTCATCGCATGCAGCATGGCGCCATTCCAATGAAGATTCGAGTGGAGAAGATCCAGCAAAACAGGCGGAACGCGATTTTCACTATCCGCTCCCGTGATGATGAAACTGAACTTGTAGTTGGTAACTGGTGCGACAATGTAGCCGGACCGACCGGCCGCAATTACATTATCGCAGAGGCGGACCTCATCTTGCGTCCGCTTGCTAATTCCCATCCCGAATTCCAGCCGAAAAACATCCTCTGGCGTTTCTTTTTCTTCTAAAGCGACTGCTTGTGCCTCACCATCCATGGTGATTTCATCACCTTCGAGCGAAAGAGGCATGCCCAGAAGCAACTGCGGCGAAGAGCCTGAAATGCGGTTGCCACTGCTGTCCACAAGTCCCTTGTGCCAGAACTGCAAACACATGTACGGGTCAGCTGATGGCGTTCCGTCGGGGAGCTGCAAGTGCGTGTGCACCATCCTGACCTGATTGATTGCACACTGCGACGTGCTGCCCTGGCTCTTGCCGCGGTTCATAGAAAAACAGCGGTTCCGCAGCCGATCACACAAAGTCTCGTCACTGATATCAATGTTGGTTTCCGGACAATAGGCACGTAGGCAACACCAGGACTTCCCACCGTCGTCCGGCAGCGGTTCGCAGACCAAGCGCACGTCCACTGTGCCCGCTGTCGTGGATGGATCATTCGACTGTAGTCTCAATTGTGCATCAAATCAGGCAAATAATGCACTGCAATGGTTCATCTTGTTGGGTCTCTGAAGGTGTAAACAGCAAAAGGCTTTATCTTCATGAATGAGAAACAGTTGAAAAGTTAAAGCAAATACACGAGCCTCCTTCTTGCAGTCCCGCGGCAGCCACACCTCTGCCAAGAAAATTTTGAGTTCGGGAATTCGGACCAGCTCCCGCGCCGACAATTTTCCGTAAAGCAGGCAACCTGCAGCGCATGTTTCCCAGTCCTTCCTTCATCGTGACACCAGTGGGTAGTCCGACGGCAGGCTGCGCGGCGCGGCAGAGAGTGACTGAAAAACAGGCGTATTTGATGACAAATGTCCAGGCATTCACCATGGTATACTAGATTCTAGTTGGCCATCGCCAAAGTGTAGTGTTGTGGTATCCATATAAAAGAAAGAAACACGAGGTCGCTACTTTTAAAATCCACTATGCTACTGATCTAAGACAGAGCTTGTCCTTTTTCAAGATTAGCCTGAGTTCTCGGTCGACTCGATTGCTTATTCACAAAAAAACTAGCTCGGAAATGTGAGTCGAGCGATTTGAAATGTTTTTTTTTCCTTTAGAGACCTGGAATTCTTGCGCACATCACGCTTTAACACGCCTTTTAATATGAGAAAACAACTCCGTCTGACAAACAGTTCATCTTTGGACCATGAATCGCTATTATGCTGCCTAGCCGCAGTGACGCAGTCCAGTTTTTCAGCGGAACTAGAGCTCTACTGGATTTCGGGATTACAGTTTCGGCTTTGCAGCTACTAAAAGAACAATTTCCAGACTAACGCTCTATTGCTCGGATATCTTGTTAGAGATAGCTGATAAATCATGCTGCGAAGGATCGATTTGGAGCTCCAGGTGTATTTCCATCAGCGGAACCAAGCGAGGTTTTCGCCCGTCGCTCAGTTGCATTTTTCAATTCAAAACCAAGGTAGCTGATACCACAATAAATGGAGCATGTGCACTGCGACCGGCTGTTCGACGTAAACAGAGGCTGCATTTTCCGCCGCTCACTAAATGGCAACTGCGATCCGCTCTATAAATGATATCCTGGCCTGCTATGATACACCAAATTGCAATTCTTAATCCCCGTTGCCTCTCTAAAAAGCTCGAAGAGCGCATCCATACTGCGCATGGCCAATACTGACGCGACAATTCCATCAAAGGCTGCTACGTGCAATCTTGGTCCGTCTCGGCCCCTAAATGGTGCTTCTCTAACCTTGTACAAGGAGCCGCAACTTGCAGCCACCATGGAGGCCATAGTTTTCCGACAACTTCTGTGGAGTTCTTTGGATTTGGTATGTCGAAGAATATTTATCTGGCCTTAGATTTCCACTTCGCTCTGAATTTCTATATCCTGATTGCTGACCATCAACGAAATAGACGGCCAAAACGCAAAAAACTACGTAGTGCGAGTTTTTGAAGTTTCTACGTGGGCACAGGGGCCCTTCCACAAAAGCGGCGATTTTCCACAATTGCTACATTGAAAAAAAAAAGTTCTTGTGCAAAAACAGTCGCGGATAAGGTCTCAGACGCGCTTTTATTTGATGAAGCCACGTATTTATAATTTACTACTAAAAGAGATGTGACTAAAGGCCACAGATGCGTATTTTCAATACATAAATAGAATTATCCATAGCTTCTTGAAGAACTTTTCGTTCTTGGAAGGAAAACAAGAATCGACATAGTGCACTTACATCCATCAATTCTCAAGTGAGCTCGACAGCCCATGGGACAGAGCGGCGCCATCTCGTCTCGCAGAAAAATATTTTCGCACTACGTGCACGACATGAGTAAGCGCGTGACGAAACGGCTCGCGCGGTATCTTCGGGCTAAGTATCTGGCCAGACAGGCCCTCTTGCGTCATTTCTAAAACAACTCTTTGAAAAGATCGGCTTCAACTATCGGCGGCGCGAATTATCTAGAACCGCGCTCAGCTAGCCGGGTTGCGAAATTGTGGGAACCGCAGGCGGGCGATGCGCTCCTCGTCCGTCATTCTGCCCCCGCCCATGTAGTTGGGGTTTGCTTGGATGGCGTGGCGGTCCACGTGGGTTCGGCGCTGCAACACTCCTTGAAACCGCGCGTACGCACGTCTGCCGCCCCAAGCCTTCATGGTTGGAGTTCCTACAAACTTCTTTTTAGATTTCTGGTCCTGTATGTACTTGGGGACCGGATCCGGGTTGCCAGGATGGTTGGCGCGCAGCAAGTGCTGCACGGCGCCTTGATCATACGGATTTGTCAATCCGAAGTTGTTCTCGAGCTGCTGCCTCTCGGCGTCTCGCGCTGCACGTCCCGGCTTCACGTACGACACGACCTCCCGCCGGTCTGTAGTGTCTTGTCCCTGGTCGTTTGTGTTTGCAGCTTCCAAAATCATTCGTCCCATATGCCTCTGCGTTGCGACCTTGCGGTCGAACTCTGACACCGTCGGATCGTTTTCGTCATTCGGTTTTGGAAGCAGCGTGTCCAAACCATCTGGCGTTGTTGCCATATTAGCGGGACGCACGCTGACGCACGTCGGGTGCTGGTAGACGCCGTGCGTCTTCGACTTCGGGTGATCTTCGCTGGGAGCGTCTCGGTTTTTCTTCACAACCATATGACTGTACGGCTGCTGCAGCAGTGCCTCCGCAGCTGCTGCGTCATCGGCAGTCTCGACTTGGGTACTGTCGACCATGTGAGGCGGAAACCTGCTGTAGCCAGCGTTTGCCATATCCTGCTCACTTGGGGGGAGCGGCTGGACAGAAGCACCTTGAAAGATGAGTGCGTTCTCGTTCTTGTCGTCAATGACATTGATGTCACCGAGCGTGTTGATCATGGCCTCTGCATTGCGGTTTGCGCCATCCACAAACTCGGAACTGATCGTATTTCCCCCCCGGTTTACCGGCCACAGTGCTGTGATATCGGGGGCCTGATATTTGTTGCGGTTGTCTTGGCTGATTAGGTAAGCTTCCCGTGGCACCGCTGGTACGAGGTGAATATTTTCTCCGTTTGTATGGTCAAACGTCTTTTCGGACCACGAAAGCTCGTAAGACCCGTCATCTTTCACTCGGAAGTCTTGTATTTCTCGCCGATCAAGTTGATTCTTATACCCTGTCACCGTCTTCATCGTGTTGAGCGTCTGCTTGCGAAGTTCTGGCTGCGTTCGCATGATTTCCTTATAGCAGAGTAAAAACGTTCAAGCATTACAGCAACCCTGTCTGATCCGGCTATAGGCCGCAGGGGGCGACAACCACAAGTCCAAGTCGAATGAAAAAACCTTCATGCACATTCCTCCCAAATTGGAAAATGTAAAGCGCAATAGTTCTCGACTGGGTTATCTCGAAGTTTATGACTCTCATCATGTGCGATATGTTTTAAGGCGATCCTCTTCTGCTTGGACTCGTGCTTCAGCGTCTGGATCAGGTTCGCGATCAACGTCCCACTCATGCGTCGGCATGTAGTCGATCCGCGGTAGAACTATGGAGGTTGGACAAGCTTGTCTGGGCGCAAGTGGTAACTCAAAGCATGATCATGCAGACAATAGTCCTTCGCGCAGCGAGAGTACTGCTACGGCGAAGAAAAAATGAAAAGTCTACTTTTACCGATCGTTTCCAACTTATATTACGGACCCACAGAACAAAGGGGCCAGTCTCACTTCGCATGCAAACAATTTTTGCCATCTCCCTACGCCCACAAGAAGATCTTGTCATAAGATTGCTAAGATCGATGTTCCCGTCCGCGTCCAGCGTCCCGCCAACCTCTAGAACGGAAAGCGTCCGTGCCTGTCTTACGATAGGCAGATCATTATCTTCGTAATCATCCGCATCGCTACCTGCGGGGGATGCGCTTGGACCACTGTGATGCGTTCCACTGCTGCCAGCGGACGGGGGTCCTGCGGTAGATGAAGAGGATGCGCTTGGACCTGTGTGTGGCACTCTTTTGCTGCTAGCGGGCAAGGGCGTTGCGGTGGAAGAAGAGGATGCTTCTGCTCTCGGAAAAGTAGATAATCCCAATGGGTCGCCATTTCCTTCGTTGTTTGTTCCTATGAATTGGAGTTAATGTTTGTCCGCATTAAAAATATTTTCATTTTTTATCCGACAGAAAGTGAAAGAGGAAGAGCGCCTTTTCCTTTTGTGAGTGATCTCGTTATCGACGTGAAGTTGATCCTTACAGAGAACAACAAAAAGAAAAACCACCACCGAGACATCGGGAAACCATACAGAATACCGACGGAAGGCAACCACGTTTCCAAAACTTGTAAACAACACAAAACCAGAACTAAACTCAAAAACCAAAACTTGAGTTGAGTTGGATCGTGGGTTGATTTCTTGGTTGGAGCCCGGAATTCGAAATCGAAAAACATCAATCACAAAAAACCGACAAGAGTGGCTGAGGAAAGTTGCTGGGTACGACAGTATGCACCGCAACAAACTATCTACAACTCATTGGCCCAACCAAATTTGGACGAGCATTTGACGCGACCGAACTCTCACGTGTCAGTGAGCTCAGGCAGTTTCCATGTCACCAGGGGTAGAGGCGATCGCTCGGCAACAATGACATTGCCCATCGCTGGGTCGCGGAAAACTGCTCGTGGCTCGACTTCCCGGGAGAAACGAAAGGTCGCCACTGTTGCTCTGCAATTCCGGGAGCCATTCTGACGCTAGGTGAAGCTGCTCTTCAAAACAAAAATCAGAGGTAGTGAAAAGTTGCGGACTGTCGGTTATCACAAATTTCGCCCGACGAAAAATCAAATCCAAATCGGTAAAATAAATATAAAATACAATAGAAGAAACGCTTCTTTTGTTGAAAAGGTGAACGCAGAAAACCAAGATCAGAGACTGCCAACGAGTACTTGAAGTAGTTATTGTTGCTGAAGTGAATTGAATTTGTGAGGTAAGAGTGCTAATTGTTCAAAACAATTCAGGAAGAGCGCGCGAGCGGTTTTCAGCTACTGATGCACGATCACCTGTGGAGCAAAAAGAGTGCTGCTCGACGATGTACTTGCATTTTGATCAAACGCTTTCTCCCTCTGGAAGCGCCGCGTCGACAGTCGACGCCTGCGCTCCATATTTCATTCTACATTCTCGATAAAAAAGTGCTGTGTCTGATTCGGAAATCATTGGCACTACAAACGAAAAGTTCATAGATCGTAGTTGAAAAGTCCAACGCTTGCTTCCGAAAGCAAACGCAATAGAAGCGCTCAGTTGCTTGTTTCCTTTTCTGATTGCGTTCTAGTTCACTTCTTGTGCCTCTTGTCGTCTTTCAAAAAATCTGAATGGCCAAAGAGCGCTTCCGAGCGACTTCTCTTTTGTGTTGCCGGCAGGTTGTGCAAAAACGAAGTCGGAGAGCAGTACGACCAGAAATCCTCCAAACAGCTACAGCTCCCCCGGGACTTGGTATCACCAAGCGTAGTGGACCCGATCTGGCAAAGGATAAGACTCACACTCCGTCTGCTCCACGAATCGCTGGTATGGAAGGGAAGCTTCGTCCCACCTGTCAACCATCATCGCCTCCTAGCATTGATGCGATTCGTTTTCTGACTGAAAGCGCCGCGCTTTTACAATTGCTTCGTGACCAGGAATAAAATACACAGCATCTTCGTGTTTGTTGCTCTGCGTACGGCGAATTGCAGCAGCGGTGTACATGCAAAGTCAATCAGACATAGTGGCGCTTCTTCCCCTCTGTAAATTTGCGAGAACCGGGTCTGCTGTGGCTAGGTACTTTTTCCTCTCAACCCCGTCCAATCCGAAGTCTAGTTGTAACGGCAAAGCAGAATGCTGGTGAAAAAACGTGGGAAGAAAGTCTAGCTCTCGATCACGCAGCCACGCCAGCAGCACCCTTTTATTGTCATTTTCCCTATCAGTGATGAACGACATCCGCACGACGCCCAGTTTCTGCAGAAGCAAGATGTTTTTTTCGGAAAAGAGCTGCTGGATTGCGTATCCAGCAATGGCCTGGTCGACCATGAACCACAGGTCAATCTGCTGGGCGTCGGGCTTGTTGAGCAGAACAAACTTCAAGTCGTCAACAGTATCTTCAAAAACGTCTAGGTCGTAGATACCCCAGATGCGGAAACGCCAAGCGGGGGCAGTGGACTCCGCGATGCTGTGCCGCATTCTCGTCAAGACAGTGGGCGTGAGCGTGAGGGTGTGCAAGGAATCACAGCTGTTGCTTTTCAGAAATTTGCGTACTTCGTCGACGCCACGTTCTAGCAAGGGTTGCGCGTGTTTTCTTGGGTTCGTGCCAGTATCGCCGACTGGGACGCCCCATCGAGGTGCTCCCAATATCTTCGAGGGCACCACTTCATCGTCATCATCAGGATGCACCCGTGCCGCGTCGATCACAGCGAGCTCCTGCAAGCCCCGAAGCTTCGCCAAAGCAGCGCCAATCCCAGCTAAGTTTCCCCCAGCGACGAAGAGTTTCCTCAGTGTCACTGGAACAAGTTCGTTCTGCGCTAGCGGCTGCCAGACTTCAGCTTCCAGTCGCTCGTCCGCGTTTCCGTTCCAATAAATCTCGAGTTCCTCCAGCTGCGGTGCATTGCGAAAAAATCCTTCTAAACCAGTACCGATTGCGTCCCAGACAAAATGCTCGTGCTCCTCACCGTCGGGTTCATACTCCTCACCCATGGCCTCGGAAGCTTCGTTTCGGTGTTTCCCCTGAGATGCGTGCAGAAAGATTTTGAAACGTTTTACCGCTGGGAAAAGCGACGCGCATGGGTCCGGGCGCTGGGAGTTGATCGCCAAGTAGCTGAAAAACTCTTTTTGCCTTTCTGCAGGCCAATCTTCGGTCCACTGGGCGACGTCGTCTCTGTCTATGAAAGTGCCCCGGCAATCCAGCTGCAGTGTGTCGACTCCACCGAGGCTCAAGCAGTCTTGCAAAAGCTCGGGTGCTCCCCACAACATGTGGCTCCCGAGGGTGGTCGCTTCCCAAGGCTGTTTCTGAGCCGTGGCGCCTCTGTCTGGTACAGCAGCCGCCGTGGCGCCTCTGTCTGGTACAGCAGTCGCATCGATGATTTGAAACTCAAGGCGCTGCGATGCCTGCGGAAGCTGGTCAACGCCATCGACTTCCATCGCGTTCTGATATTAGTAAAATACGTTTTTCGATGCATGTCAAAGATCCTTAAGCGTGGCGCATTGGCCTTCTTGGGTGCCATCATCTTCATAATTTATCCATCTACTGCTCTGCCATGCTGTTTTGATCAGCGAGAGAATATTGTGCGTCAGAACAAACGCATGCCTGATCGGGTCGGGGCACAAGGACTATACTGCTTTTACTTTTCTTTGTATCTTGTTTTGCAAATGTAGTGTAACATTCTGAACAAGAAACAGTACCAAGGATCCACCAGTTCCCGTCGCAGGGACCAGCTCCTGCAGTCGGATTTTGAGCGGATTCTTCTCCGATGATGTGTCGCCCGTTGCGGAAGTTTTGATCTTGTGAAGGGCCACACCAGACCAGTGCCGCGGTGCAGCAGCTGCGTCTTCCTCTACGAGGTGTTCGTGAATTACTTTCCGCAGGTGCGGCACATACACATCGTCCGTGCCGGGTATTTGGGGAGTTTTCTCATTCGGCAACTGAACCTCCCTTACTCCACCCGACCTTTTCAAGAGCCGAATCGGAATCGGTCTAGCCACTGTCGTAGCGGGGGGACGAAAAAGGTCCGTCGTGCTAAGAACGCTGCTGGAGGCGTCATTCGTGCCCATCGCACCCGGAGAGCATGGGATCAAAGACACAACAAGCCAAGCAATTTGCTCACCGCATTTTGATTCATTCAGAAATCTATTTTCCTGAAGGATTTCCTGAAAACTCTCACAGGGAATACATCAAACGAAGTTCCTGTTGCTGTGGTTGCGAATTGTAAGCTCTTACCTTGTCGACCACTAGTACGAAGAAGTAGTTTGCCGTGGAAAGCCAATTGCGATAAGAGAGGACGAGCGATGGCCAATGGTACTAGTACTCGTACCCGCTAGCGCGACGTGCTGTAGGTTAACGCAATTCACTCGTGCATTTAGCTGGCCAAAGTGCCTGATCAAAAACTAGCCGCATCGTGCTATTTCCAGGAATGATCCCAATGGTTGTAGGAAGGCAAGTTGTTTTTAATTATTTTCTCTGCTCATCGACTTTTTGATGATTTTCCCTTCACCTTGCTGGTGAGGATCATCACTATGTCTTCATTCTGGAACCTAATTCAACTCACTCAATCAGAAGCAAACTGCTTCTGCAGACGATCCGAAGTCGCTGTTGGTCACAATATTTGTGCGACGAAAAAGTCATCACTTGCTTCGTTGTTGGGGATCGCAGCTACTAGTTTGTCGACACAGGGAGGACTCCAGTGGATCTTGCACACTGCTTTCTTGTTTCAAAGTGAGACTCTGCAGTGGCAGATCGACGCGTCTGCACGAGCGCACTCGCTGTCAGATCCGGCTTTTCAAAAGGAGTGCCTTCTCTATGTTTTTCAAACAGGCCGTCTCGTTCAAAAAACTTTGGCCCGGTGCGGGAGCGCGCAGAAGAACCGCCTCGTGATCAGTAAAAAGGGACTTTATCTACATGGCACACAACTTCATCGTGGCTGGTGGAGGGGCACAAGAACTCGTAGCGGTCGCTAGTAGGAGCCCCGTTCTGGTCCGACCCGTCTCACGGTGCCACAAGGCACAGCTTCACAAGACTTTCGCGTCTCACTTTCGCGTCCACGAATAGGCACAGCTTCACAAAACTTTCAGTGTTCACATACCAGTCTTGGAAGCGTCGTCGACAGCCAACGCGTGCTCCCAAAAGTGTAAAGTGTTAAGAGAATACTTTGCCTCCGGAAAAGTTTTTGAAAAGCCTTTCGTTAGCCAAGTGCTTCTTTAAGTACGTATACAACATCTTGAGTGAGCAGCTTCTGGTTTTGGACTACACCGGCGCTTCACTACCGAAATAGGGCTGCGCTACAACTTTTTCTTGAAATGCGATTTCATCCACCCGTAGTGATGCGGCACTTTCTGGCGTGAGCATTTCCATGTCCAAAATTTCCTGCGGAGAAAAGCCGGTCTCGATCACGAAGCGAAAAAAACTGAGTCCGGCTTCGGTGTCCCAATCGTAGGTGTCATAGTCGCAGGGCTCTACGATGCGGTAAAAACGGCGGGTTTCTTGCAACTCGGCGCGCAGTTGCGTCTGTGCATCCTCATCGTCGTACGGCTTACCCGCCTCTGCAGCAGACATGGAACGTCGAAAAACCCACACCTTGAGCGGACGGTCTGTCAGGAGATTCCGGAAACCTTGCATCTGGGGATCGCGTCCTTTGTACTCGTACTCGCGACAGTCGAGGAATTCCAGCATTTGGCCGAATTTTGCCACCACCTGCAGTCCCTGGAAAACACCAATGTGGTCGACAGTTGCGCTTTGAAGTTGAGGCCCGGGCCTCGTGATAAGCATCGCTTTCAACATTTCCCGACTCCAATAAAGCTTCGTGTGGAGAAGATCCAGCAAAACAGGCGGAAGGGGATTTTCACTACCCGCACCCGTGATGATGAAACTAAACTCGTAGTTGACAACTGGCGCGACAATGTAGCCGGACTGACCGGCCGCAATTACATTATCGCAGATGCGAACCTCATCTTGCGACTGTTCGCTTATTCCCCCGAGAAGTAGCCGGAGAACATCCTCTGGCGGTTCTTCTTCGTCTAAAGTGACTGCTTGTACCTCACCATCCATGGTGATTTCATCACCTTCGAGCGAAAGAGGCATGCCCAGAAGCAACTGCGGTGAACTGCCTGAAATGAAAATGCCAGTTCTGTCCACAAATCCATTGTGCCAGAACTGCAAACACATGTACGGGTCAGCTGATGGCGTTCCGTCGGGAAGCTGCAATTGCGTGTGCACCATCCTGACCTGATTGATTGCACACTCCGACGCGCTGCCCTGGCTCTCGCCGCGCTTCATAGAAAAACAGCGGTTCCGTAGCCGATCACACAAGGTCTCGTCGCTGATATCCATTCCAGTTTCCGGACAATAGGCGCGTAGGCAACACCAGGACTTCCCACCGTCGTCTGGCTTCGCTTCGCAGACCAAATGCACGTCCACTGTGCCCGCTGTCGTGGATAGATCATTTGATTGCCGCGATTCTGCACTTAATCAAGTAAGCCTGCTTTCCTGCTGAACCTGAATAGCAAAAACTCTCTACTTATGCAAGAGAGACAACTCCATTTGCTAAGTCAAAAGAACAAACACTTACTTACACAAACCTCCTCCTTCGAGTCCCGCGGCAGCGGCACCTCTGCGAAGAAGATTTTGGGTTCCGGAATATGAGCCCGCACCCTCGCGGGCGGTATTTCGCAAAGCAGGCAACCTGCAGCGCATGTTTCCGAGTCCTTCCCTCATCGCGGGCTGTAAGCTTTCTAACTTCACCGCATGAAGCTCTTGCAGCTGTTACACACTGTACGGCTTCTTCTCGTCGAGCACTAGTACGAAGACACAGCACACCATGAAAAGACAGTTGCAAAACGGGAGGGGAAGCCATGACAGCTGGTACTACTTACTCATACACACTTACGCGGCGTGCTGTACGGTAAAACGATTCATCGTTGCACTTATCCGATAAAAATGCTTCTCAAAAACTGTTTGTCTTGTGCTATTGCCACGAATGACACAAATGGCCCTTTGATCCTTGTTTTCTTCCTGTGCCCGGACATGGCGTCAAAGGTTCAAGGCTCTAAACGCGATCCAATTCTTCGCTTTTGTTCTCGATTTTCTTCTGATTCTGAACTTCAGAATCTAATTTTTCAGAACTGGCCAAAATACGCTCACCCTCTATGCTATCAGTCAGTATTATTTGCTAATATGCTATGCGTTCATTCTGGAGCCCAATCACACTTTATCCGAAGGAGATTTCCTGTGCAGAAGATGGATCCGAAGTCGTTGCAGATCGCCATATTTGTGCGATGATGTTTGGCTAAGCAACCCAGGTCGCACACGAGGAAAAACAGTGCTCAGGCAACATTCGTAGTTGTACGATTTCCAACTGCTCCTCTCCATCCAGAAAGTCAGCACTTGCACTTCCGGCATGCCTGGGGGATCGCAATTACTAGTTGGTCGACACAGGGAGGACTCCAGTGGATCTTACACACTGCTTTCTCGTTTCAAAATGAGACCCTGCAGCGGCAGATCGACACGTCTGTACGAGCGCACCCGCTGTCAGATCCGGCTTTCCAAAAGGAGTGCCTTCTTTATGTTTTTCGAACAGGCCGTCTCAAGCAGGAGGCGGCATGATAGGCGTGTGCTGTTGTCTTTGATTCTTCTCGTTCAAAAAAAATGAGCGAAGCCACGTCGACAATCGACGCTTGCTCTGCATATTTCATTCTAAATTCTCGGTCAAAAGCTACTGGGTTGTAAATCATTGGGATAAATCAAAAGGTTAAAGGTGCTTGCCGATAAGACGTAGTGAGTTCTCCTCTATTTTTGTCAAGAGGAAAAGAAGTTCCGAGGAACGTTCGCTCACCTTCTTTTAGAAAGAAAAAAATGCTTAGATCTCCTTGCCGAAATATCGAAATAAGACTGGCACTCGGGTGTTGTGAGTCTAGGAAAAAATAGATGTTTTGTGGGTAGTAGCACATGGCGTTCGACAAAATCACGTAGCTTTGAATGCCTCAGTAGATTTCCTGCACCCCGTTCTGAAAGCTGGCACAGTCACTTCGAAGATTTTGGGCATCTTCCGGCTTCAGCATGTTCAGCGCAAGAACTTCGTCTGGCGAAAAACCCGTTTCAATGATTGCGCGGAAAACTGCAGGCCATCCTAGCTCCACTGTTCGGTAAAACTTATCAGCGGCTTGCAACCGCGCACGAATTTCCGTTTGCTGTTCCTCATCGTCGAAGGGAGCCTCTTCTTCTGCAGCCGCGAGGGGGCGCTGAAACATCCATACTTTTATCGGTCTGTCTGTGACAAACATTTCCGCGCGGTCGTCTTGAAGCCCCCTGCCGGTGTTAAAGTACTGATCACAATACAGATACTCTAGTCCAGTTCCGTAATTCTCGTCTTTGCGGATTCCCCTGAACACGCCGTGTTTGGTCCTATCGGCATGTGGACGAAGCTGCAGCGCCGGTGTGTACAGCGCTTTAAGCATGTCATCGCTCCACAAGTCGTGGGTCAGCAAATCCAGACCGCGAGTATCGACCTCGCCCTCCCCCGGAAAAACCAATTTGAAGCCGTAGTTGCAAATGGGGATGACAAGAAATCCGCCCTGCCCACCGGCGTCGATTCTGCTATCACACAGGGAACTAGTCGCGAAAGATTCATGGCTCCCTTCGTCGTCCAGTTCCTCTCGAAGCACATCCTCCGGATTGGGTCCTTCCGCATTCTCCAAGGCGACGTCATGGCAACCCTCTTCTCCTGTGATTTCGTCGTCAGCCAGCGTAAGCGGCATGCCTAGAACAAGTTGCTGCGGGTAGAACTGCAAACACAGGTATCCACCTGGCGAGCCGCCGTCAACGCAATGGCTCATCTGCTGCATGCAGACGTGATTTATCGCAAATGGTGTTCCCTTGGGGTCCTTGTCAGCACAAAACCGCCGGTTCCGCAGGCGATCGCATAATGCATGCTCACTGATGTCTCGTCCTGTCTCAGGGCAGTATGCCCGAAGGCGACACGACGACAGCACTTGGTCGCCGACTTCTTCCGTTCTCTTTTCGCAAACGAGGTCTACCTCCACTGTTTCCGCTCCGCCGGAAACAACGACCATGGCGGTATCGGCGTCACCTGTGCAAAAATCACTATGCCAATTCCAGTACCAGAGTGAGATTGATCAGAAATTTTCGTTGGAAAAACAGTTGGGTGCTTTATTTTCGCGGAAAAAAGTTTCCAACTTCGATGCCCAACCTGAATCAAGAATGCCCTTTGTGATTACATCGCTGTCAGGTACTTGGAAAAAACTATAATTTAGAACCTCCATCATTTTCGTGCGCTGCGGTCTCATTCCTGCCAAGAAACTGTTGAGGCCAAGACGCTTGCTGCGTGCTCCCGTCCCTGGTGGTCCGCAGAACAGGGAGTTGACACCGCATGGAAACCCAATGGGCCATCATCGGTGTTCCCGGATCGGCGCCGCCCGACAGCCTGCGACAGGCAGAGAGACTCCTTTTACAGCAACTGTTCACGCACTCACCATGGTGGTGGACTAGACTTCGGGGCTCTAGCTAGAGCGACTCGTCTCTCGAAATATCTACCAAAAATGCTTGTAAGAGACTGGTCGTCTTGTTGTGCTTTTGCCAAGGATACCAAAAGATCGCGTGAAGACTTTTTGTTTTTTGAATTTTTCCGCCCTTGACCTTCTGGCCCGTTTTTCATCTTCGTGGTGCTGATCATCGCGATCCTTTTTTTCTGGAACCGAAGTACGAGTATTTTGTTTCCAAATATGTTTTTGCGAGTTCGGTCTGGTGTGAGAATCCTTGCAAAATGAGCACTCAGAGCGTCCCTGATCTTGGTGACACATCTTTCCGTCTTACAGAAAAAACAACCGTCACCGAATTAGGTCGACGCGCCTTGATTCTAGCCTCCAGATAGGACAATAAGATCTCGGCCCCGTACTCGAGTGCACGGGGCGACTGGTGATCGGTAAAGAACTACGACTCTATCTACTTACTTCGCACACAACTTCAGTCGCGGCTGGTAGACGGGCACAACTCGCAGCCATCGCTAGTAGTAGCCAAGCTTTCGGCCGACAAATCTCAGGCTGCTAAAATTGCACCCGCATGCAAGCATAGGGCCTTAGAGTTTCGTTGTCCATAAAGCATTTCACCAGTGGCATCATTCCTAGATGTCCTCGACCTCTGAAAACCCTCGATCCGGCCCGATCTTTCGTCGCATCGGGGAAGACGCAGGGTCCACCAGCAGCTTCGCCGCCAGATCGGGGCTCGCCGCCCATGCCGATGTTGTCACAGGCGTGTCTCCACCGAAGAGGTCCAGCTTCAACGGCAGTGTGTGCGACGATCCAATCTCATCGCACAGGCGCTGCGCTGCAGTGACGGCAGCCTCACCTTGCCATGGCAGCGGCGCTTCCGACCAGGTCGTGTATTCGGCTCCGCTTTGCAAAGCCAGCGTCTTTGTGGCGGAGAATCGAGCGACTCCTATCTTCTCCAACATTGGAAGGCTTTCGGTTCGCAGAAAATGCTTCATCAGGGTGGCATCTGCGTGTTTTATCCCAATCAAAGAAATCCCCATCCATCACCACAACAAATCAAGTTTGAAAAGTCAGTATTTGCTGGGAAATTTGTCTCAAATAAGTAATACCAGACAAACCTTTTATTTAACGAACCCGCATCTACCAATGCACAAATATTGATGTTGAAGCGTGTCAGCGCCAGTAAAGACGAAGTCGACTGAGTTCCCTGTATGCTTGACGGCGGATAAAGTAATGCTTGTTTAAGTAAGTGCTGGATGGGGAGATTTTGGCCATGATACCGTTCGCGAAGCCGCCAAACATAAACCATACGTCGAAAAGGGCGTGATCGTCACTGGGTGCTCTCTTGTTCTCGAGAACATGTTTCAAATCCAGCAAAACCTGCTGGTATACGGTCATGCCCGGCTTCTCAGCGGTGCGCGCGTCTTTTGTCTTGTGTTCCTTGTAGTACTGCTCGCCTGCGTCGCGGTGCTGCAGCGAAGACGTCACGACATACTGTTGCCGGTCCTCGAAAATGCCCCAGATTCTGATGCGGTAAATTGGTGCTGCGGAGGCGGCAATGGCGTCGCGCAAGGAATGCAGTACGGCCGGGGTTACGGTCAGCGTTTGCAAGTTGGTGGGCCGCACCATCGGCCAGAAAAGCAACTTCCTCACCCTATTTACAAACGGTATCTTTGATAGACCTCCTGCCCTCTGCCCATTTCCTGCCCTCTTCATATTTATACGAAATTTATCATAAAAGTCAGAAAAGGCAGAGCCTCCTCTTGAAGCAAATCTGCAAAGGAATCTGCACCATGGCGAAAGTAACCAAGGTCTATCGTCGTGCACAAGATGCTGAGAAGCAAGATTAGAGCCTGATAGCGCGCAGGCAATTTTCTGCGAATGTGGCTAGGAAAGCGTTCATCTGAATAACAGTGCGCAAAAAGTCCTGGATCGCAGCTAGAGCCTCGTCGCCGAGTGGTGCGACGTAATGGTTGTCGGAGTGGATGCAGTTGTGCGCGCCGGACGGAGCAAAGTTGTACTGTTCTGCGCCCAACCGTTGTTGCGAGCTATGGAGCGGAAAAAGCTGCGCCATTCCTCCGTCGTGTTGCGCGGCCGAGCGGGAGCACTCTCTGCGCTGCATTTACCCTTGTTGGGCCCCGAGGATTGCCTAGCAGAGAAGGTTGCGTGGGAACGCCACTTCTTCTCGAAAGGTAATGCACTTTCTCGGTCTTGCATCAGACGCATCGCTATGCAAACGCATTCATCTTTTCACTTACCTGAGATTTCCTTAGTCGACACTCAGACGAGCTTCTCGCGTGGCAGGCTCTATCACGAAAGGGGGCGCAGCATATTTTTCAGTAACCCTAGGTGACCTCATTCGTCCAATCGAACACCCGCAGCTCTTCCAAACGCGGAAACTTAGGCAACGCCGTTCCAAGTCCTCCCTGGTTGCCGCCGACGACAGAAAGAAACTTCAGCGTCTCTGCCACATGCGCATTCATGGACAGCGGGTTCCACACAAAATCGCGGATCGAGCCTTCCTCGTTCCCACCGAAAAAAACTTCCAAGCTCTCCAACGCCGATGCGTGCTGAAAAAACTCGGTCAAGTGGGATTTCATGATCTCCTCGTCGAAGCAATCCTGCTCTGGTCTGTCGTGGAAGTCCTCCTGCATCAGCAGAAGTTGCAAACGTCGGAGCGACCGGACTTCTCCCGCCCTAGAGGGGGGCGGCAGCTTTGCATTCTGTGCAAGTGCCTCAAAAAAGCTCTGCTGGTCCGCTGCGTCGATGCTCTCCCATCTCTCACAGGTCGTGCCACGGAGGTCCAACTTCACGCTTTCTGCGGCGCCACTGATGAGATCACTCAGCAAGGACTTAAAATCGAAGTCTCTTGTTTCTTTTTCCAGGATGACCCTGCCGATCGGAGGCGACACATAGTTGAAGTCCATTCTCACAGCTGCCACCAGAAAAGACAAATCGTGCTCAACGATGCGTGGCGCACGTGTTCGGACTACAGGGCTTTGCGGTTCGTCTTCCAAGAAACAGACGGACCAATAGGCACTGTGTCCCGGTTTCTCGGAAAATTCAGGGTCAGATTCAGGAAAATTTGGGCAGGCCACGCCATTTTTCTTTTACGCACATATTACCAACAGATAGCGAAAATTGGAAAGGACAGAAAATTCACAATATTGAGCGCTAGTGTAAATAATCGAGAAGTCGAAAAATACGGACCCGCAGAAAAGTACTTGGTATTTTGCGTTAATTCCATGTGTGTGTCCCGAGGTGGATTGTTATGTGGAACGGGGGTCAATGTGACGGCAGGGCAACTTAGAAAGGCTCGGTACGTGGCGCTGCTCCCCGCCTCCACAAGCCTTGAATAAAAAAACGCGACGGGGGAATAATGCGACTTGCTGGCAGATGCTCGATGAGACTGAAACTAAAGATGAGACCTAAGTTCATACAATAATCAAAGTCATGATCACTATTCCCAGTCACACAGAACAAGCTCTGCCGAAATCTAATGGAACTATAGAATCTAGGAGCCCGGTTCTTCCACGGAGAAAGGAATACAAAAATATTTCAACAAGTATTTTTTCGCGACTAGTTCGATCCGAAGCGAGAATCCTTGCAGAATGATCATTCAGAGCGTCCCTGATCTTGCTTCGACATGTTTCTTGGTGACGCATAGCTCTGTTCCACACAAAAAAAAACCATCACCGATTTAGATTGACTCGACTTGACTTTCAACTCCAGATGGTTTGGGACGATAAGATCTCGGCGTCGTGCTTGAGTGCTCGACTTCGCACACAACTTTAGTCGCGGCCGGTCGACTAGCACAGCTAGTAGGTAACAAGTTTTCGGCCGACAAATCTCAGGCTGCCAAAATTGCCCTCGCATCCAAGAATAGGTCCTTCGAGTTTCATTGTCCAAATTCCACTTTTGGAAGCGTTGTCGACAGGCAACGCATGCTTCCGAAAGCGCAAAGAGATCAAGGATTGTTTCTTTTCTTGAAACATTTGTTCGGAGAAGTCGCAATATCTAATATCTCGGGAAGTTGATGACTTTCGGCTGTGGGTATCTATCCGCGGGAAAAAAAGACAATAAGCAAAATTCAAAAACGGCCATTTAGGTAAAGCAGGTGGGTATGTAGTTCTGCTTCAAAGTAGTACCAAACGCCTGTTCACAAGCGGTACGATGTGTGCACGTCGGGCAAGCGCACAAATCTCTCTATCGCCATCCGTCACCAACCATAATGGACAAGATGCGACGCGGGAAAGGGCTCACACTCCGTTTGTTCCACGAAGCGGCACTATGGAACAAGAGAAATTTGCACCACCGTCAGCTTCTCTTATGCCCTATGCCTGTTCATTTTCACCATCATCATGACATCGTCATCAAGATATGTTGACTCGGAACTGATACAGCATGCAAGTCCAGCCGCAAGCTCGTCGAGGAGCCACGCATCGCCACACAAGATAATTGTCTTCTTCCCAGAGTCAGAAACTATGGCAAAAGGGTGTGACGAGAAATCGGAAGGCTAATCATGCAAAGGCACGCTGATCAAGGTCTGTTTTCTTGTTTTTTTTTAACTGCGCGAGGATCGGATCTACCTGAGCCAGGTACTTTCGTTTGTCGTCCTCATCGTCCTGCAGGTCGAGTCGAAAAGGTAGATCTGCATGCTCGCGAAAGAACTCGACGAGAAATTCTAGTGTTTTGTACGTATCCAACCAGTCGGTTTGAAGTTTGTTTAATTTGTCATCCGGAAAGGAAAACCGCACGACGCCGAGTTTCTGTAGGAGCGGGATGTTCTTTTCGGTAAAAAATGCTTGCATCAATTCCACGTACAGCACGAGGTTCTGGTCGACCATGAACCAGAGGTCGATTCCCTGGGCATCGGGTTTATTCAACAGAATGAACTTCAAATCTTCGACGGCCTGCTGGAAAACATCGGCGTCATGAACACCCCAGATGCGGAACCGCTGGATAGGGGCCGTGGACTCCGCAATATCATCGCGCATTCTGGCCAAGACCGCCGGAGTGAGCGTGAGAGTGCTCAAAGACTTGCTGCTGTCGGTTTTCAGATATTCACGTATTTCGTCGAGCCCCTCATCGATCAATGGTTGCGCGTAAGCGTCTGGTGACTTGCTAGTCAATCCGTTTCGGATTTCCCAGCGAGGTGCCTGGAGAGTTTCCTCGTCAGACTCAGCGTCGACCACGACAAGGTCCTGCAAGCCTCGAAGCTTCATCAAAGCACCACCAATGCCCCGTAAATTTCCGCCGACGACGAAGAGTTTCTTCAGCGTGGCTGCAGCGTGGTCGTTCTGGGCTAACGGCTGCCACACTAACGCTTCGAGGGTCTGCCCCGTCTTTCCATTCCAATAAACTTCGAGCTCCTCCAGCTGCGGAGCATGCCGAAAGAATTCTCCGAAGCCGTTCTGGATTGCGTCCTCATTAAAATGCTCGTGGGCATCGGCACCGTCCTCGGAGGCGTGGAGGAAGATTGCAAAACGCTTTACCGCGGCAAAAAGCAGCGCGCACGGGTTCGGGCGTTTGGAGTTGGCCGCCAGGAAGCCGAAGAACTTCTTTTGCTTTTCTGCTGGCCATTCGTCAGTCCATTGAGCTTTTGTATTTTTGTCCATGAAAGTGCCACGACATTCCAGTTTTAGATTTTCGATTTCGCCCAAACTGAGGCAATCCCGAAAATACGACGGGTTTCTAAACAGCAGGTATTTTCCAAGGGGTAAAATCTCCCATGGTGGTTCTTTTAGTGTCGGGCTATCGCTGGGCCCAGAAATGGCATCGCTGACTTCGAATTGCAACCGCCCGGAGCCATGCTGAGATCCTTCACCCCCAATGACGTCCATTGCATCCTGATATTTGAATGTTTTGTCTCGTCGTGCTTTTCTGAGAATTTGCTGTGATATACATTGACGCACGAATGCAAGGTGATAATTTCGTTGGGGTGGTACGAGAGCACATTTCTTTGCATTATCAACGTGATTCGACGCCTCGCCCACCATATCTGCACTTCGAGCGATGTACAATAACTAAGTAATCAATGGCATGTGGGTCAAGATTTACACACGAATCCTTTGTACCGAGATATCGGCGGCTCCTGCCGCAGGGATTAACTCCCGAAATTTGATCGTCAGCGGATTGCGCTCCAGTACTGCGTCTTCTCCCGTCGCCGAACTCACGACTCTGTCCAGGCTGACACAAGACCAGTGCCACGGTGCAGACGTTGCGTCTTCTTGCTTCAGCTGATCGTGGATCACTTTTCGCAGGTGCGGCACGTAAACTTCATCAGTGCCAGGACGTAGGGGAATGTTGTGTTTGTCCACCAGAACCTCTCGGACCTCCCCTGACCTCCTCAAGAGGGAAATCGGAACCGGGGCGGCTCCAGGGCCGGCGCGCATCATTGTTGCTGCTATCACCGAAGCGGATATGGCTACCACGGCGACAATGCGAGGAAAACGAAACTTCGTAAGATGGAATCAGAAGCACACCGGACTAAGCAACTCGCTAACCGCATTGAGTTTGTCGTTCAAAAAAAAATTGTGAAACGAGACGGAGAACCACGACGCATAATCTGACTTATGCCTGCTACCTGGGCTAGTTGTTTCTTGCTACAGGAGCGATTCGTCTCTCGAGACATTCGGCAAAAATGCGTGTCCGAAACTGGCAGTCTTTTGCTATTGTCAGGAATGATCCCAGTGATCATCTGAACTGTTTTTAATTTTTTCCGTTCATCGACCCTCTGATCCTTCGTCCGCCTTCCCGGAGATGATCATCTTTCTATCCAGGAACGGAATTATAGGTGCCTTGTTTCCAAATATTTGCGAGCTTGATTTGGTGCGAGAATCCTTGCAGAATGACTATACACAGCCTCCCGAAACTCGCTTGGACATCGTGGTGACACATCGCTCTTTCCTACAGAGAAAACAGCCATCACTGACTGAAATCGACACGACTTGACCGAGTCTAGGAGAAAGAAGGGTGAAACAATGAAGTGCACAAGTCCCGTTCAATGTTTCGAGAATCGCGTACAGCAGCGTGATTCGTCGAAAGTAAGATTTTCAGTAAGCGACAAAAACATGAGGGGTGTTCTTCTTCTTTCAGCTCTTGGACATATGCTCTCTGATTTGTGAAGAAAGTAGCCGTCTCGAAAGAACGGCCTATCAAATGCGCCACTTATCTTCGCTTCGGGGCTACGCGTTCCACGAAGTTCCATTTTGAGACAGTACTTGTGGCGGCCACCGTAATATGATGTTTTGTTTTTGTGTACAGGTAAAGTGTTTATATCAAATCAGTACTGGTTTTATTCCACATCCGAAAACCCTCGGTCCGGGCCATTCTCTCGTCGCAGTGGCGATGACGCCGGGTCCACCAGCATCGTCGCCGCCAACTCGGGGCTTGTCGCCCACGCATATTTTAACGGCATATCTCCACCGAAGAGGTCTAGCTTCAATGGCAGTGCGGGCTCCGACCCGAAATGCTCGCGCAGGCGCCTCGCTGCTGCGACAGCAGCCTCTCCTTGCCACGGTAGCGGCAGGACGTTGAACTCAGACACGGTGTGTGAATTTCCATTCTGCAAGGCCAGCGTCTTTGTGGCGGAGAATCGAGCGAAAGCTATCTTCTCCAACATTGGGAGGTTTTCAATTCGCAGGAAATCATCCAGCAGGGTAGGTTCTTCGTGTGGTATCCCAATGAAAAAAATCCCAGTACAACTCCACGACCAATCAAGCTCCAAAAATCTGCTATTGCTACGGTCTTCCTGCGTCCTGGAGGCACGGCTAACAAACTTTTTTCTGTTTTTAGGCTACTTTCACCTGCTGTTGCAAAAATAATGAGGGATGTCAGGGCCACTCGACAAGTCCAGCGAGTTTCCCTTCCTCCTCATTACCAAATCAATTTGCTTCCATGCTAACACTGCAATGCTTGATGCTGTTTGCAGTGCGTGACGTAGGGGAAGATTTTGACCAAGATACCGGTGGTGAACCCTCCGAACATAAACCATACGTCGAACAAGGGGGGCTGGTCGTCAGCGGATGCCTTGTTCGCGACAATATATTTCAAATCCAGCAAAGCCTGCTGGTACACGGTGAGATCAGGCTTCTCAGCGGTGCGTGCGTTTTTTCTCTTGTGTTCTTCGTAGTACTGAAAGGTCGCGTCGCGGTACTGCAGATTCTGTGGCCGGTCCTCGAAAATGCCCCAGATTCTGATGCGGTAAATTGGCGCTGCTGACGCGGCAATGGCGTCTCGGAGGGAATGCAGTACAGCCGGCGTTACAGTGAGCGTGTGCAAGTTTTCAGGCCGCGTCATCGGTGGGAAAAGATTTTCCTCGCCCTACTTGCAAGCGACGTTTTTGTTGCGTTGTGCGGAGACGTCCAGTCTTGTTGCTGTACGAAGTGCAAAATTCAGAAAAGGAGAATATCTTGTCGAAGCGAAAATTTGCGCGAATTTCCTCATCATGACAAAATGGAAAAAGGACCATGCTAATTCCAACAACAAGGTTATATGTGCCTGAGTGCGCGCAGGCAATTTTCTGCAAATGTGGTTCGGAAAATGTTGTCGTCGATAACAGCATGCAAAAACTCCTGAATCGTAGCCAAAGTGTCGTCGCCGAGTGGTTTCGCTTCCCCGGACCGCAGGCGCTCCGGACCGCCGTACCGAACTGCGCCAAACTGATGTTTTTGCGCGTTATGCAGCAAAGCAAGCTGTTCTGGTCCTCCTTCGTGTTGCGCTCTGCCGCACTTTCTGAGATACATTTAGAGGCTGTGCAACAATTGGACCCCCTTTCGCCAAGGCGAAAGGGGGGGGGGTAGGTTGGTCCGATTCCGGAGGACGGGAGCGGGCACCCCGACGCAAGGGTGCAAGGTGCTCCCGGCGGTCTCGCCTCACAACAGACTGTCTGTCGAACGCCCGGCGGCTCTTCTTCGTGTGGCGCCTTCGCAAGGGGCGGCCAGTTGTTGGCTGGTTGGCAGTAGGCGCACAGGCACGCGCACTACGCAACGAGGCCGAAGCCAAACGCCTGCTATCTATGGGCGCGCTCCGAACCCGGCGCGCCGTAACATGTGAGCGCGCGCAGGACCAGGAGGGCGCGCGCCCACGCTGTTTTTTTTTCGCATTCCGAGCAGGAAGTCGCATCGGGCCGATTGCAGACGCCCCAGCCATGTGTTGGCCCCGGGCTCCGCGTGCTGCTCGGGGGTGCTTGTGCGTGCGCCCGAAGTTTTTTTTTGCCCCTTGTTGTGAGGCGCTGGCGGAGGCGGGGAGGGAGGCATGCGCGCGCTGTCAGGGCCGGCGACTACAGATGTAGGCATGTTGCAGTGCGATGCGAACGTAGCCGCACCGGGCGCGCGCAGCGCGGCCCGCAAAATTTGCTACATTACGCGCGCGCAGGAGCGACACATAAAAGGAACATAGCAGGGGGCGCGCGCAGCGCGAATTTTTTTTCAATTCCGGCAGCACGAGGACGAGCACAGGACGCAACCCAAGGCCCGCTCGCAGCGGGCACGCGTCCCGCAATTTTTTTTACTGCGCACGGCTCCCGGCGAAAGGGGGGGGGGGAGGGGGGAGGTTGGTCTCCAGCGGGCCGCTACCCCCCCTTTCGCCATGGCGAAAGGGGGTCCAATTGTTGCGCAGCCTCTTACATTTGATTAAGTCCGAATATCACCGGGCAGGGAAAGTCACGAGAAGAAATCGAATTCTTCTGCAATGCAAATGAAGTTTCTTTGTTTTGCGTCAAACGTATTATAGTCATGCAAAAGTGTTTGTGTTGCTTCTTTATTTGAGATGTCCTAGTTTCTAGATGAGCCTCAGTGTGGAACGCTGTAAAACGACAGGGGACGCAGCACATTTTTCTGTCGACATAGGTGATCTCATTCGTCCAGTCGAACACCCACAGTTCCTCCAAACGCTGAAACTTGGGCAACGCCGCCCGAAGTCCTGCCTGATTGCCGCCGACGACGGAGAGAAACTTGAGCGTCTCTCGCACTCGCTCGTTCACGGACAGCGGGGTCCACACACAATCGCTGATTGAGTCTTCGTATTCAATGCAAATATGTCCGGGTCTGGAAGAATGTAAGTTTGTCATGCTTGGTTTACATGCCCCTTAAATCTGTAATGCAGAAGCAGAAAAAACGCCTATTACCTGTCATGCAAAAACGCAATTTGTCATGCGAAAAGCGAAACAGAGAGGAGCTCAAAAAATTGTCATGCGTAGCTGGGTATTGCAGTGTGCCCACCAATCACAAACTAGCATCACAAATTTCGAGACCCATGCATATTTGCACAGGATACTTTGTGTGTCCCGTCGAAGAAAACTTCCAAACTCTCCAAAGACCGCACGTGCTGAAAAAACTCGGCCAAATAGGTTCTCATGATGCTGCTGTCGAATCTTGCCTGCGGGGAGGTCTTGTGGAAGTCATCCGGCGTCAGGAGAAGTTGCAAATGTCGGATTGGTCGAACTTCGTCACCTGGCTGCGTGGGGTGCGGCAGCTTTGCGTTCTGCGCAAGTGCCGCAAAAAAGGTCTGCTGGTCCTCTACGTCGATCGCCCGCTCAATGCCATAGCAGTTCGTGCCACGGAGGTCCAACCTCACGCTTTCCTCGGCGCCATTCACGAGATCATCCTGCAGGGATTGCAGATCTTCCTGTATGCGGTCGCCTATCGGAGGCAACAAGAAGTTGAAATCCATTCTCACAACTACCACCAGAAAAGGACAGATCGCGCTCAACGATGTGCGGCGCACGCGGTTGAACTACAAGGTTTTGCGGTTCGTCTTCCAAACAGACGGACTGATAGGCACTGTGGCCCGGTTCTTCGGAAAATTCAGGGTCAGATCCCGGAAAATTTGGGCAGGACACGCCATTTTTCTTTTACGCACATATTACCAACAGATAGCAAAATTCGAAAGGACAGAAAATTCACAATATTGAGGGCTAGTGTAAATAATCGAGAAGTCGAAAAATACGGACCCGCAGGAAAGCACTTAGTATTTTGCGTTGGTTCCGTGTGTGTGTCCCGAGGTGGATTGGTATTTGGAACGGGGGTCAATGTGACGGCAGGACAAATGATCCTTTTTTCATGTTCCCGGTGATGATCATCGCGATCTTTTTATTCATCTGGAGCCGAAATATGAGTATGTTGCTTCCACCAAGCATGTTTTCGATCTGGTGCGAGAATCCTTGCAGACTGATCTTGCTTCGGCATGATCGTGGTGACCACACGTCGCTCTGTTCTACACAAAAAAAAGCCATTACCGATTCAGATTGACGCGACTTGACTTTAGATCCCGGTTGTGACAATAAGACTTTGGCCCCGTGCGGGAGCGCGCAGAAAGCCGCCTCGCGACCGGTGAAAAGCGGCGTTATCTGCAGTGCACAGAACTTCCGTCGCGGCTAATCGACGGGCACAGCTCGCAGCTATCCTATTTCTAGTAGGGAACAACAAGTTTTCGGCCGACAAATGTCAGGCTGCGAAGACTGCCTTCGTTCGCGTCCAAGAATATGTTGTCCAAATTCGCGTCCATTCGGGTCTCATTGTCCACATACCACTTTTGGAAGCGTCGTTGACAGCCAAGGTGGGTTTCCGAAAGCATAAAGAGATTAAGGACTGTCATTTCTCTTGAAACGTTATGGCTTCATCTCCTCACGAATCTCGCGGAGAAGATCAAATAAGGCATTCTACCTAGCGCTCCACGCACGTTCTGTTCCTCTAATAAGTTGCTCTCCACGCACGTTCTGTTCATCAAATAAGGCGCTCCAGTGCTGCGCTCTCGTTATTCATTTCGATTCGAATCAAAAAGCAACAACTTTATCTACGTGGCCGGAAAAGCAACAAAGCAGATGACAAGGGCCGCAGTTGGCTCTCTATACTTCCTAGCTTCAAAACCAATGCAAGTTTCCCTGCTACAACATCAAAATGTCAAAAAAACTTGAGAGCTGTGCTTCCATCCTCGCCACTGTTGTCGGTGCGTTGTATAAAAGGCTGCTCGCCCAGTCCGACAATTTAAGCTTTGAAGAAGAGGAGGAAGGCGAGCTTCCACTGCTCCTATATTTTCACGCACTCCTCGGCGGTTACCGTGTTGTTACCGTGACAAAGTAGAGCCGTGTTTGCGCTTACGCCCCCTCGTTGGCGGGCGTACGTAGGCGACAAGATCAGCTCGTTAAATGTGCCAGATCTTCGTTGGCCCGCTTCGCTTGAGCGCGCCTTTGTCCTGTTGTGTTTCCTGTCCTTGTTGTGTTCCCTGTTCCTGTTGCTTAGTTCTCTCTTCCTGTTGTGTTCTTTGTCCGTGTTGCAGCGTCGGATCATCGGGGGTCGTTTGTTGTCCCCCCGTGGTCCTCTGGGTCTTGGTTTGTGTTTGTTCTCCCCCCGTGGCTGGGGCCTCAACTGGAACAGTGGGCGACGTCGTCCCACCAATACATGACGAAGCTTCTCCTCCCGTTGTTCCACCAGCAGTGCACGTGTGTTGTCCACCGCCGCCTGTTGGCCCGCTTGTAGCTCCACCACCGGAATTACTAGTACCTGCAGCGCCTGCTTCTGCGCTACCAGTGCCCGTTCCGGCCCCGGGCAGCGCCTGTGTACCAGGCGTCGTCGAAAAAGCCGCGCCAGTTTCTTGCTGGTCAACTTCAGTTGCCGCACCTGCGGCTGTTCCGGATGAACCGGCTTGGTCCGGTTGGGTAGGAGGTCCTGCTTGTCCCCCGGACGGGGCGGAGTGTGGAATGATAACCGCAGCTGCTCCTTGTCCTCCCATAGAGGAATGATTAGCACCAACTGCTCCACCTTGTCCTGCCGGAGTGGAATTATCACCGGCATCTTGGGCGGCGAAAGTTCCCACTTGTAGTCCAGACGATGCGAAGCCTGGGAGTATCGTGAAAGTTCCGCCTGCTCCAGCACTGCCACCACTTATTGTGAGGAATGTTCCCCCCTTCGCATATCGAAAACGAGATTTGTGTTGCTGTATTTGAGTACACAACTCGACTTGTATAGCTAGAAGGCCAAGAGATGCAGTTGCTCCCTCATTTGTTGGCAATTTGTCATGCTGCTTCCCGTTTCCAGTTGCTTCGTATCATTCTGAACACGCAAAGTTTTCCTACACCAGGCAGCACTTACAGTCCACATCTCTTCCCTTCTACCATGACAGCGTGACTTGTGATCACAAATAATGCTACACAAGTCCCCCTCTGAGTACGGGGAGGGGGGATTTTTCATTTCGATACCACTTCCGCTGCCTCTAGAAAAGCCACCTCGAGGACCCGAACTACTAGCACCACCCTGGTGCAGTCCCTCTAATGACTGACTGGCGTCTTCTACCGGAACAGTGCTATGCTCCCCTGTGCCCCGCACCGCTGCCATCACCGCGCTGCCTGCATCCGCCGCGCTGCCATCCCGCTGCAGCGCGTCGCGGAAGATCAGATCTTGGATCGGCCTGTGCACTGCAAATGTGTCCGGTTCTGGAAATTTGTGACGCTCGGCGAAATGCGGATGGCGGAAACACTTCCGAATGCTGCCCAGCATGTCAACTTACCAGAGCGCTTTCTCTTAGACAGTCCGCATGAGAAGCTGCGTTTTTGCATGACAAAAGAGGAGGCGACTTTTGTTGGTTTGGCAATTCAGATTTCCGACGAATGTCATAAAGCTAGCGTTACAAGTTCCAACTTTCCAGATCCAGGCAGTACATGTGTATTGGATAGGACCAGATCTTGGTTGGCCCGCTTCGCTTGAACGCGCCCTCTCCGCGAATCAGTTTGATTACGTCGTCCACTGATAAGTCGGCAAAGAAGTCCGTCGGGTCGATCAAATGGCTATCTAAATCTTCCAGCTGCCTTCGCAACTCCTCGCGCTGCGTGTCCATCGTGACACTTTTGGTGATTCCATTGCTATCTAGGTCGTCGACGTCGGATTGGTGTTGCTGTTCAGCGTCGCAGCCTCCAGTGGCGGAGAATACATCTTCCTCTCCACCATCTGCAGGAGATTTCCTCGCGCCTATAATTTTCTGCAGCGCGTGCAGCTGCTTCGTGATAACCTGCAGCGCGTCCACCTGCAGCTGGTCGTGCAGTTGTTGCTTCGTGATAACCGCGCCGAGGGACATCAAATTGTAACTGTGGAAAATCTGCGTGGTTTCATCTTTCATGTTCTTGCCCCCCGCCGCGAGTTGTTGTTCGTCTTGTTGTTCCCCTATGCCCAGGTTCATCTCGTCTTCCGGACTCACGCTGGCAGCTGGGCTTCCGGTCGAGTCTGCATCCTGCGGAATTTCATGATGTAGCGGGGCCTGCAGCCCCCGCGAAGCAGATCTACTTCCGGCGAGATGTTGACCAAGAAGCCGCTCATTCTCCTGCTCCGCCTGCAAAGCGACGTCAATTTGTAATGGTGGAAGGGGGCTGCCGATGCCGTGTTGTTGTAGTGCTGCTGGCTGCAGCTGGTGCTCGTGGGGCGCAGCCTCATCACGCATTCGCCGCACTACGTCCGGTGTGCGTGAAACTGGTCGCGATGGTATCCTGAGTAAAAACGTACCCACACCAGAGTCAAGATGGGGACTTTGCAACACAAGCCTAGGAGTTTTGGGAGTCACGCATGACAAGATTCAGTCCGTAAGGTAGTGCAAGTTAGCAAGGAAAGCCACATCACAAATCGACCTGCTGATCCTGTTCACAGCATCACAAATTCCAAAACACGATTGGAAGTGGCTCTCATGGGGATGCGCATCACAAATGTCTTTGTCATTGCAAATCTGCATTACAACTCTGGGGTGGGTACGTTTTTACTCAGGATAGATGGTGAGCCAGAGCCACTTCCTCCCAAAATGCCGAAGGCGTCCGTTCGAAGTTGCTGAGTATGAAATGCAAAAGTATCGTACTCGTAGTAATGGCATTCATGCATTACAAATTTTTTTCTTAAGGCAAATCCGCATGAGAAATTTTATTTCTCATGCTGGGCTAATTTGCAAATGCATTTATACGAGTACGATACTCTTCCAACGCATACTGTGGGCTGACCTGCAGTTGGTTGGCCCGTCGCTCGGACGGGGAAGGGCCTCGTCTAGGGGTTCGTGGAGGGGAGACCACTTCGCGCGGCACGGCGGGCCTTTGTAACCGTTGCTCCTCCAAGTGCGGCTGCAGGGACTCGACCCACTCGGCGTTTTGCAACGGTGGGGCATCTACAACTGGTTGTACGCCAGAACCACGAGGACCCTCCTGCTGCTGCTCTACAACTCCGTCAACCCGGCCCAGGAGCAGCTGTTGCTGCTCGTCGCGCTCGTTCCCTTCTTGTTCTTGTGCAGCGCGACTCCGCACTACTTCTTCGATCGACCGGTACCTCAGTCCCTCCCGCTCCGCGCGGTCAGCAGCTTCAGACAGGGCAGCGCTGGGACGATGCCGTTCGCCCGCACGGTAACTCGGAGGCGGATCATCTTCGCGTGGGGGCGACGGAGGTGTCCCGGAAGGTAGTACCGCAGGGGATGGGAGCTGAAAGTTGCTGAGGTTGCTGACACTGCCGTGTTCGGAGGTAGTGCCGTCATCTGCCGCTTGGAGTTCATCTCCTGCTGGTCGTGCGGGTTGTAGTACAACTTGTGGTCCTCGTGCCATAGGTGGTGGTGCTGGTCCACCCCCAGCGCCTCCCGCTTCAAGCCCGGCGAGGCACGCTCGCACGTGTTCTGGATTCACGTCCGGCGGTGGAGCTGCACGCCTCACTTGCTCGAGGCCCACAGGGGACAATATCGTCCCGAAATCGTCTGCGTGCCCCACAACCGAGTTGCCCGCGGAGCCGGTGGCTGACCTGAAACCGCCCTGCTGCTGCTGCGCGTTCAAAACACCACTATCATCGCGCCGGCGGCTTTCCTGCACCACCTCCTGCATCCGCGCGACCAGTGCCTGGCAGTCTAGTTCCATGGCTTGTTGTCGGTCGTCTGGGTTCCCAAAATGCTCTACGGTTTCCGGGACAGACAGCTCGTCGTCCTCGCGCTGCCGGAGGTCTTGATCTTGTTGTAGCGGGGGAGATAGTAATGGCGCACCATGTAGTTGGCTGGGGCGATAATTATTGATGTCCTCGACTGTTGGCCCGCCTCCAGCAGCTCCGCCGACTGTTGCGACTTCTGAGCGACGTGGACCACCACCTTCAGCAGGGCCAAGCACAGGTGGTGCCGGTGCCCCCGGCGTGCCTAGAATTTTCTGCAGCACGTGAAGCAGCTGGTCGTGCATCTGTTGCTTCGTGATGACCGCGCCCAGGGACATCAGGTTGTAACTGTGGAAAATCTGCGCGGGGTAACCCTCGTATAATTTCAGCTTCTCCTTAATCGGCAGCACCAAATCCAGCGGGTGTGATGCGTCAGCTGTGGCGCCTACTTCTATTTGGGACGACGACGAGGACGACCGACGTATCTCCCGCTGCCTTTGCAGCTCTCGCTTCAGGACCTCGGAAGCTGCCGAGGGCGACAGACCACTTACTTCGTGTATAAGGAAGGCCTCCGCCTGACCGGATATCCAGTGCAAAAGTATCGCACTCGTACTCATTGCAGTTATATGCATTTACAAATCTAGGTGCTACGAGAAATCCACCGCATTACAAATTTTACTCCTCATGCTGAGCAAATTTGTATAAATGCATTATATACGAGTACGATACTTTATTTGCAATGCATACGGGAGACGGTCCGCTTATAGAGAACCCAGGGCGACGGAGCCGAAGGAGATGGTGAACTATAAGACGGAAGCTGCGGACCGGAAGCTGCGGACGCAGTGCCAGCGGTCGCCGGTGGTGCTACCGCTTTGATGGTGGAAATATCAAATGCAAATATGTCTGGAGGTCTGGAAGGATGCAACTTGTGATGCTGTTTTTGGATTCTAGGAAAATTTGTATTGCATGACCAGCAAGTGCAAGAGGGGTCCAGTTTGTGCTATAGGGCATTTCTCATGTGGAAGGCGCATCAGGATCAGGAAGGGTTCTAAAAATCTATGATGGTAGGGCAACATACATCACAGACAATCATGGGTCATGAGAAATATCAATATGCATGACAAGTCTTGCATTCTTCCAGACCCAGACATATTTGCAGTTGATAGGAAAACGAGGCGACTCGATGCCGCATGGCACCAATCCCGTCGCGGAGGGCGAACCGCAAATTCCCCTCGGGCCGGTCGGGTTGGATCGTGCTGCCCGCTGAGGTGCCGTCTTCGGCAGGAACAGCCTGCCCAAACGCGCTCAGCTGCGCGCGTCGCAGCTCCTTTATCGAAATTTCCAAGGCAAACCCGTGCGGCTTGTCGGCTCTTTGCTTCAGTATAGATGAGGAACTAGTAGGGGAGGTACCAATAGGCTTATTGCCAGCGGCTTGTTGTTCGCCCTCGTTTGCATGTGGATGTTCACAAAAATCTCCAGCAATGTATCCCTTATCCAGTTCTTGCTTCGAATAAATGCTACTTGCACTTCTATGACCAAGAACAGCAGAAGCACCAGCTGCTCCCGATAGTGCACTGCTGTCTGCACTTCTCCCGCGCCGGAGCGCGGGTCGGTCGGGCGTGGCAAAAGGGTCACGTAGTTGATGACTGTGCGGATCATGAGTCGGTGTTGTACCTTGCAGCTCGTTGTGCTTGCCATAGTGGGCTATGCCATCCACTAAAGTAGCCGTTTCTCGAAGTCCACTTACTGCTACAACTCCGGCGTCGCTCGCACTGCTGGAGAGGCCAGCGGCCGATGCGGCAGAACTAGGAATGTTGAAGAGATTGCGTGGCTGCTCCTGCTGCTGCGCATAGTCCGGTCGGGGAGGCAGCTGCGGCACAACTAGTCCTGGAGGTTCTGCAGGTTGTAGTTCTTCTCTTGTGGGAAAGGCGAATTGCGTTGGCTGTTGATGGTGCTGGCCTCGCTTATCAAATGTAAAAGTGTCTGGGTCTGGAAGGATGCGAACTTGTGATGCGTGTTGCGGATCATACAAAAATCTGTGTAGCGTGACTTGCAAAAGATCCCCATTTCTAGCCATGCCGAGGGGGCATTTCTCATGCAGAATAGGCATCACCAAGGGGCTGCAGAACCTGTGATGCTAGGCCCTGCATTCGAGACTTGGCTGAGCTTGGAAAAACTGCATGACAAATCTCAGATTCTTCCAGACCCAGACATTTTTGCATTTGATATCGCTGCTGCAATTGCAATTGGTCCCGGACAAGTCGGAAGTCCTTGGGGGATGATCCTGCAGGCATGGCCTGTGGAGCTTCTGCACCAGGGGAAGGTCGCTCGACAACAACCTCCTCTTCCGCAGCACACGTCGCAATATTCGGGTCACCATTCCCGCCGGGCTGGTATCCCGGAGCTTGTTCAACATGCGGTCCGCCTGGTGTCGCCCCGGGGGGCTGCTCCTGTTGGTCAAGAACTTCTTCAGCGGCTGCACTGCACCGAGCAGACGTGGGCATTAAATGTCCTCGTTGTGCTTCGCTGCTAGTAGTACCAACAACACCTACCTCGTCCGCACTACCAGTAGAATCACCTGGTGCCCTTGCAGCAGCAGCAGCAGCAGCCGCACTGCTAGACCCCTGCTGCGGCATACTAATTCCAATTGGGGGCAAGGAGAACGGAGGAGGCATCATTGCAGGAGCGGCGCCCCGCCCTCTGACTTGCGCGAACAAATTGTGTGCCCGTTGCAGCCTCTCTTCCAAATCGGCGGCCTCGGTCCAATCTTCCCTCTCGATAAACTGCTGGCCAAGCACGGCGTCCCCCTCGCCCTTCTCGGGACTGTGAAAAAAGGCCGGACGGATTCTTCGCAACGGCGTCTGCTCGCCCGGAGCTGGCAGGGACGATGCTTCTGGGTGCTCGTCTACCTGCCCGAAGGAAGGGGTCGGCGCTCGTGCCGCGCGCGGCGTGGACGGAGGTGAAAGTGGGGGGGCGACAGGAAGAAGTTCTGCCGGAGGAGGAAATAGTGGGGCGACGGGAAGAGGTTCATCTGCCGAAGGTCCTGCCAAGAATTGGACTAAGCGTTCATCCGGTCCGGCTGCTCTCCGAGAGAAGAGCCCCGACGTGTATGAACTGCAAAAGCATCAAACTGCACTACAAATTGACTTAGCATCACAAATTAGATTAGATTTGTAATGCGGATTTGCCTCAACAAAAAGATTTGTTATGCATAAAAAACGCAATTAGTACGAGTGCGATACTTTTGCAACGCATAACGTGGTCGTTCCAGCAATTTCTGTTCCGCCTCCAAAGGTGGGTGTAGCCGCTCGACCTCCTGCTTGTTCTTCGTCGTTGTTGTTCAGAGGACGAGCCAAAGCGCCTGCCAGTGTCCTTGGGAGACCCGCCGGCACGACCGGGGGTGGGGTCGTTGTTCCGAAGAGAAGAGGCGTAGTGAATAAGGCTTCGGGATGTAGAAGAGGTTCTACTTGTGGTGCCCCATCCCGCGGTGCTGGAACGTGATCATCCCCGTGCGGTTGTTCGGATGAAGCTCCTCCTGTTGTAGCTACATCAGTATCAGAAATTACCGGTATAATCGGATTGCCCAACACAACGCGCGCCGCTGCCGCACGTGTCGTCACCGACTGCAATTCCGCGGGGAGCTGTTGCTCGTCCAGAGCCAGACTGTCGGCCGCAGGAGGTGCACCTGCCGGCACCTGTAGTAGTGCAGCTGCCGCCTCCGCGGCTTGCGCTTGTTCTTGCTTCTCGCGCTTCTGGCAGAGCTCGTGGTTTCGCCTCATGGCAATCACAAGGTCGCCCCAGGGACCGAATATCGGCATGGAGGGCTCGTCCCTCCTGTTCTTACGAGAGTTCTTTCTTGCTGTCCTAGCACGACTACTGCCGGCCGCTACCGACAGCTCGTCCAACTCGTCCACGTCGGGAGAATAGGGGGGCAACGCCGCCGAGCCTTCGCTGCGAGCGCCGGGGAAGATGTTTTGCCGCCAGGCGAAGGAGGATTCCGCAGGGTCCTGTTCATCGAAAGGGCCTGAAGATGTCCCTGCTTTGCTATTTTTCCGTCCCTGCTTGTCCCAGGAATTGGGTTTGCTGAGTTTCAACACCTCTAGAGGTTCTCCTTTCTTTGGCCTCTGCGGCGTCCGGAACCGTGGGTCGCCGCTTTCCAACAGCTCCTCCGGACTCTTCTCCACGGTCCTTTTCGGGGATCCCGGTGGTTGAGCACCATGGTTTAGTGGACTTCTAGCAGAGCTCCCGTAGCTGTCGCCCGGGGTGGTGCGGGAACGGGTGAACTCACGGCGCAGTGGTGGGGAAGCAACGGGACCAGGAGCACCACCGGCTTGTTGTTGTGCACGACGATTCATGGGCACCGGCGGGCTACCCAGTCCTCCGGAGGTGGAGGGCGCACTTGAAGAGGATCCAGCTCCGCCGCAGGGCTGCCGTGCGCCGGCGGCCTCTTCGTCTTTAGTGTCAACGTGGTATTTTTCCCGGGGCAAATAGACCAGAACAGTTTGTCTCTCAAAGTTCAAATCCACGACAACAATGTTCCGCTGATCCGTCTGCTCGAGGAGAAATTGCCCCGGAGATTGGTCTATGCACTGCAAATATGTCTGGGTCTGGAAACTTCTCACGCAGGGAAGGGAATAGTAAGCACACTGCAATGCGCTTCCCAGCATTACAAGTTTTTCAGTGGCTCAGACTTGCGTACTCCGCGTGACAGACCGCGTTTTTGCGTGACAGACAGGAAGACTTGCGCAGGGGCACGCAATACAGAGTTCAGAGTCATGCCAAACTAGCATGACAAATCTCGGAATCTTCCAGAGCCAGACATATGTGCAGTTCATACGGTCTTGCTCATTCTTCCGACCGGGGAGCCGCGCGTAGGTGCTGAAGTGCGCCGCGATCTGCACGGAGGCGTCAAACGCTTTCGTGAAGGGGGTGACTAATCCGACTTTCTGCAAAGCTAGGTACTGCGCCGCCTGCAACCCACGTTGGACTGTTTAGTTGTTTGTTGTGATACAAACATTCATTGGCTAATCTAATCTTGTGCACTATACAACTTCTTGCAAGTGCCTACGCGGTGGAAAGCTATCACCTAACATCGTTGGATGATGCAAGTCTCAATGTGTCTAAATTGAAAATTTGAATTTGACATGCTGAGTCAAGTGCTAGGAGGTCAGTAGATTTCTCATGGTGCACTGCAACAAAAAATCTCAAATTATACAGTCCTCAAAGACGTTCTTGAGGGAGCGCGAGTTCGGTGCGTTTGGTGTCATCGCTCCGCCACTTCCCGTGCCTGGTGTAACCAAGCTTGCAGGGGTCCTTGCAGCTTCTGTCCCGACGACGGTGCTGCTTTCGTCCAGCGTGCTTATTTGTCGAGTAGGAGGGGTCGTTTCTTGGTCGAGAGTTCGTGTGTCCAAGGTATGATCCCCCACGCTGGGCGGTGATGGTCTACTGCTCCCATCTGCACCGGGTGGACTAGTCATCTCCTGTTCTTGAGGTTGATGTTCTTGGCGTGTTCCACCTGCTGCAACCGGGTTCAGCATCCTCCAGGTTTGCGGATACTTTTTCGCCAAATTTTGGAGCAATTGCATCTCCTGAATCTGGTCAGCCAGGTGCTGTTTGTACAGGCCGAAGGAGGCGATGGGCAGGTGCTGCAGGGCAGTGAAGAGTAGTTTTGCGAGAGATCCCTGGTCGGTGAAGGGAGCAGCTGGTTGAATGTGTTCGTTGCTTCTGATGTGCTGGTCGTGGGCTGGTGTAGTGGCCTGTGGAGGTTGTCATCAGAGCTATCGCACAACTTGTAGTATGTCGTTCTTAATTTCAATTTTTACACACGTTTTGACAAAATATATATCCAGCCACTTGATCAACACAATTTTGCCCGACACTAACTTCCACGTATCAACAACAAATGCCGAGGGAGGTACTTCACGACATCTTCCTCTTCATCTTTTTTCAGAGACGAAAATGAAATTCCTACATCCTATAAGTCTGTTAAGCTGGCACGTGACGAGAGATTTTAATTTTGAGAATCGCCGCAGTTGAGAATGGAACAACTACTATGGAGAACGATGAATAGAAGAAACTAGAAGATACCAGCGCGACGCTCCTATAATGGGCCGCTAGCACGACTCTGTCCTAAGTCGAGAAGCAAGTAAACCACCAGTCTGTTCTATGTACCTGTGGTGCCACGGAAGATGATCCTCCTGCGCTAGACGATGTTCCGCCGGCGACAGACGGCCCGGGACTGACATTCTCAACAATTGCACCAGCACCACTTCCGGGGCTGATATAATTGTGACGCACTGTAGCTGCAGCTCCCAGCAGGGACAGCGCTCTCGAAGTAGACACATGTCCTGTCGTCCTTGTCTCCCTTGCACTGGTACGCGAGGGAAAGACCAAATCCCGGTCAATTGCGATCTGCGCCCCATTCCGAACCGCGGTATTACGCACCAACCGGACACTCCGGATGTTGGAAGCTCGCACACCCCACGGACCTGCTCCGCCAGCAGCGGAAGGACCAGCTCCTCCTGAGGTGCCGCCAGCCTGCTTGTCATCGGGAGGAGCAGTTCTCACTTCGAAAAACAGTGTGTTGGTGAGAATGTAGCTTTCTTTTGGGGGTGAGTTTTTGTCCAAGTCATTGTCGTCTTTTTCCTCCTGCTTTTGTTGCTTCGGCTTTTCCACCAGCTGTCTGCTGCGGGAGGATGGCCTGCCTTTCGAAGACGATCTTCGACTTGTTGGCGCAGCAGCTCCACGTCGCGTGGAGCTAGAAGTTCTACCGCTGCTACCCGAGGACGGTAAATAGGTCTTCTTCACATTGTCCAAAGTCATGATCGCGAACAGTCTCCGTAAATGGTAGAGCGGGATGCTCCGGCGGAACTCTGCCTGGACGCGTTTGTCGTAGCTGTCGGTTACCAAAGCAGACAATGACCGATGGGGATTATTGACAGGCTGCTGCTGTTGTTGATTTTGCTGTTGGTGTTCTCCCGTCGAGCCTCCGACATCATCATCTGCCGGGCGAGTGGTTGTCGACAATTTCCCGTCGGTATCCTGATCCCCGCGAAAGAGAGGTAGTAGTCCCGGTTCAAAGAACCCAATATCTGGGATGTGAATCGCAAATTTTACCCAGGTCTCTACATCTTCCTCAGAACTAGTAGCAGCATCCGTCGTTGCAATTCCTCCATCAAGTTGTGGCACTGCATCAGCTTCATGGTCCTCGGAAGGAACAGATCCCGGCGGCCGGCTCGCCCCAGTGAACAACTTCCTCGGTTTTTCTTTATAATTCCCGGCTACAGGAGGAGAGTCAACATTTGTGCCTCCCTGAGAAGTTGGTGCACTGGGACCTCGTCCAACAGAAAGTTTCTCCACGGAAATTAAATATTCCACTGCGGTCCCGTTATCCCGGTCGAGAAGGCAGCTTCGCTTTCGCTTCTCGCGTCTTTCCTCCGCTGCCGCATTCGCTGCTGCTGGATCTACTGCTGCTTGTGCTGCTGCAGTGGCGCTCGAAGCGGACGCACTAGCACTACCCTGAGCACCAGCTCTTTCTCCGCCCAGCTCTTGCTCAGGCGAAAGACCTCCCCTCGGCGGCGAGCTAAACGACTCGGCGGTGTGGGAGGAGGATTTTCTTGTTTGCGGATTTTCCGCTTCATCGTCTTGAACTTCTTCCGTTTCGTTCCGAAAACACTTCTCGGCCTGCCCGAGTGCGGTTTTCTGGCGCACGATTGCGATGGTGTCGTAGTCCCGGTCTGAAATAATCATCCGACCTGGGTTTGTGAACGAATTCCCCAGCACGGCTTTTGAACTTCGGTGAACGAATTCCCGGTATAACATCAGTTCCTTGAACGGGCGCGTGGTTCGAAACGGACTCATCTCCGCGATGTCATCGCTGTCTGTCACCCCGCCGATGGCCGAGCTCCCAAGCTCGCCCCGCTGGAACCCGGCCGCACTGGACTGCCTCGCCCCGCTGGAACCCGGCCGCACTGGACTGCCTCGCCCCACTGGAACCCGGCCGCCCTGGACTGGAAAATTTTGGTTGTAGGTTTCGTTCGCGTGGTCCTCGCGGGGCATGTAGCCTTCTCGAGAGCGCTTTCCGCCATCGTGGGAGGAGAGCAGCACCCCCACCGATTTTCCAAAAGAGGCAGGATTCTCGGCGGCTCGCGCTGCCAGGACCTCCGGGGCGGTCACGGGGTCGAAAGGAAATTGTTCGTGCAATGCTGCTACGTTGTCCAGGATCTTACTGGTCACAAGCTGCTGCTCATGGTCCTGCACGACTCGTTGTTGCGCCACCGCTGCTTGTTTTACCATGTGGTCTTGGGCGGCGGCGGCGTTGGACATCAATTGAAGGTGTGAATCTCGCTTATCCGGAGACATGTTATCTTCCCATTCTTTCCTGAACCTGGCGAGCCGCGTGGCTTGAATCAGCTGCTGCTCCTTCTGCTCCTGATCCGGCGTTTTTATCGCGCCGCCGTGGACACTATCAAATGTAAAAGTGTCTGGGTCTGGAAACTGGTGATGCTGGGCGGCGTCTCATGATGAGGCTACAAATGCTGGCCCAGCATGGCAAGCGTCTGAGCTTCTAGGTGTTGCCTATTCTGCATGACAAACTGCGTTTCTGCATCACAGAAAAATGGAACTCTTGGCCAACGTGCATGACAGATTTAAGAGTCATGCCAGACAAGCATGACAAACATGCATTCTTCCAGACCCAGACATTTTTGCATTTGATAGACACTGGTGTTTGGGCTGCTGGTGCGGTGTGGACGAGCAAACACGTCCGGCTGTAGCTCCCTCTGCAGCGTGTCAAGGGTTCTTTGATTCAACGTCGAGGACTTCTGTGGAGGTCCTAGATCTAGTGCATCTGGCACACCAGCTGCTGCAGGAGTTCCGCTCGTAGTTTGCCTGGATCTTGCTTTCGTCCTTGAGGAGGTGGCAGCACCTGCTGTCGCAGGAATTGTTGTCGCCTGGACCACTCCTCGTTGTTGTTCCTCGAGCTGCGGTGTCGTGGCTAGTGCAACCGTTTATCAAATGCAAAAGTGTCCGGGTCTGGAAGAATGCAAACTTCTCATGCATATTTTCCATGCCCCATGAGGTTTGGAATGCAGGACCTAGCATGGCAGGTCCTGCGACGTCTCTATTATTCCTATCCTGCATGACAACATGCCTCTAAACTTGTTCAAAAGTGGACAGCTTTTGGTAGTCATGCAACACAAATTTTTGTACAATCCAGACTTAGCATGACAAGTTCGCGATCGCGTCCTCCCAGACCCAGACATATTTTTTCCCGGCGTTACAAGTCTGTCAAAATCAAGTTCACCCACACCGGGAAATGCGGATCCCACGACGTTTGAGGTAGTTCCTTGCGTCTCGTCTTCTTCGGGAGCCAAAGCAGCATCTTCAAGGAGCTGTCCAGCCGAGGGAGTTCCACCCTCGCTCGCCGCACTGGACTGACTCGGCCCCGCGGAACTGCTCCTGCGCATCCCGGGGTTTTTGTCGAGCCCTTCGAAATCGCCGAGACTCGCCAAATATCCTGTGCAAAAGTATCGTGCTCATAGTGATTGCAGTCACGCATATACCACAAAGTCTTTCTCTTTCCATCACGGACAAACCGCATGACAAATCCTATTTCTAATGCTGACTTCTCAACTTGTAATGCGACTTCGAATAGTCGTGCGATGCTTTTGCATTTCGTATCAAGTTCAGCTCGAGCCCTTGCGGGACCACGGAACCGGCTCCGCCGCCCTGTCCTGAAGAGCTGGCGGGCTTCTCCAGATCGCAGACTGGGTCTTCGTGCGGGCCGCTGGCGGGCTCGACCGGGTGCGGCTTCTCATGAGGAGCCTCCTCGCCGAGCTGCACATCTGACGGCGATCCAGAGGCGAGAGCAAAAAGCTTGGTGGCTGCTGCTCGGCCGGCGAAGAAAGAACCACATTCGGCCTCAAAGTAAAGAACCACACTGACGGCCCTCGCCAGATTTGCCAGCAACCGGCCGCACCTTGTTTTGCTGCTTCCCTCAATGGTCCTCATTTTGTTCCTCAGGAGACACGTGTAAGTAGTTTTGGCTGTTGCGACCAAAGTGCTAAGCGTAGAAGTAATTGTAGTTGATAATTAAGTTGGTGCCTATCGTAAAGGGGCTGGCCCTCTGCCTTTGTTTATGTTTCCACAGAGGGCTGTTCTTGCTACTACTTCGATGCTACCCAAGTTTTTCTATTCTACTTGCTTCCTTCATTCTTCGGAAAAACTTTCACCTCCCATAGTTCTTTCCTAATCGCCGCCTTGTTGGATCTATCCTGGTTCGGTAAAAATTAATGACAGGCATTCGGTATCAACAGAAGCCCAAGCTTCGGCACAAGAAATCGACTCGCTGTAGGGGAGTTAAGGGCGTGGTAAATGGGTGCTTCAAAGTTTGGACCAGTAGACACATCAAATAAATGCGGAATTATTTTCGGTCGCGCTAAGTTTGTAACTAAATTTACTTCCTCTCGTAGCGGAAAAAAATTCAAATAACCAAACAGCAGAGATCAGTACATCCTCGTAAGAGCATTCGCTTTTGCTACCTGATGGCGTGGCAGAAAAACGACGCACGTTGCGGGCTAAAAGCGGCGCTCTCAAATGATCAAAGTTGGGCCGAGAGCTCGAGAGCTACTTGAAGATCTGAACTCGTACTCGTTTAGGAGTGCGGGTAGATCAATATTACAGAATTCTCCAGGATGGCAGCTTGATCTCCCACGAGCGCACTGCGGTGTGCCGTGTTTCCACACGCTTGCCTTTTCGGTAGTTTTACATCTGGAGATCTGAGCGAGCACGACCGCTTATTTTTTGTGTCATTTTTTTCTTTCTAAATTCTTACTGCACACACCCACGCGCTCAAGAGCTTCTTTTTCTTCGATCTCGGTTCTCTGCGAGGGTTCGTCGCAACAATAAGGTCGCACTCGGCCACCCAGAGACGAACATCGGCCACGCGACTCGCTTAATACCAATGCTTCAACCTGAGCGCTTTGCTGCTCGGAGTTCTGAAAAAGATCTTGTGCAGCTGGCAGTGGCAGACCGAGAGATAGTGGCGCAGTGGTTGTTCTGCAAATTTCAACACATAGATATCACGAATCAGTTGCAGACGGTCGCGCATGTCATCTTTGCATTGTCATCAGAAGTCGCGCATCTGCAGACAAGAAACATGACGCCACCAACATGGAAAAGAAAAGACTGCCATGCCGTGGGACTCGCAGTTACGACTCGGTCGACACAGGCAAGACTCCAGTGGGCCTTGTACACTGCGTTCTTGTTTCAAAATGAGACTCTGCAGCGGCAGATCGACACGTCTGTGCGAGCGCACTCGCTAATAGATCCGGTTTTTCATTAGGAGTGCCATCTACTTTCTGTTTTTCTAACGGCCTTGAATCGAGAAACGGGGCCCGTTCTCGGCGCAAAATTCGTAGAACAAGTTTTCGGCCGACAAAGATCAGGCTGCCAAGATTGCCCTCGTTCGCGTCCAAAGATAGGTCACTCGAGTTTCATTGTCCACGTGCCACTTTTGGAAGCGTCGTCGACAGCCACGGTGGGCTTGCGAAAATGTAAAGAGACTAAGGACTGTCTTTTCTCTTGAAACGTTAGGGCTTCATCTCGTCGCGAATGTCGCGGGGAAGACCAAATAAGGCACTCTAGTGCTCCACGTACGTTCTGTTCATTAAATAAGGCGCTCCAGTGCTGCGCTCTCGTTATTTATTTTGATTCGAATCCACAATCAACAACTTTATCTACGTGGCCGGAGAAGTAACAAAGCAGATGGCGGTGGCCGGCGTTAGCTCTCTATACTTCCTAATTTCAAAACCAGTGCGAGTTTTCCCTGCTACATCAAAATGTCAAAAAAACCAGTGAGATGCGTTTCCATCCCGGCCACTGTTGTCCATGCTAACTACCTTCTCAGCAGCAGTTCGGTGCGTTCTATAAAAAGCTCTTCGCCCAGTCCGACAATATAAGCTCCGAAGAAGAGGAGGAAGGCGAGCTTCTACTACTCCGAAACAATTTCACGCACTGGCTGGGATACCGTGACAAAGTAGAGCCACTGTCTGCGCTTACGCACCCTCGTTGGCGGGGGTCCATAGGGGAGAACTCAGATCCTTCAATGTGCGAGATCTTGGCTGGCCCGCTCCGCTTGAGCACGCCTTTGTCCTTGTTGTGTCCCTTGTCCCTGTTGTGTTCCCTGTCCCTGTTGCGTAGTTCCTTGCTCGTGCTGTTTTTCTTGTCCCTGTTGCAGCGTCGGGTCATCGGGGGTCGTTTGTTGTCCCCCCGTGGTCCTCTGGGTCTTGGTTTGCGTTTGTTCTCCCCCCGTGGCTGGGGCCTCAACTGGAACAGTGGGCGACGTCGTCCCACCTGTAGCTGATGAAGGTCCTCCTTCCGTTGCTCCACCAGCAGTGCACGCGTGCTGCCCCCCGCCGCCTGTTGGCCCGATTGTAATTCCAACACTGGAACTACTAGCACCTGCAGCACCTGCTGCTGCACTACCAGTGCCCGTTCCGGCCCCAGGCAGCATCTGTGTACAAGGCGTCGTCGAAACAGCCGCGCCAGTTTTTTGCTGGTCAACTTCGCCTGGTTCTTGTAGCGCAGAGCCAGAAGAAGACCAAGACCCCACGCCGGCGCCAACAGAAGGAGAAGATATTGACCTCGTTATTTGTCTCCCAGTTGCCGCACCTGACGCTGTTCTTGATGCGTCGGCTTGGTCCAGTTGGGTAGGAGGCACTGCTTGTCGGGACGGGGCGGGGCCTAGAACGATAATACCAGCTGATCCTTGTCCTCCCGGAGAGAAATTATCAGCACCAGCTGCTCCACCTTTTCCTGCAGGAGTAGAATTGTCAGCGGCATCTTGGGCGGCGGTAGTTGCTGCTTGTAGTCCAGACGACGCGGGGCCTGGGGGCGTCGTAGAAGTTCCCCCTGGTCCAGCACTGCCACAACTTCTGCCTCCAGAAGAACCACCTCGAGGGCCCGAACTACTAGTACCACCCTGGTGCACCCCCTTTATTGACCGACTGGCATCTTCTTCTGGAACGACACCATGTCCCCTCGTGATCTCCGCGCTGCCTGCATCCGCCGCGCTGCGATCCCGCTGCAGCGCGTCACGGAAGATCAGATCTTGGATCGGCCTATGCACTGCGAATGTGTCCGGGTCTGGAAATTTGTGACGCTCGGCGAAATGCGGATGGCGGAAACACTTCCGAATGCTGCCCAGCATGTCAACTTACCAGAACGCTTTCTCTTAGACAGTCCGCATGAGAAACTGCGTTTTTGCATGACAAAAGAGGAGGTGACTCGTGTTGGTTTGGCAATTTAGATTTTTGACGAGTATTCGCCCAAAGGTAGCACTTTTGCAGTTTCCAACTTTCCAGCTCCAGGCATTACATATGTATTGGATAAGACCAGATCTTGGTCGGCCCGCTTCGCTTGAACGCGCCCGTTCCGCTAATCAGTCCGATTACATCGTCCGGAGATAAGTCGGCGAAGAAGCTCGTCGGGTCGATCAATAGGCTATCCAAATCTTCCAGCTGCCTTCGCAACCGTTGTGCATGTGCGCTCCTCGTCACGGGCTTGCCCTCAAACTCTTTCTCCTCGCGCTGCGTAGCCATCGTGGCACTCTTGGTCCTTCCATCGCTTTCTTGATCGTCGAAGTCGGGTTGGTGTTGCTGTTCAGCGTCGGGACCTCCACTGGCGGAGAAAAAATCTTCCTCTTCACCATCCGCAGGACATGCCGCAGCTTGAGCACCGCCAGCGGCCGAAGAAGCCACATTCCCCCACAGCAGGTCCTTTTCTCCTTCCAGGAGCTCAATTTGCGGCAACCCTGCAGCAACCGTCTGTGATTCAACCCTTGCCGGGCTCACAACGGCTGCCGGCACCCTTGCACGATCCAAAGCAGCCGCTCGCCCGTAGTGCTGCTGAAGTCCTGCTGCTGCATCTGTTGCTTTCTCGGCCGAAGCCGCAGCTCTCCTATGTAAAAACGACCCCGCCCCAACCTCACGATGGGACTTCTTGTACCACACAAATAATTCCGAAGGCTCGAAAGTAAAAAAGTGACAAATTTTTCCGCCGCAATGTGGTGCAGGTTAGCAAGGACAACCGCTTAACAGGGCAATCTGCGTTTATGGTTTACAGCATCATAAATGCCAGAACACGACTACGGAGGCCTCTCAGCATAGAGCTGCAAACCCAAACTGTATTGCAATGCATAAGGAGCTGAAGTCTGAGTGCTGTATTTCAGTGCTGCTGCGTCTCTCTTTTTGCAAAGAGCAAAAACCAGAACTCAGGCCTCGGCTAGAACTGGTGCGGCACGTGGGTGGGAATGCGCGCGATGCAAGTGCTTCCGTAGCTGTAAACGCATACCTGTATGACAAGTCTGGGGCGTGGCGTTTCTACTTAAGATAGCAGCAACTGCTGCTGTACCATTCCCAAGATGAGCCGCGCTTCTTTCCAACCCAGAGTCGACGTCTTCTGCATCTACACCTCGTTGCGCCTCGTCCGAGTCCAAATAGCCCTCGGGCTCAGTGGCCCGATCATCGTCAATCCAAGACAGATTGGAATCGGTGTCCTCTTTGCCTGCCCGAGCGTTTATATTGTTCTCGAGGAAAACTTTCTGCTGCTCCAGCATGTCGGCGTCGGCGGTTCGAGCGCCAGCACCGACCGGCGGTGGGTGGTTCAGCTCGAGCCCTTGTGGGACCACGGAACCGGCTCCGCCCCCCTGTCCTGAAGAGCTGGCGGGCTTCTCCAGATCGAAAACTGGGCCTTCATGCGGGCCGCTGGCGGGCTCGACTGGGTGCGGCTTCTCATGAGGAGCCTCCTTGCCGAGCTGCAGTTCTGACGGCGACCCAGAGGCGAGGGCAAAGGGCTTGGTGACTGCTCGGCCGGTGAAGAAAGAACCACATTCGCCCTCAAAGTAAAGAAACACACTGACAGCGCTCGCCAGATTTGCCAGCAACCGGCCGCACCTTGTTTTGCTGCTTTCCCCGATGATCCTCATTTCGTTCCTGCTTGTTTCAGGAAACGGGTGTACTAGTTTTGGCTGTTACTATCAAAGTTCGATGCGTAGAAGTACTTGTAGTCGCTTAGGTTGGTGCCTCTCGTAAAGAAAAGCTGAAGAGGGGAACAGCAAGGCACTAGCTGGCCCCACGCTTTTGTTTGTGTTTCAACAGAGGGCTGCTCTTGCTGCTAATATTTCGATCCTAGCTGAGTTTTGGTATTGTACTTGCTTCCTCCATTCCTCGGAAACACCTCTTTGCTATCCGCCGCCTTGTTGTATCTATGCGGGCTCGCTAAAAATGAATGACAGGCATTGAATATCAACAGAAACACAAGCTTCGGGGGCACAAGAAATCGAGTCACTGTGGGGGGGGGTAAGGGCATGGTAGATAGGTTTTTGGACCAGTAGGCGCATCAAATGAAATGGAGTTTCAGGTGTGTTGCGGTTTGTATTTACTTCATCTGGTAGTGGAAAAAATTTCAAATCACTAACAGCAGAGGCCAGCGCATCCTCGTAAAGGCATTCGCTTTTGCTACCTCAGGGCGAGGCAGAAAAACGGTGCACGTTTCGGGCTAAAAGCGGCGCTTGCAAATGATCAAAGGTGGCGAGAGCTTGCAGAGCTGTGCTCGTTTTGAAGTGCGGGTAGATCAATATTACAGAACTTTCCAGGAAAGACCTGGCAACCTGATCTCCCACGAGCGCAATGCGGTGAGGGTTGTTTCCACACGCTTCTCTTTTCGGTAGTTTTACGTCTGGAGACCTAGACGAGCACGATCTGTGTTTTTTGTGTTTTTCTTAATCTTTTCTAAATTCTTATTGCGCACGCCAACGCGCTCAACAGCTCACATAAACAGGGGCAATTCAGCCACAACTTTCTTCTTCTTCGATCTCGGTTCTCTGCGAGGTTTCGTCGCAGCAATAAAACCTCACTCGGCCAGAGATGAACATCGGCCACGCGAGCCGCTTACCAATGCTTTAAGCTGGACGCTTTTCTGCTCGGAATTCTGAAAAAGATCTTGCGCAGCTGGCAGTGCCAGACCGAGAGATAGTGTCGCAGTTGTAGTTGTTCGGCAGACTTCAATACGTAGATAGGACGAATCAGTTGCAGACGGTCGCGCGTGTCATCTTTACATTGTCATCAGAATTCGCGCATCTGCAGATAAGAAACATAACGCCAGCAACATGGAAAAGCAAGGATTGCCTGTCTTTGCGGAATTTGCAAACGAACTCTGTTGCCGTTTTTCAAGCGACGGCATGTCGCGTCTTCGTAAGTCACGGCGGAAAGATTTCGCGTCAAAGATGTGCGGCAACGTCGTGATTTCCCACAATCTAGTTATTGAAGAGGGTTTACAAGCTTAGTACATTCTACAAACTGTCAAGACCACTAGAGCAGCGCGCGCGCGGTGACCTGCTGTTGCTGCGAAAGCGTGAAACGAGGTGAATGGGCTAAATCCCACTTCTTCCAAGCTTCTTCAGATATGAGTGACTGCGGCCAAAAGGTGAGAATTATTTGAAACGAAAGCCAATATATGTATGTATGTAAATCTCGCGACAGCTTTATTGATATAATTTACCCCGGAACATCCACAACGGACGCATCTGCGTCGTTTCAGTGGCCCTGGTAAAGTTCTTTTTCTGGAAAGATATAGAGAGAAGTTCGCAAAACGGCAAAACCAATAGCGCGGCCGGGGCTGCTGACGCTACGCTCACTGCTGGGAGTTTGAAAGCAAAAGCCTTTTTGTTCTGGTGCCTCATCATCAGAAATTATGAACCGCGAAGAACGGGCCGCACCAACTAAAGATCGAGATCGAAAGAACTTGGTCATTGCCTACAACTTAAAAGTATATTTTACAGTGTAATATCAAATTTGAAGTCTGAGTAGATCACTGTAGCCGGAGCGAACTGCGTGGCTTTGTGATGCTAGTCCTGTAAAAGTATATATCTATGAAAGCGACTAAATAGAGAAAACTAGGGGCCTTTTGAGGGCTAGCGCCGATGACACCCCTGAAAACCAAAAAAGTAAAGGTCTTGCTGTTCGGAACGGAGTCAGAATATCGGCATCGTGCCCTCGTGGAGGGTTGATCTTGTTGGGACGCGCGTAGCGCTGATGAATAAGTAAGACCTTTAGTGTGGGCCGTAGTGTTGTGAAAGGCAGAGCTTGATGGTAACGCATTATATTGCCGCCTCAGGGGTCGAGCTTGGAAGGGCACAAAGGAGCTCAGAGACATACTATCGTGTGAAAGGGTAGCCTAGATGAGGAAGCTGCATATCTCTGCAGCAGGTCCAGGTGCTCTGACGTGCTGAGCTTACACGGCCACGATGTAAAGCAAAACGATAGAGATCAGAAATTGTTCAGAGAAATACAACAAAAAAGTCAGAAAATATTCCACAAGCCCCTGCGGGAAACTGAAACCCCTCGCACGCCCACACCTAGGGCCCAAGGAGGTCTTACTGGCGTTGTGGTAAGTTTCAGAACGCCTACGCAACTCCACGTGGTCTGTTTGAGAAAATTCGAAGAAAAGAGGAGATGGGGGGCAGAGAAGTATAAGGCGACCGCTTCTGCAGTAGACACTACAAGCCAGCACGGACTCTAGTGCAGAAACACTTCTGTTTCTTCACCCGAGGAGGTGCTTCTGGTACTAAGTACTGCTACTCCCTATTCTACTTCCCCCGTACGACGCTTTTCTTCCCCTTTTTTCTCATTTTCGATGTTTCTGGCACAACGGTAGCAAGAGTGGGACACTTTGGTCGCTCCGGTTAGTAATCTTGGTACCCGCGAAGCATCTGTAGTTTTTCCCATTCCTCGGCAGTTTCCGGCGGCGAAAAAGAGGAGCTGGAGTAATCGTGTGCGGCCATGGGGGACGGTGGTGGCGGTGGGCCACCCAACATCGCTCTGGTCCGGTGGGGAAGGAGGCTTTCAGGCACAACAGGATTCATTTCCCTAGGACGGCCAGCAGGAGCAGCAGCTTGTGTACTCTTTGCGCCAACAGAAGCTGCTTCGCGGCAGCGCTGTTCTTCCTGCTTGGAGTCTTTAGTTTCCATGTTATCCACCGGGCCTTCACCGGGTTGAACGAAAGTGGCCTCACTGGGGTACGGCGACGGTGGAAGCTTTGAGCAGTCGTCGGGCCGTTCTTGACCAACACCTTCAAATTGACCAAACAGCAAGACACCAGAGCTGTCACTCATTACCGGCGCCGTGGCGTTCGCGTATATATCCTATAAAATGCAAACTCGTCTGGGTCTAGGAAGTTGATGTGCCGCAACTCTCTAATTGGTGGGTACTGGAATACACAACCACAATGTGGTTGTGTATGGGCGAATGTGACATTCGCCCATACCAAATTATTGAGCTGCTACGTGTTTCTTGCTCCGCATCGCAGATTCTGTTTATTTTGGGTCACATGTACCATCAAGAGGGGTTCTTTGTGCATGCACGTGCATCACAGACATCAGGACGATACCGGCCAAGCGTGACAAGTCTTGCATCTTAAGTCTTCCAGGCCCAGACAGGTTTGCACACGATACATCTTCGTCGTGTGCCACAACTCCTCCACCAGCTAATGTACCTGATTGCTGCCAGTGCCAGGGCAGTGCCTGGCCTCGACACACGTTCTTTGGCTACTTGTCAGCCACCGCCTGTTCGTGACAGGGAGTGCGAGACTCATTTTCGGAGGAGTCTAGCTTGTCCCAGAGCAGGACAACGGGCGCCTTTATGGCCGGGGAAACTTGCTCTTGCGCGCCTTCAAATTGCTGCTGGTAGTGGTCGTAGCGTTGCCACGGCGCAGCTTGATGGTTCTGGTCCACGAGCCGCGTCCTGGGTGCTACTGTTCTTTGGTAACCGACCGCCGGGCCGTGGAGCGAATGTAGTAGTTCATGCTGACACGATAACATCATGCCGTGCCCGTCGTGTTGGAAGAACGGGTCGGCGGGGGCTGCTCTGCCACCGCATTGTTCGCGTTGCCCTTGCAGGTGCAGCTGTGGCACTTGCTCTACCGGCGCATTTTCTCCAGCCTGATCTTCCGCGCGTCTTGCAGGATTCTTTTGTTCGTTGGATATTTTCTTCTGGGCCGCGGGGCCGCCCTGCTTCATAGTGATGATGTAGCAACGCCCCTGCGCTGGCCGTCCTTTGATATTCTCCTCGCCCGGCTTCTCGTCTGCCGCTTCATACACACGGACGCGGGCGGGCACGCCCTCGACCGTGCGGAAGGTTTGCACGGGTGGTGGAGGGCCGGCCTTGCTGCAAGGGGCCTTGGTCTGCTTCCGCGCTCTGTTGCCAGGTAGAAAAAATCTGGCCGCGGAGGCGGGCGGGAAATTGTCGGACCCGTGCTCTGGGACTGCTGCGCAGCCAGCTTCGCCGCCGCCTGGAGCATCCGCGCCCCCTCGCTTCCAGTGTGTCCTTGGCCGGGCCGGGGAGCGATTTTTTGGTCCCGGGCTGAGCGCCGGCCGCGCTAGCTGGTCCCCAGGATCGACGTGATCCCTGTCCTGCCCCTCAAGCAGGTTCTCGGCAATGTCGGGCGCGTCTATTACACTGTCAAACTCAAGGACGGGGCCGATCTCCGAACTTCTTCTCGCGGAGGCCTGGTAAAAAATTTCAAAATGGAAAGTCCATAGTATTTCGAGTAAGCGTATGTCTGCCTGTTGTATCCAGGAAAAAAACTGTGTAAGTGTAACTTTGCAGGAAGATCTAGATCAGCATCACAAATTCGTCTTGCATTACAGGAAAGACCTGTCATGCGTAGCTCGTACTATGTGGAAACGCGTACGCAAGTGGCCTATGATGCAAATCCAGCATGACACATGTGCCAGTTTTGCATTTTCTGTGTCCCAGACTTACACTTACACAGTTGTTTTCTTGCATATCTTGATGCTTTCCCGCAAAAAGCACACATGGTCCACGAGCAATCCTCCTGCTCATCTACAAAAAATGTGGGCGAAAAAAATGACAAAGAGCAATCTTCGAGCTGGCCCAACAAAAATCTGCAAGAAGATTATCGGCCAACTTGATCCATCGCAAGATTCTCAGCTTTTCTTGATTCCAGGTCGCACCACTAATCTGTCTATAGACGAGCATCAATTAAATTATCGTACCTGCGGCGCATCCAGGACGACAGGCTCTTTTCCCGCAGGTGCTTCCTCTACAGCAGAGCTCGCAGCAGCTCTCGTGCAGCGTCCTCCTCTGTCATTGGCCGGAGGCTGCGATGCTGTTGGCATGCCATAAGGCCGGCTTTTTCGCTCTCCTTGTTCTCGCCCCCTCGGTAGCATACCATGGCAGGCGGCCTTCCGGTGTTTGCCTTTCCGCACTGGGTTTGACGCGCTATGTTCATTTGGTACTTGGAAAAAGCGATGCCGCCGAACGTCGAATTTTACCTTCACCGACCCCTCTCTCGGGATCAAATCAGAGTCCTGCAGATCGTAGTATCTGCTCGGGTTTTTGTTCCTATTGCATTGCACCACAAGGACCACCGCGACGAGAACGGCCAGGGCGGCGAGAAAGATCGCGACCCCGGTTACCACCCAGGCAAGCGTCGCTACCTCCTGCTGTGCTTGGTAGTAACTCTGGGCGAATCAAAGGAAAAAAAGCCAATGCCCGGTAGTCAAATAAATTTCACTAAGTGCAAAGATGTTCCACTTGCCTCGAAGTTTTCGCGCCATGACAGAAGAAGACAAAGGCTGGTAGCTTGTTGTCGTGGGAAGCTGTGGAAACTAGCTTAGGTAGCGGCTTTTGATAGCGAAAAGAGCCACTGTAGTAACTTAAGACGCAGCCCATCAGGCTAGCGCCACGCTAAACTGCAGGCAAATATCTTTAAACTAAGTACCCAGTGGCTGCTCCTTCCCCACCGCCTTTTTGCGACAAGCCTACTCATATATAAGTGAGGACTGCACCAAAAAAAAAACTTTTGGAGTTCGGGCAGCGCAAGCCATTTTTCCGCATGATAAGCGAAACCGCTCGGACGTGAATTCAAGGGCAGTGCGGTTTCGTGCGATTGCCTCTCGGCAGACCTCGTCATCGTCACGCAATTCGAAATCCAGATGCCGCAGCGCCCGGCCGCATCGCCGCACTGCAGCCAGGCCCAGCTCCCGGTCCCGCTGCAGTTCCGAGGAAGCAAACCTCATAGCGACACAGTCGCGACTTGTCGCCGGCCCGTGCCGGCCCTCGTTGCCAGGAACAGCGCTGTCATCTTCGTTGTCAATCGCTGAGCGAAGTACGTCTCGATTCCCCCGTAAGCGCTCGGAGGCGAACTCAAGCATTGCGGGCACAGCTGCAATATCGAATGCAAAAGTAGAGTTTTTGCCTTTGTAGTAGTTGCAGTACTGCTTGAAAAGTCTATTCCCTAATGTATACATAGCTCCTCAACATGACAAGTCGAATGCTCAGTGCGAAAAGCTTTTGCATATCATATGTAACGGCGATCGCAACAAGATTTTCATCGTCCCGCAGCCGCGGGGATGCAAACTCGAGGTTGTGCGCGACGTGCTTTACTGCGGGAAAAACAATATCCCCATGGTCCTGCAACCGGGTTGAAGCAAACCGGAGAAGCCCGAAAACGCGGAGAGCTTCCTGGCTCTCCTTTTCTGTGCCGGTTGCTTTGGGAACTTCCTCGAACCGCACGGCTTCTAACACTATGGGGAAGCTGTCGCGACAGGCCTCGCTGGCGTGCTCCAGGGCTGAAGGACTTTTTCGGATGCGATTTATCCATCGCAAATATGTCTGGGTCTGGAAAGTTGTGATGCTGCTTTATGGAATACGGAATGACAATGACCAAAGTATGCTTATGCAGCCAAGCATGACAGATTTTTGAGTTGTCCGGTGTTGCGTAAAGCGAGTAAAAAGTTGCGCTTCTGCATGACAAATAAGCAGCACGATGTCGGGAGTATGATAGCACACGCATTCCAGAGTTGGGGAGCATGGAGTTTAGAATTACAGGTCTCGCAATCTTCCAGACCCGGATACATTTGAACTGGATAAGGTCCCAGACGGTCTCAAAATGTTCGCACAGTGATTCCGGCTGGGCAGTTTATGCGTTGCAAAGATGTCTGGGTCTGGAAGAGTCGCGCGGGGTTTGAAGGATGGCGCGATCTGTAATGCGTCATTGCGATTGGTCAGGGTCAGTCTGTCATGCGTTTTACGAATAAGTGTGAATCTGCAACAAGCCTCGTAAAACTTGAAGTTTTCCAAGGCTTCTTGCAGATTCTGATCGATGGCATTGCGCAACACAAACGCCAGCTCTCCGGACATATTTCCTATGGATACAAGTCTAATGGGAGCAGTCATCGCAGCAGGAGCAACGTGGGAGCCGATCATGCTGATGCTCCTCCCGGGTGTCTTAGAGCCGTCGGAATTGTGTGGTGGGGTGATGATTGTCCTGTGGGCGAGCGGGCTGGTTTTTGCGGGTAGAAGAAGAGGCCCATGGCCATGTGGTCTACGTCTCGGGGGATGCTGCTGCTGCTGCGGCACTGGGCCACCAGGCGCATGATGTGGCCCAACTCGCGCTGGGGGCTGCTCAGGCCCATGATGCGCCCCACCCCGTGCTGGTGGAGGCTGCTGCTGCACTCGGCCAGCTACAAGACCGGGCTCCTGGTGCTGTTGCGCCGTGGCTGGGGCCCCAACTGGAACAGTGGGCGATGTCGTCCCACCTGTTGAAGGCACTGAAGCTACACCTGTAGATGGTGAAGCTCCTCCTCCCGTTGTTCCACCAGCAGTGGACGACGTCTGCTGTCCACCTCCACCACCGCCTGTTGGTCCGCTCGCAGTTGTTCCACCGACGCGAGGAGTACCTGCTGCACCAGTACTAGTGCCCGCCGTTCCGGCCCCGGGCGACAGCTGTGTAGCGCCAGGCGTTGTCGAAACAGCCGCGCCAGTTTGCTGCTGGTCAACTGCACCGGGTCCTGCTTGTGGTTCAGACGACGCGGAGCCTGGGACTACAGTAGAAGTTGCCCCTGGTCCACCACTGCCACCACTTCTGCGTCCAGAAGATGAACCACTATCACGAGGACCTTGGTCGTGCCCCTCTATTGACTGACCGCCACTATCTGCTTCGGGAATAATAGGGGAGCTGTGAATACGCTGGCCGGTAATGTTGTGAAACGGAAAAATTGTTGTAGTACTACACCCATTAGTTGTACCAGCAAAAAAAAAATGAATTGAGGTGTTTCTTAAAGATCACATTAAAATCCGCAGCACAAGTCTATTTATTTTTCTGGTACAATTATGGGTGTTGTACTATTTTTTCTGCATCGGATACGCATCGTGCGTCGCGTCGGGCCCGCCAATGATGGCATGGATGCGCAAGGAGCCCTCTGGACCTGGAGATGTTGATCTAGGACCCACCTCCTGTTCCTCTCCAGTCTCTGGCGGCACGACCGGCGGAGGCACTACAGGCATCGTCTGCGTCTGCGCCCCCTGGTTGGCGGTGCTACTGGTCGGACCCCCAGAAGCAGTTCCGCCTGCCCCGTCCTGTCCCGCCGCCGCGCTGCCATCCCGCTGCAGTGCGTCCGGCAAGATCGGATCTTGCATCGCTCTTGGCGGCGGTGCGTGAGCTGCACCTTTGGCGGCAGCGATAGTCGTGTTTGCTCCCCGATTATTCTCCTCGTCGAGGGCCTGCGCTTCTTGCTCCGGTCTGCGGTTGACAACGACCGAAAACACATCATCGAACGAAAGCGATGCGTGATCTTGTTCTACTCTAGTGTGCTGCTGTTGCAGCTCTTGTTGTAGTCCTGCCTCAGCATGATCCTCACCGGACCCCTCTCCTGCTCTTCCCCCGCCGGCAGCGCCCACCCGCGCGAGGCTGAGAACCCGCGGAAAACTTTGGCCGCTCTCCTGTATCACAATGAAAAACCCCCCCCTCCCCATATCAAAACGGAAATCTGTGATGCGGGATTTGTGTACACAAATCACATTTGTCTTGCAGGAAAGCATTGCACACAGATCGCAAGCCCAAGGGGGGCCCTTTTGGTGTAGGGACCTAGTCGATGGCAGACGTCTGCCCTGTAGGCCTTGCAGCATTACAAACCGCCTGCATGTAATCGCGGCGGACTCTCTGGATTTGCCTTCTGGCAAGACAGGCCGGATTTGTGGTCACAAATCTGCATCACAAATTTTCAGGGCGACATGTTTTAAATATGGGGAGGGGGGATTTTTCCTTGCAATATCCTGGTTGTAAGGTTTGTTCGCGTGGTCCTCGCGGGGCATTTCTCGTCGCGAGCGTTTTCCGCCATCATGGGAGGAGAGCAGCACCCCGACTGTTTTTCCAAAATTCGCAGGATTCTCGGCGGCTCGTGCTGCGAGCACCTCCGGGGCGGTTACGGGGTCAAAAGGAAATTCTGCCTGCGACGCGGCCACGTTGTCCAGGATCTTCCTCTCCACAAGCTGCTGCTCATGGTCCTGCACGGCTTGTTGTAGTTGCGCCGCCGCTGCTTGTTCCACCATGTGGTCGACTTGGGCCGCGCCGGTGGTGGTACTATTATTCTCTTCCCATTCTTGCCTGAACCTGGCAAGTCGCTTGTCCTGGATCAGCTGCTGCTCCCTCTGCTCCTGATATGGATTGCAAAAATGTCTGGGTCTGGAAGATTAGAACTTGTAATGCTAAATCTGAATGATGCAAAAATCTGTGCTGCGTGAGTGCCAAAAGCTGTCCGCTTCTGACCAAGTTGAGAGGGAGTTTCTCATGCAGGAGAGGCATGATAGAGACCTCAAAGAATCTGTCATGCTGGGTTTCGCATTCCAGACCTCATGGGTCATGGAAAACCTGCATCACAAATCTTGCAATCTTCCAGACCCAGACATTTTTACATTCGATACCTGATCCGGCGTTTTTATCGCGCCCCCGCGGACACTGGTGTTTGGGCTGCTGGTGCGGTGTGGACGAGCAAACACGTCCGGCTGTAGCTCCCTCTGCAGCGTGTCAAGGGTCCTTCGATTCAACGTCGAGGACTTCTGTGGAGGTCCTAGATCTAGTGCATCTGGCACACCAGCTGCTGCAGGAGTTCCGCTCGTAGTTTGCCTGGATCTTGCTTTCGTCCTTGAGGAGGTGGCAGCACCTGCTGTCGCAGGAATTGTTGTCGCCTGGACCACTCCTCGTTGTTGTTCCTCGAGCTGCGGTGTCGTGGCTAGTGCAACCGTTTATCAAATGCAAAAGTGTCCGGGTCTGGAAGAATGCAAACTTCTCATGCATATTTTCCATGCCCCATGAGGTTTGGAATGCAGGACCTAGCATGGCAGGTCCTGCGACGTCTCTATTATTCCTATCCTGCATGACAACATGCCTCTAAACTTGTTCAAAAGTGGACAGCTTTTGGTAGTCATGCAACACAAATTTTTGTACAATCCAGACTTAGCATGACAAGTTCGCGTCCTCCCAGACCCAGACATATTTCTTCCCGGCTTACAACCCGATTATTCTCCTCGTCGAGGGCCTGCGCTTCTTGCTCCGGTCTGCGGTTGACAACGACCGAAAACACATCATCGACCGAAAGCGATGTTACTGACGTCGTCTGCAACAAAGTGTCCGGGTCCGCGTAACACAGGCTCAGCAGTGTGGTATCCCTCAAGAGTGGGCCCGCGCGTGTGTTTACCGGAGAAAAAAACGTTGGAGGTAAATGAAATCGGACATCAATCCGGCGATGTGAAGATGTAACCGGAGAAAAAAACGGAGGTGGAACGTCAGAGGATGGATCCGGAAAATGTGGAACGTTGGAGGTAAAAATGAAACGCCAATCTTCCAGCGATGAGTCTAGAAAACCTTGGACGCCCGCATCGCCAACCAGCCTGAGGTTTAGCATGTCCGAGAACGAAATATTCACTGACACTATAGGGGCACCATCATGATTATCTGCTCTCCCCATATTTGTTCGAACGAAGTTTGCCGTCTCGGGGGAAGGCAAGTCGTGGAGCACCCGCCACTTTCCGTCAGCATCGTGCCGCCAAGAGGCAGCCGACGGGAATTTTCTTCCAAGACGACTTATCCAATTCCGATCGTCTTTCCAATATAATGTAGCTCCATTATCCGTCATACGATGAAATGCGGGCCACCATTTATATCCATTACGCCTGAGCATGCGGGCAACAGCCAGGACGACAGGCCAGTGTCTCAGGCTCTGCTCGATCTGTTCCGGCCACGTCATGGACTGGGGATCCAGAATGGAAGGTTGTTCCTGCGGTCTAGCTAGCTTAAACTGAACTTCGCACCAACTTGCTCTCGTGCTCCGGTTCTCGCGAGAGGCCTCGACGCCATGCGATCTGGCTGCGCACCAAACGGCTAGGTGGATAAGGAGGACGCGCTGCCACCAGTGTGACGCGTTTCGCACCAGCCATCTTCTCCCCGACCATGTCATTTTTCGCGACCTGAAGAACCCAATGGGCACGCGGAGACCACGAGCGGATATCGGATTGATGTTTGAAGCCATCCTAGAACCACTTATCGGGGTATGCATTGCAAATGGGTCGGGGTCTGGAAGACTTCTATATTTGTCTTTGTCACGCGCGTCGGACATGACTCGGGATACCCACGAAAAGGTCCTCTGGCCTGTGATGCAACGACGCAGTTTGCCATGCGAATAATGCGCAACACATAGCAGCCCGACAATTTGCCACGCTTACTTAGCTGTGTATTGCAATACTTCATTCTTACCGTTCCCTTTCAGCATGACAACCTTCCAGACCCAGACACATTTGCTGTCGATATTGGCTGGCGGATCCAGATGGTGCTCCACTGGCACCGTCTTCGCCTGCTACTTGTCTTCGCCTTTCTTGGCGGCACTACTTGTTTCTGCAGGACTGCGTACGGGAAACGCAGAAGGATTTGCGGCAGTTGCTTGGGCTAAAGCTGTTCTTCAATGCTGGGGAACTGGGTCGCGGGGAAGAATAATTTTTGGTCTTCGTCAGGACACCAAAGGCCTAGGGGTAGTGCCGAGGCAAAAGACGACGTGCTTCTGGACGAGCAATATGTTGGCGACTACTATGGGGAAAACATATCGAGACCATCGTCTTCATCGTCGCACCCACCATTGTCAAAACATCGCCAGGGTCGTGGAGAAACATGCTCAAAAAATCCAAGCTTTTCTAGTTCTTTGTGAAAGTGTAACTGTGAGAATGTAATTGTGAAAGTAGAGGACACGCTACGCCACGTGGCACTACTCATAACCATTAGCGCGGTGTGCTGTATTCTAGCGCGGTTCCTGCTCCGTTCATTTCTCGGAAAAAAATGTTTCTCGAAAACCAGCCGTGTTGTGCTTTAATTGCTAGGAACGACAAAAATGGCCCTTGAATTCTGGTTCCCGTGGTCCTGTGTCCGGGCAAGGCTCTAAAGGCGATCTATTTGTTCTTCGCTTTTCTTGTCGATGTCCTCTTTATTCTGCATTTCAAGATCTAACCTTGCAGATCTGGTCAAAGCAGGTTGCTCACCTTCTATGCTTTCATCATTCGAATAATACTATACTAACACTTGTTTACGAAAATGCTTTTATTCTGGATGATCTGTAGCCTAGTTATGATACCTCTACCGAGGCTAACTTCTTCTGCAGACGATCTGAAGTCGTTGTAGATCACAATATTTGTGCGAGAATTAGCACCGCTGAGGCAACCCACGTCACACACGACGAAAAGCACTGCCGAGGCGACACTCGTACGTTGTATGATTTTCACCGTTCCCTCTCCATCGAAGACCTCAGCGCTTCCTTCATGGTTGTCGTTGGGTCGACACAGGGAGGACTCCGGTGGATGTTACACACTGCTTTCTTGTTTCAAAGTGGGACTCTGCAGTGGCAGACTGACGTGCCTGTACGAGCGCACTCGTTGTCGGATACAGCTTTTTGAAAGGAGCGCCTGCTTTGTGTTTTTCGAACAGACCGTCTCGAGCAGGAGGCGGCATGATGGGTCTGTGCTGTTGTCTTTGGTTCTTCTCGTTCAAGAAAATGGGTAAAGCCGCGTCAACAGTCGACACTTGCTCTCCATATTTCATTTTACATTCTCGATCAAGAGGTAGGGGTTTGTAAATCAAAGGGATAAATCAAAGGCAAACGCAAAATAAAAAAGGTACTTGCCGATACATAAGACGTAGTGAGTTCTACTCCATTTTTGTGAACAGGAAAAGAAGTTCCGAACAACTTTTGATTATCTCCTTGTAGAAAAAAAAGTGCCTCGATCTCTTTGCCGAAATATCGAAATGTGACCGGCATTCGAGTGTTGTGAGTCTAGGAAAAAATAGATGTTTTGTGAGTGGCAGCACATTGCGTTCGACAAAGTCACGTAGTTTTGAATGCCTCAAAAGATTTCCTGCACGCCGTCCTGAAAGCCGACGCGATCACTCTGAAGATTTTGAGCATCTTCCGGCTTCAGCATGTTTAGCGCAAGAACTTCATCTGGCGAAAAACCCGTTTCAATGATTGCGCGGAAAACTTTAGGCCATCCGAGCTCCACTATTCGGTAGAACCTATCCGCGGCTTGCAAACGCGCGCGAAGTTCCGCTTGCTGTTCCTCGTCGTCGAAGGGAGCCTCTGCTTCTGCAGCCGCCAGGGTTCGCTGAGAAATCCAGACTTTTATCGGTCGGTCCGTGACAAACTTTTCCGCGCGGTCGTCTTTCAGCCTGCCGGTGTTAAAGTACTGATCACAATGCAGATACTCTAGTCCAGTTCCGTAATTCTCGGCTCTGCGGACTCCCGCGAACACGCCGTGTTTGGTCTCGTGGGCATGTCCTGGACGAAGCTGCAGCGTCCGGTCGTCAAGAAGCGCTTTAAGCATCTCATCGTTCCACAAGTCGCCGGTCAGCAAATCCAGATCGCGAGTATCGACCTCGCCCTCCCCCGGAAAAACCAATTTGAAGTCGTAGTTACGAATGGGGATGACGAGAAAGCCGCCCTTCCCACCGGCCGCGATTCTGTTGTCACACAGAGAGCTACTCGCGCCAGAGTGGTGGCTAACGCTACCGTCCAGTTTTTCCCGAAGAACATCGGCGGGAACGGGTTTTTCCTCATTATCCAAGGCGACGTCATGGCAACATTCTTCTCCTGTGATCTCGTCGTCTGCCAGCGCAAGCGGCATGCCTAGAACAAGTTGCTGCGGGTAGAACTGCAAACACAGATATCCACCCGGCGAGGTGCCGTCCACGTAGTGGCTCATCTGCTGCATGCGAACGTCATATATCGCACATGGTGTTCCCTCGTGGTCCTTGTCAGCGCAAAACCGCCGGCTTCGCAGGCGATCACATAATGCATGCTCACTGATGTCACGTCCTGTCTCAGGGCAGTAGGCCCGAAGGCGACACGACGACAGCACTTGATCGTCGACTTCTTCCGTGCTCTTTTCGCAAACTAGATCTACCTCCACTGTTTCCGCTCCGCCGGAAGCGACGGCCATAGCGGTATCGGCGTCACCTGTGCAAAGTTGATTATGCTAATTCTCATATCTTGCTTGAGCAGAAATCTTCGTTGCTGTTTTGAATCTGCTGCAAAAAAAATCAACCTGAATCAAGAATTCCTTTTCTGATAGAGTACCTAGCTCTTCATTCAAAAGTAGGCGGAAAATATTGTAAGTTAGTACCCTCATTTGCATGCGCTGTGGCGTCATGCCTGCCAAGAAACTGTTGAGGCCGGGGCGCTTGCTCCGTGCTCCCTTCCTCGGTGGTCCGCAGAACAGGGAGCTTGCACCGCATGGACACCCAATGGGTCGTCATCGGCGTTCCCGTAATGGCACTGGGAACCGCGGCTGGTTGCGCAGCGCGACAGAGAGATTGCGAAAGACATACAGGCGTACTTTGCGGCAAATATCCAAGTGTTCACCATAGTGGACTAGTCTTCCCCACTGTGGTAGCCATTACTCATACGGGGAATTTAGATTTTCTGAAACAAACTCACTCAAAACAAATTCCCGTGCTTTTTTGTGAAGTGTTTCGAGGGGTATGGAAATAATCGGAAAAATTATATTTGTTGGCTTTCATCAAACAAAAGGTTGAAAAATATGAGGAGCACTCTGTTCTTGTACCTACTCACAGTTGCTTGCCTGTTGAGGAGTGTGAATCGGGGATCTTGATATATCCGAAAACGAAAAGCCGTAGGGCATTTGAACTGGAAATCAGAACGAAAATTCAATCGTGGTTTATCTTCGGTCAGAGCCAGCTTCGCAGCTCGCACTGCTTAGCTACACTTGCAGGCACCAATCACGAAAAAATTTACGTTCTGCATTTTTTATTCGTCTTCTTGCAACAACATAGACCTAGTATGAGTGAAAGATCATGTCGCAATGCTATTCCAGTCCATTATTATCACGGGAGAAAAGCGTCAGTGGCACGGAGCATCTGCGCATTGGTGGATCATTTTCATTTATCTGTTCATGCAATGCTTGGTGGAACACTGTCTGGACAGCCGGAATTCCTGTCCGGGCGTAGGTGGTGATACAAACGCATGAAGTTGTCCAATGTTCGGAAACGAAATTCCACCTCTACTTGTCCAGCATGCGATTCATTTTTTCCTTGCTTCTCAGACGGGCTGAAACTTACAGCTATCGTCTTTGTTTTCTCTTTATCCTGGTTTGTTGCCAACACTAGCAAATGTCTTGCAGTGGCATTGGGGAAAAAGTGAAACACCAGGTATCAGCAAGTTCGTAGAGCTGCTTGAAAGTAGTAGCAAGTGCCAGCACTTCGCAACAGGTGCGAAGTGTGCGTGTCGGGCAAACATACAAATCTCTCTATGGCCATCCGTCACCAACCATAATGGACACGATGAGACTCGGGAAAGGGCTCACACTCCGTCTGCTCCACGAACCGGCACTATGGAACAAAAGAAATTTGCACCGCCATCAGTTTCTCTTATGCTTTTTCCATATTCATTTCAGTCATCATCATGAGATCATCATCAACATAATACTCGGAACTGATACATGAATTCCAGCCGCAAGCCCGTGCAGGAGGAGGAGCCAAGCATCGTTATATAAGCTTTCCTTTTTGCCAGAAAAAATGTTTGTATAGGTGTGGCTGATCATGCAAAGGCGAGCTGATCGAGGTTGATTTCTTGCGTTTTTTAACTGCGCGAGGATCGGATCTACCTGAGCCAGGTACTGCCGTTTGTAGTCCTCATCGTCCTGCAGGTCAAGTCGAAAAGGTAGATCTGCATGCTCGCGAAAGAATTCGACGAAGGGCTCAAGTGTTTTGTACGTATCCAACCAGTCAGTTTGAAGTTTGTTTAATTCGTCATCCGCCGGAAAGGAAAACCGCACGACGCCGAGTTTCTGTAGGAGCGGGATGTTCCTTTCGGTAAAAAATGCGTGCATCAATTCCACGTACAGTACGAGGTTCTGGTCGACCATGAACCAGAGGTCGATTCCCTGGGCATCGGGTTTATTCAACAGAATGAACTTCAAATCTTCGACGGCCTGCTGAAAAACATCAACGTCATGGACACCCCAGATGCGGAACCGCTGGATAGGGGCCGTGGACTCCGCAATACCATCGCGCATTCTGGCCAGGACCGCCGGAGTGAGCGTGAGGGTGCTCAAAGCTCTGCTGCTGTCGGTTTTCAGATATTCACGTATTTCGTCGAGCCCCTCATCGATCAATGGTTGCGCGTCTGCGTCTGGTGACTTGCTAGCCAATCCGTCGATCTGGACTCCCCAGCGAGGTGCCCGGAGAGTTTCCTTAGACTCAGCGTCGACCACGACAAGGTCCTGCAAGGCTCGAAGCTTCACCAAAGCACCACCAATGCCCCGTAAATTTCCGCCGACGACAAAGAGCTTCTTTAGCGTGGCTGCAGCGTGGTCGTTCTGGGCTAACGGCTGCCACAATGACGCTTCGAGGGTCTGCCCCGTCTTTCCATTCCAATAAATTTCGAGCTCCTCCAGCTGCGGAGCATGCCGAAAGAATTCTCCCAAGCCGTTCTGGATTGCGTCCTCATTAAAGTGCTCGTGGGCATCGGCACCGTCCTCGAAGGCGTGGAGGAAGATTGCAAAACGCTTTACCGCGGTAAAAAGCAGCGCGCAGGGGTTCGGGCGTTTGGAGTTGGCCGCCAGGAAGCCGAAGAACTTCTTTTGCCTTTCTGCTGGCCATTTGTCAGTCCATTGCCCTTTTGCATAGTTGTTCATGAAAGTGCCACGGCATTCCAGTTTTAGGTTTTCGATTTCGCCCAAGCTCAGGCAATCCTGAAAATACGACGGTGCTCCAGACAGCATGTATTGCGCAAGGGGTTTCGTCTCCCATGGTTCTTTTAGCGCGGGGCTATTGCTGGGCCCAGAAATGGTATCGCTAAATTCGAATTGCAACCGCCCGGAGCCATGCCGAGATCCTTCACCCCCATCGACATCCATTGCATCCTGACATTTGAATGTTTTGTCTCGTCGTGCCTTTCCGAGTAGATTTTGCTGTGTTATAAATTGACGCACGAATCCAAGGTGATAATTTCGTTGGGGCAACACGAGACCATTTTTGTTTGCATCATCAAGGTGATCGTTCGACGCCTCGCCCAACATATCTGCACTTCGAGCAGTGTACAATAACAAGGTAATGGCATCATGTGGGTGGAGATTTACTGACGAATCATTTTTACCGAGATATCGGGGGCTTCTACCGCCGGGATCAACTCCCGAAATTTGATCGTCAGCGGATTGCTTTCCAGTACTGCGTCTTCTCCCTCTGCAGAACTCACGACTCTGTCCAGGTTGACACAAGACCAGTGCCACGGTGCAGACGTTGCGTCCTCTTGCTTCAGCTGATCGTGGATCACTTTTCGCAGGTGCGGCACGTAAACTTCATCGGTGCCAGGACGGAGGGGAATGTCGTCTTTTCCCAACAGAACCTCTCGCACTCCCCCCGACCTCTTTAAGAGGGAAATCGGAACGGGAGTCGTGGCAGCAGTGGCGGCGCGCATCCTTGTTGCTGCAATTACAACTGGACAAATGGCGGCCACAGCGGCGATGCGGGGAAGCCGCAACTTCACAGAAGTCAAACGCCTTTTCGACCCGTGCGTTCTCCAAGCTGCGCTCGCGGTTTTCAAAGTATTCCAATTCAACGTCAGATTGATTAGGAAGGGAGAAGGCACGGTCATGATTTTCAGTTCATTCTACCACTACGTGGTGGGACAATAGTTCTTTCGGATTCGGAGGTATGGTGAAGTCACTACGCTAAGAATGAGATACATAAAACCGAAAACACAATATGTAGACTTTTTCTCGTACCTATAAACTACACGATCGCTTTTTTTCTGCCACTATTGCGAGAAAACCAATCTCGTTCGAACAGTGATACACTTTCTTTCTTTCTTTCTTTCTTTCCATGCCTGGGCATGGCGTCAATTGTTCGAACAATGATACACTTTTTTTGCGATGATCAATGAAAATTCACCTCTTTTAGGGGTTGAAAGAATTAAGTTTTTGGTCAAGGTTTTGATTTGCGATTTTTCATTTTTTTTCTCCTCGCTCTGAATGGAAAAGGAAAGCGCAGACCATCCAGCCGAAAAAGCTCGCTGCGCCGATATCAACATCTCGGCCGGTATCCAGACCAGCAGAAGCCGGGCAAAATGGAGGCCGCGCGCTTGCTGCTTCCAACCTCTCCCCCGGGTGAATACGATGAAGCCGCGGCGGCATTTTTCTCGGCTTCTGCTGACCTGGACTGCTGGCCAAGATATTAGCCTCGGCACCTCCCCAGAAGAACCCCAGACGCATTCCATCCGCCGCGAGGTATTTGGGGCGCCGGGCTGCTGGCCCGGCTTCTCCGCCCCCAGATCTCATCCTGCGGTGGCGCGTATCGGGGTCCGGGGGAAGAGGCTGAGCAGCTGCGGGCTTGCCCGGCTGGAGGTTTGGCCGGGTCCCGGTTGCCGCCAAGGCGGCAAGTTCTCGGGTGGGCCTTTTCATGACAAAAGCGCACCAAAATGGAAGCAGGTTCTGATTTTTTCCGGGAGCTTTCCCCGGACTAACGCTTACGCCTTTGCCCCTGCCCTGGCCCCCCCCTTTCGGCCGAACTTGGTGGCCAAAACTGGGCCGACGCGGGCGCCCATATCTTGGCCTGGCGGCCTGCCTTTTCCTGCGAGTTCCCTGGAGCAAATGGCAGGGCGCCCGGCTTCTCTGGCCCCGCATCCCGTTCCGCAATCTTGCGGGACGCCGTCCGGAGGCAAAGGTAGAGCACCTTCCTGGCCAACCACAGAGATGCTTGTCCCTGTAGTGGCTGCCGCCAAAGCGGCAAGAGGTTGGCCAGGGTTTTGCTCAGAAGAGGCTCACGGACATGGACGCAAAGACTTACTTTTCCCGGGAGCTTCCCCCGACCTGGAAAAGTACGCTTTTGCTTTCGCTTTGTGCTTCATCTTGGGGCCGAAAGTGCGGAGCCGAGCTGCGCCGATATGCTTGCCCATATCGTGTCGGGGCGGCCTGCTTCGTCGTGCAAGCCACCTGGAGCAACTGGCAGGGCGCCCGGCTTCTCTGCCCCCGGATCTCGTTCCACAATCTTGCGGGACGACGGGAGGAGGCAGAGGTAGAGCACCTTAACGGCCAACGACGGATATGCCTGTCCCTGTGATGGCTGCCGCCAAAGCGGCAGGGTTTTGGTCAGGGTTTTGCTCCGAAAAGGCTCACCGCAATCGAAACAAAAACTTACTTTTTTCGGGAGCTTCCCCCGAGCTAATAAAATAAGTTTTTGCTTTCGCTTTGCCCTCCTTTTTGTGGCTGAAAGTGTGGAGCTGTTCTGGGCCGGTATGTTCGCCCACATCGTGCCCAGACAACCTACCTGGCCCTGCAAGTTACTTGGAGCATATGGCAGGGCGCCCGCCTTTTCTGCCTCCGGATCTCGCTCCGCAATCTTGCGCGGCGACGTGCGGAGGCAGAGGTAGATCACCTTCCTGGCCAGCCACAGAGATGCTTGGCTCTGAGGTGTCCGCCGTCGACCTCATCTTCAAGCCAAAACCTTATTTTATTAGGTCGCGTTTCGGACAAAAAAAAACTAAGGTTTAGGTTTGGAGATGAGGTCGACAACCCAACCGCAAAGATCGCCCTCTCTTTTTGCGGTCCACTTCCTGCTGGGCCACTCGCAGTGGCTGGAGGCTGGCCATGGCCGGCCCGTAGGAACTTGACCTCAAAAAGAGAGGCCGACTTTTGTCGGCTGGGTATAACGAGCTCATTTCAAATCAAAAACTTAGTTTTTTTTTTTCCGAAACACGAGCTAAAAAAATAAGTTTTTGCTTTCGACACGAGCTCCGAAAGCAGCCCCGGAAAGCAGACCTCTTGTTGTGGCCGGGATTTTGCCCAGTCAATCTCCGGCGGCGGATGTTGGCCATGCCTAGACCCGCACACCCGGGTGGCCGATTTGACGACAAAGACATACCGTACTAGCTCGGGGGAAGCCCCGGGAAAACCGGGCTTCCGACCTCATCTCCAAGCCAAAACCTTAATTATTCTTTCTCCGCAACGCCACCTAATGTAATAAAATAAGGCTTTGGTTTGCAGATGAGGTCGGCGGCGGACGCCTCAGAAACAGGCGTCCCTTTGGTTGGCCAGGAGGGTGGTCTACCTCTGCCTCCGAACATTGTCCCGCAAGATTGCGGAGCGAGATCCTGAGGCAGAGCAACCGGGCACCCTGTCACTTGCCCCAAGTAACTTGCAGGGCCAGGTAGGTTGTCTGGGCACGATGTGGGCGAACATACCGGCCCAGAACAGCTCCACACTTTCAGCCACAAAAAGGAGGGCAAAGCGAAAGCAAAAACTTATTTTATTAGCTCGGGGGAAGCTCCCGAAAAAAGTAAGTTTTTGCTTCGATTGCGGTGAGCCTTTTCGGAGCAAAACCCTGACCAAAACCCTGCCGCTTTGGCGGCAGCCATCACAGGGGCAAGCATCTCTTTGGCTGGCCAGGATGGTGATCTACCTCTGCCTCCGAACGTTGTCCCGCAAGATTGCGGAACGAGATCCGGAGGCAGAAAAGCCGGGCAGCCTGCTCCGCGTACCAAGTAACGCGCGAGGCGAGGCGGCTTGCCTGGCGTAGATGCCAGCCTAGATCTCGAGGGAAATGCTGACCCCCAAATCAGCCAGCGCGCGCTCGTCAGAATTGTGGCGACACCTCGCACAAAATCTGGATCGGCATCAAGGTAGAAGGGCCTTCAGCTCTGAAGGCCCGGCGGCTTTGGTTTTGCCAGCCAGACGAAATACGAACCAAGGCACCACCTGGACAACTGCCGGGCGGTGCGAAGAGGGACAAAGGCGGGGGCTGCGAAATCTATGAAACCACGAACCAAAACCCTGATGTAAACCTTAACTTTTTCAACCCTTAACGTCTTGTGTCGAAACTCAAGAGAGGTTCTAAATCTTATCGTGCGAGAAATCTAATGTAATGATGAAAAGCTAGGTGTGGTAAGGAAACGCTCAAGACACTCTAGATTTGTTTTTCTCTGTCCGATTGGAGGTCGAGACAATATTAATCACATCGATCCCTTGAATGCAACCGTGGAGCTGAGTACTCTAAGCAACAAAATTTGGATCCTAGAAGCTTTCTGATTGAGATCCCTCCAAACTGGTACGAGCATCGATTACTTGCGGATCTCCGGATTCAGCAAATCAAGTCAGAGTTCCCTGCGTCTTCTCCCTGCGGATATTCAGTTGAGCTTGCAGAAATATCTTTCTTGAAATTAGATCTGCGAGGACCGCGGAGTCGGCAAGTCTGGGGATTTACGAAAGCCACGGGGGCCGCGGCTGAACAAAGGCCATATATGACGGTATACCATCTTTGACTGGCGTGCACAAGCAACATGAAGACTCCATCTCCACAATTCTTTTTCTTGCTACCTTCAGAACGGCCTAAAAGTAGGCAATGAAATTTTTCAACGAGCATCGTCCACGGCAAGCTAAAGCCAGCTTTTTCGAGTCCCTATTGCGCAGGGCTGGCGAAGCTAGCTTTTCTCAGGATTCTGGTTCAGAAAATACAGTGGTCGTGAATCAGGTAAAACTCAAATCTAGAAAGCAGAGTCTTTGGCCAATTTGCCAAGAGCTATTGCCAGTGGCAACTTTATCTTTCAAAAATCAAATCGACGTAGTGTATGTCTCCATGCTTTTATTCTTCTTTTGCGGCCGATTCTGATTCTTACGGCTCTCAAAGAAGAAAACAAGCTACAGGTCGAATCGAACAAAAAAGCTGGAAGCGAAGACTGATTTACATTTCTTTTATACGAGTATCGTATTTCGGACGATATTGAACTATGTACTGTCCTCGCAGGTCAGCGTCGAACAGTTCTTGTGGCGTGGCACGCTCATCATGAAAAACTTGTCACGTCAACATCGCCTTCTGATGCTTCCCCTGAGGCAGCTACCGGTCTTGATATCAAAATAATGTTTAAAGTATTCACAAAAAAAGTAAGCCGATAAATAATTGTCTGTAAAATCTAAAAAAGTCGTAAGAGCCTGAATCTATATTCTCAAATCTAAAAAATAGCGCCACGCCACTCACTATGATTGCATGTTGATTCATCATATCTTGCAAGATAGTAAAGGCTGAAAACTTCCACCACTGCCACTGCCTTTCTTACACGTAGCGACGAAACTGACGTCGTGGCAATATTTTTCTACTGAAAAACAATGAATGACGAGTGGCATCGGGGACGCATTCTCAGCCCGGAGGAAATTTCGTCCAAGCACATTTTTCGTCTGCCCTGCATCCACTACTGCGAAGCGGTATCGACTTCCGAGAATAACGGCATACGCGCGAATTTGGTGTTGATGCGAACCGGGTCGGTCCCTTGGTATCTTCGAATCATCAAGCTTCAAAGCGGCTCCTTGATGTCGGAAATGCAAGAAAGGCGTGAGCGCCACACAGCAGAAAGTGGTTTCCGACAGAAAACGGAAGTTGTTTTGTTACAGCTACTCATGACCCCACTACGATGTGCCAACCTTCCGTGTAGATCAGCGAAAATTTGTAGTTGTGTGCATGAAGATTCGATGAAGCACGGTTATTCATGAGATATATCGCGGTGGGGGTAATGCATATCGGCTGTGTTCATTCTCTACCTTGCATCATCCTTTACACGTACCTTCCTTTCAGATTTCCGCAAAGAGATTCTTGTCAATTCGATAGGCGTCGGTAAGTTTTTCCGCTGAATTCCTATCCGGTGCTGCAAGAGCTGAGGTGCTGCAGCGCGGTAGCTATGATTGCTATGAAAACTGTGTAGCATTTGCGGGCCGCGCGCCACTTCGTTCCGTAGGGCGTATCCTGCTTCACCTTCCTTCGCTTTGGCCTGCGGACTTTCCATTTTGAAGCCGTTTTCGTCCAAGGGGTCGAAGGGCATTATGTCAGCGCCATTTTGCCCTGCGTTCTGTATCACCAGGGCTTCTCGCATGTACATCTGGAGTCCTGTGATGGCCGGGTCAGTTCTATCTACCTTCATTTGCGCCGCAAGCGTATTGCGCTCCTTGTGCACCAATGACGGTTGGCATCATAGTTAAAAAAGCGCCCTGCCAAATAATTCAAAGTGGTTTGGTTGCGTTGCGAAGTCAACTACCACTTTCATCGCCACTTATGTCAAAGCGATAGACCTCCAGCACCGGGTGCCCGCAGTGTGGAACTCGTATTACACGACTTCTTCCGAAATTTTGCAACGGAAATATCAAGTGTGCCTAGGATTAGAAATACACTTGGGTATCGTAATAATGCAAATAGAGTTGTACGTATGCTTGTTCGCATTTGGACAGGGAACAATTTTGATTCACATAGATCGTGCGGTGGGTGGATGGACAGGAGTCGCCTGCGGCAAATCTCGTCGTATCAACATGCAAACGCGTCCCGTCGAATAGAAAAGCTGCGGCTTGTTTCTACTTGGAATCGCAACGATTGCTGGACTTCGTATGCGGCAGAAAGAAGGTTGCTACTACGAAGCAACACAGCTACGAGGCCTTCACTAAGTCCATCATACGAAAAGTTCTGTAGCTGGCCAAAATCAAGCTAGGTCTTTGGTGCCGAACTATTTCTCATGTCGAGATTTCGCCCGTAGAGCAATGCAAGCTGCGCTTTTGTCTTTGCACTGACATAAGAGACATGAAGGCTAGGAGCCAGGACAAGAGTCAAGTGCCGTTCTTTTCTGCGTGACGGAAAAAATTTTGCAAATCTGTTAAATCGCTGCACTCGTTCTCCTTCTCTAGAAACTCATACAGGGGCCGGGCTCGAGCTTGCGAGAGGGACTAGGGCATCCTGATGAAAACACGCCCCACGACACAATAAATGGCACAACAGTGGTGTTTCGCACCCAGCAAAACAAGTTACCAGAAGTCACATTCGACCTGCCACTGAATCAATTTCTTTCCACCTGTTCAAAATACTCAAGGGTCTCGCGGTTTCTGCTTTTCCACACGCGTCGCGACCATGTCATCTTTTTTTGGCGTGGGACGGGTTTTCAGTTCGGTAGGCTCTCCCTCAGGGGTGACTTTATGCAAGGAGTAGTCGTGCGGTCCAAATTATGGAGGTGAAAGAACAAGACCATGTCCTCGCTTCTACGTCGTGTCACTTAGGCACATGCATGAAGTAAGTAGAGGCACTGAGTGCAGGTAGCGTAGGTCTCGCCACGTCTTGCTTCGGGAAAAGGACATAAGTAAGTACACATCTTTATTTCCTATGAAGTCGAAGAAAGCGTTTGCAGAAAATTTGTATAAAGATTGAGCAACCGACCAGGACCAAGTGCAAAATAAACGACCAGGCCAGCGGGTCTTTTTCATTGTTGGATACCTTCTTTCCACTCTGTACCGCGTCCCACAGCTGTGTGTGCTTCTTTATTTGGTTTGGGGGCATATCCGGCAGGAGAAGCTCGCCCTTATCGTCTCTTTGTACCTCGTTGTCGTAGTATCAATGTGGCCAGAACACTCAAGTTCTTTAATGGGACATATTGCTCATCTCAATTCTGCATAACAAACTCTTTCTGGAAAGACAGCACTGTGGCTGTAAAGGAGAATGACGTGCAAAGAGGAACAACTTTCTGTGCACCTCCCGGGCCAGAGGATTGCAAACCGAAAAGTTCCGAAAAATCGCCATGATCCGCATAAGAAATCAAGCCGGCGCTTCATCCTATGCATGATTCATTCTCTCGCAATATGTTCTCCAAGGTCATATAGTGTCGTTTGCACTTTCATAAATCGCCATGATCGCCCGGCTGGTGGTCCTTGTTGTAACAGCTCGGACCCATCGGGTGCGAGTTGGGGGCCAGTTGCACCTTTCCGTCTGCGTCGGCCTCCATTGGCAGGCCACTGATGGCACAGATGTGGGCATACCGAGGGTTACTACAACCGTCGCTGAGCGCGCACTTGTCCAGGCATTTGTCGACCTGCTCTGCTATTGTGCCTGCATATTTTTGATCTGGTTCTTTCAGGTCGCCTCCCTCAACTTTGCTGGGCAATTTGGTGCTCATTTGGTACGCAGCACTAGGCTGCCACCCATGGGGATACCCGCCGTTCGTTCGCTGGTTTTCGTAGTGCAGCTTCTTCTGGAACTCCTCGCGCGCCTCCTTGGGAAAGTCGACAAAAACGTCGTGCTGTGGGCGCACTTGGTTTTCTTTGTCCTCCACGATGACTCTATTATTCAACTCAATCTTGCCACTGTCGTGGTACATGTCTTCTCGCTTAATGTGGGGGTTGGTCTGCAATTCTGGCGGGGGCCCTTTCGGGGGAAAAGTTTTGTGGGGCCCGTAATATGTGTTCATAACTTTGGTTACCTCTTCTGCGTTATGGTTCACCCCTCGATCAAACTCATTCACGTAACTCCCCAGCAGCACATGGGACGCACCGTACGTTTGGCCGTCCACCTCGACGTGGGCCTTTTGGGAGTCTCTGTAATCCTTGACGCCGTGCTTTTCCTTTTTTTCTTTGTCCTTTTTCGCGATTCCCTGGATCTTCTTATTCACATGCGCGTCCCAGCTCTTATTTGACCCTTCCCAAGTGTTTTCGTAGGTAGGCTGCGAGGCATCTGGTTCCGCGCCCGGATTGACCTTCAAGCCGGGAACAAGGACTTCGCCCTGACCTGCAGTTGGGTCATAATACCCGTTTTCGTCCGCGTTTGCGTATGCAGATGAAGTCCGAGCCTTCTTTTGTGCGTACCTGGTTGTTATGCGCGAATGGTTGTAGCAACTGCAGCAAAAATAAGAGTGCTGCGTTTCTACTCACACTGCATCATATAAAGCGCTGCGGTTCTTCGCCCCTGCGGAAAATCATTGATCAATAATTTCCAATTATATGATGGAGACGCAAGTCCGCGTAGCCTCTTCTGGGGCGGAAATTTGTGAGGTGCTGGCGCTGCTAGCGACATGGCATGTGATGCCTCTGGCTGTATACAAGACAAATCTCAGTATCGACTTGCGAGCTCACTTCATCGTCATACCGCTCGCAACCACTCCTCAATAGTGACAAACTCCTCCCCATCATCAAGATCATCCGCCCCCGTATTTTCACCTGGATTATTTTCTTTTTTCAAAAAAATGGAAGCACCAACACCAACTTTGGTTGCTTCACTGACATCTCGTCAGCTGCAACATCAATAGATTCCGGCATCGATATGTTGCTGTTTGTCTACAAGATTTTGCTCAGATAACGCCATGGATCGCATGTGGAAATGATCAGACCTCACTGATCTTGTTCTGTAAATTATAACAGGAACAACATAACTGCAACCACAAAACTCGAAACTAGTAAAACGTTACAACAACACAACCGACTACTCTACATGACTTAATTAGCGGCCCAAACATAAGGTTCGGGTCAAATGACGTTTTCACCTCGTGGACGTGCGACTCGTATCTCTATCTCTCGAATCCCTCTCAACAAATCTTTCCTGGAAAGTCTGAACACCTCTCGCAGCGAAATTCTAGGACCCGCTGCCGGCCCTCGCAATTATCAATCATAGTCGTGATTATTTGCTGTTGCCACTACCTAGCACCTACCAGATCAGAGTTCAAAGTCACAGTAACGATAAGACGCACGATACACAACGCACCCGCACGATCTACGAAATGCTGATACAACTATGATGAGCGAACTCTTGAAATTAGAACTACTAGTGAACGAAAGCGATGCAATGGTAATACAGACGCACGACAAACCGCACACAAATAGGAATGGAACGAAAGTTTCTTGCTGGCCTTCATTTGAAGAGGAAAAAAGCAAACACGACGGGACTGCGCTCTTTAAGATAGGAGCGCGCATCCCCGCTCCTTCATGTCCGTGGAGCTGCGGACGATGCTACTTAGCTGCGCATCGTGTGCTACACGGGTTGTCTGTGCCTTGCGGTTGAAAAATACGTGCTGAATTTTGTAAAAAAAGTTGCGTGGTTTTCGATTCGCTGTCTACGAGAAAACGCGATCTGTAGGCTCTTCAAGAGAGGCATAAACACAGTCATTGTTCATTAATCAGCGTCTGTCGTACGGGTTCTCTGTCGAACTCGAAAGTAGGGACTTCTTCTCCACAAAGCGAGTACTAGTGCGACCGGGTTCGATCGAAATCGCAGTGCGAAGCTTATATAAAAGTCAACTCTTAGTGTCTTTCTTGAGGTGGAGGAAAGTCGCGTCGTAGGTTGGCAGTACACTCAAATTTGAACTGCGCATTTTAAAAATTAAGAACAAGAAGTCGACAGTTGCATTAGTACTTAGCAGCGCTTCTGCTAAGTATCTCTTCAGAAAAAAACTAAGTAACTCTACTCCAGAGAGGTAAGTTCCCCACGTGAGTCTTTGCTTACTCACCATTGCCCTTAGCAGCGTCCGGCTTAAAAACCATGTGGGGTGGCAGCACCTTCGAAGAGCTCGCACCAGAGGACGACGCAGCGGCGCCTGCGTTAACATTGTCGTATGCATTGCAAAAAAATTGCACTCGTAGGAACTACAGTATGTACATGACAAGTCTTCCACTTCAGGGAAGATAGCATTTACAAATTCCGTCTCATTCTCATGGTGAGGAAGTTTGCAATTCTAGTGCCCCTAGTTGCTACTAGTGCGATGATTTTGCAACGCATATGTCGATGTGGTCGTCGAGTTCATCAAGGCTAATCACCTCGCTTACACCGAGCTTGTCGTCCTTTTTCGCCGATTTTTTCTTCATCGCCTGCGTTTTCTTATCCGCGTCCTGAGATCCCTTTGCTGCTCTCTTCATCGGAGTTTTTTTCTTCTTCGGTGTTCCCTTGTCCGCATCCTGAGATCCTTTCTCCCTCTTCATCGGAGTTCTTCTCTTCATCGGCGGTTTCGGCTTCCCCTCTTCTCCCTTCGGCTTCTTTGACGCAGGCAAGGTGCTATTAGTGTTTCCGGGGCTGGAACGCTTGCTGTTACTCGCCTCGGGGGTGTTGAAGGTGCTGATGCTGGGGATGACGTTGAAAAACGTTGGAAAAATATGAACGACAAAAATGCTGGGCAGAGCCACACTGCGTTTTTATATTTCTCATGCATGTATCCACATGGAGGCCGAGACGGTATCAAAAGGCATTCCATCATGCAAAATGTCAGAAGTAGCGTATATGTCATGCTAAATGTGATACGTAACCCTGCGCAAGAAGTATAAAAATCGGCTTGGCTCTGCCCTCTCTACCAACATAGTGCCCCAGAACCGACTGCTGCCCGACCGGGGGATACTCCTTCTTCATAAAATGAACCTGAGAGTGAGCAGTTGCTTTAGAAGAGGCTCCACCGAACTGGGTCACGCTAAGGTAACTAAGCCGCACTTCTACATCAGCAGAGCCGAACTTGTCATGCGCTTTTTCTATCAACTTTATGAGAAAGGCCTTCCAAACATCGACCGAAATTTAGAAACTAGAAAAGTACCTTGTTCAGGTAGTTCTGAATCTCGATGTCGTCCCTCACTTTGTACACGTCCATGATGTACTGGCGCTTGTACTCCATGACATCACTGGACCCCCCGCGAATTTCGTCGTCTTTGCTCTTGGTCCGCACATAAAGCTCGTGGGTCTTGAACTCGGTCAGAAAAGCCTGCAGGACGTCCTCGCAGGTGAACAAACCTTGTCCAGAAATTTTAATTTTATAGATACATACACACACAACAAGCACACGATCTTCAAAAATTTCTTGAGGCTTCACGAATAGAAAAATGCAAGGAATCTACAGCAGTCGTTCATGGGAAAACGAAAAAATCAATCCTGTGACACCACGTAAACAAAAATGAACAAAGCGGCTTACCTACGTACTTCATCCCCCGGAACCGACTGCAAACCAGCCGGACCGGATGGGGCATGTAGTCGACCAATATGCTCACTCCACCCTTGCCAAAGCTGGCAATGACGTCATCCCAAAATGCGTAGGTCTTGTGCCGCCGGTACAACGTGCGTTTCGGTAGGTCTTGCACCACCGGCACCTCTTTTTCCTTTCCTTCGGGCTCCTTGTCCTTGTTCGGCTGCTGCACCCCCAGCGGGGCCTTGTCCAGGAGCTGAGTCTCATCATCGGAGGCGGGGCCCTGCTCGTCTTCGTCGGAGTCACTCACGTCCAGGTCGCCGCCGCCCTTCTCGCAGGTTCTGTATTCTGTGCAAAAGTATCGCACTCGTACTAAGTAAGTAATCGCATTCATGCATTACAAATTCCTTTCTCAGGTTAAATCCGCATTACAAATTTTCTTTCTCATGCTGAGGAAATTTCAATTTGTCATGCGATTTATCAGTACTAGTACGAAGCGATACTTTTGCAATGCGTATTCTGGTGTATCCCGCAATAACATCCTCGGATTCCTCCAGTTCCTGGTGCCTTGCCGCGTCAATTTTGTAGAAGCTGCTGCGGGTCCTGATGTGTGCGAAGATTGTGACTTCATATCTTCATGGCGCTTTGCAAACTTACTCAGCTCTACCTCCTTACCCACAAAAGCCCTGTAGATTGCGTCTACTGCACACAGTGCGTCTACTTGAAAAGTAACAAAAATTATAAGTACTCGAAGCGAGTGTTGTTCTCATAGTCGTAGTATTTGTCGATCGGAAACTCCGGGGCGGTCGTCATATAGCCCTCGCGGAGGGTGGCCCGCTTGGACATATTCGCCGGCTGCTTCTGCGGCAGCAGGTTGCCGGACTTCACCTTACCGGAGATCTTGCGGAGCTCCGCCCCTGTTACGTAGAAAGAGTTTTATCATGCCAGACTTTATTTCGGGAAAGAACGTCAAAAACTCACTCGGAAACAATTACCGCGCCAATACTTATTTGGAAAGAAATCTATCAACTTTGAGGCAGCGCGGGGAAGTGAAAAACTAAACGCCGCGGCGCTATGACGATGGTGCTGGTGGCGCACAAGCACAACGAAAGCAAAGCAAGCAAGTACGCGCGAGGTTGCTGCAGGATTTCGAAGCGCCGTCCAGAAAAAAAACCGCCGGGCGGGATTCGCTCTGCACCACATGTTTTAAATTTTGACACATGTCGATATCCCACAGAAAAAAGCTGGCAGGGCATGTTTGTAATGCAAAAACAAATAGAACACGCAAAAAAATCTGCCATGGGCGCCCTCATAGCATGCCACTTTCTTAGGCTACACAATACAAGCTTTTTCGCCAGTTTATATTTTTTTTGCCTGCAGCGCCAGATTTTACTTCCTCCTGCATTACAAATATGACCTGCCAGCTTTTTCGGCAGGGTAATCGACCTTGACGCGTTCGTTGGCGAGAACCTTAAAAGGCCACCGGGCGTCTTTGACACCCATCACGGCGGCGGTGTTCACGTCGAAGACATGGAGGATTTTCTGCTTTTTGTCCTTGCTGATCCACTTTTTGTAGGGCGGGTTGTGGGTGTTGATGATTTTTCCAGTGACGAACACGCAAGCACTATCCTGTGCAAAAATATCGCATTCGCAAGTATAAAACTCCTGCATTACAAAAATTGCTCTTCAAGTAAACCAGCATGACAAATTTTCTTGAGTTTTCTGCTATCGATTTTTCTGAAAATAACTAAGCCAGCATGACAAATCTTCATCACCCTAAGTATATATTGCAACGCGACATCAAAAATGCTCACTCACTTTCTTCATTTCTGCATTACAAATTTGATTTTTTCCAAAAAGGCACGACCCGGCAACATTGGCACGAGTGCGATGCTTTTGCAGTTTATAATCATCTTCGGAAACTCCGCACTTTTTGCGCCGGAACCAGGTGTCCGGGTCCTCCAGGGTGTCCGCTGCCACCGCGGGCGGCTTCGACGCCTCGTCCTCCATCGCCCACAATTCGTCATCAGAATTATTTTCCTGCGCCTGCTGCTCTGGCTCTGCGTCCGCAATCACCGGCTCCGTCGGGATCTCTTCCGCCACCATCTCCTGCAGTCGCGCGGCATTCTGTTTGTAAAGTTTTAGTGTGGGTTAGAGAATGGGAAGCCTTTGCTTCGAGTGAAAGTCTAGGAACGAACCGGCCCGAGCAAAACAACTCTTCAGGCGCATCAGCAGGCGCGTCAACACTAGTGACAGTGAGCGGCAAGCACTTACCTCGTGGTCTGCCAACTGGTCCTCCCGCGCCTGCTCCTCCGCAGCAGCCTGCATCTGCACCAACTCCTCCCGCACGGGCTTCGTGAACCACTCCTCGTACCCCTCGTCCACATTGTCCTGCAGAAACATCTTGGCATCCGCGGAGTTGTATTTTCCTCCGAGGGTGTCGGCCTTGTCCTTCAGCATCGGATTGTAATCACCCCGCTCCAACTTGTTCACAGCTATTCTCGGCAAAAGTATCGCGCTGATATACTAAATCGGCATCTTCATCATCGTCGTGATCCAGCATGACAATTTTTCATATCGATCCAAATCACCACGAGGCCCTACCTACGTATCTCAATCAGCACGGCCACAAATCCCCTGCGCCGTGGTATTTTCATGACCAAGCAGCGTGAGAGTCTCTTCGTGAAATTTGAACTCGAGATGCGATTTATACTGCTCAGCGCGATACAATTTCAATGCATAAGGGCAAAGAGCCAGCGAAAATACGGCTCGTGGACCTTGCGCTCCTCTTCGTCCAAATCCGGAAAGCAAAACGCCTGGGCACTTTGCGACTTATAGCTCATCGCGTCTGCGAATTTCTTCTTGTGTTCGCTGTAGTCGGCGTACTCGGGGTCGGTAACAAACCAGGCGGTGAGCATCGTACCGCGGAGCGTGTTGTACAACATGCACAGGAAGCAGTCGGTCATAGCCGCGTCCTTATCCATGTCAATAATCGTGTTGTCCTGCGTCTCCCAACCCTCTTCCGTTTGCTTGTCCAACTGCTCCTGCTTCCAATGCTCGAACTTGTGCTCAAAAGGGAAGATGGAAATCCAATCCTTCACCGCCGTCGTACTCTTCACCTTAGTAAGTAGCGTGTCGATGAAGGTCGGGTTCTGCAGGATGGAGGTGCTGGGGTTCAAAATGTCCATTCCTCCTTTCGAGAAGCAGTCCTCGGAGTCGAGCACGATCTGGTAGATTCTCCCAAAAGTGTCGCCGTTTTTCTCATTGATTCGCAACCTGGAGTGAAAATTTCGGATGGGCGGTAATGAGTAAACTCAGAACTCTTTGTCTCGAAACGATCCACCCCATGTTGGCGTCTAGCATGCAAGCAAGCACTTCCTCAATATTGAGAACAAAAAACAGGAGGCTCTAGTGAGGACCGACAGAAACACAGTCTACGTAAGTACCCCGTGGTCGATTTCCACTGAATCTTTTCCCCACAGAGCTTTCCGATCTTCTTCGCATTGAGAGAACCTGTAGAGATTTAATACTTAAGAGTTAAAAACAAGCTTCGGCCCGTTCTCACGCATTGACTTTCAATCATCATCATCATCTATAAAAAATCCCTCAAAGAAAGAAATAAGTACGTCGCTCGATCCCTCAAAGAAAGAAGTAAATAAGTCTTCAAGACTTCTACAAAAAATCCCTCAAAGAAAGAAATAAGTACGTCGCTCGACAGAAGTAGTTTGTAATGCGTAAAGTAGTTTGTAATGCGTAAATACTAAATACCCAGCAGAAGTAGTCTGTAATGCGTAAACGCTAATACCCAGCTCAACTCGACCGGGGCCGGGTGCGCGTAAATATTTATACTGCAATCAAAAAACAGACTTGAAGTTGTCGCTGTAAGTGAGTACGTATATAGGTCTAAGTCAGTACGTCGCGCCTTTTTCTCCTGCTTCAGGATGTACTTGTACAGCTTGCAGTAGGTGACGATCCCGGGCTGCTCATACAAGTACGTCTGCCGATCCTGCTGCAGCCCGAAGGTTGCAACGATGTTTTTGACCGTTTTGACCATCATCGGATAAGCACCAGCTGCCCGCCACCCTCTGCGAATTCCATTGCTGTCATCCGGGTCCTCTTTGGATCCTTCCATGATGCCCCAGAAGAAAGCAAGATACTCGAGCATCGGGGACCAGCGCTTTTCCTCCTCCTGGTAAATGGCCGTGAAGTCTTCGAAGAAGTACGGGGCAAACGCGTAGGTGTTGGGCGCCTTGTTTTTCGTCATCGCCCAGAACTCCACTCTATGACTTGCAAAAGTAAGTACTTAGCATCACAATCGCACCTGTGGGTGCCAACCACCGCCATGCATTTCAAATCGCGATCTTCAAGCTCAGGAAAATCGGCATTACAGCTTTTGCTTTCTCATGCTGAAGAAGTTTGTCACGCGATGGAGATGCTTTTACTTCCTTTTGCAATTCATACATCACGCGCTGCACCGTCGGGAGCCCCTGCGGGGCTTCGTAGTTATTCAGAATGTCCTCGGGCTTGTAAAACATGTTGATCTGGTTTTTTTTTTGTGGATTATGACGCGCGTTCTAGTTGCATTGGATCTGCCCACCCACTCAGTGCGGCAGTGCTGATCTCTGGCACGTAGTGTCAAATGTCTTGAGCGTATTGCTATCAACAATGGTCGAAATTTGTGCCGCCATGCTGTTACGTCAGCGTCATGAGTGCTGCGCTAGCTCACTAGCCAGACCGAAGTCAAGTGAGGCGCGGCACGCAATGCTGCGGCGTTATTTGGTGTAGCCAAAAGGAGCGCGCCCCTCCACGCACTAAAATGTCAACGGGAGGGCGGAGAGCTGATGGCTATTTAGAAATCTAAAAATCAAGTTCGAACCGGCCTCCTACTGTCACTGCAAAAACAAAAACGGCAAGTAAGTACTGCCAGCTTGGACCCATCGTTCACGTCGTTAAGGTCATCGTGGGGAGTAAGATTCGCATTGTCCGGGTCCGGGAAGACTTTGCGGCAAGCCTGGGTGACAAACTCCAACCAGAACTTCTTCATCCCAGCTTCGAAGCCGTAAATCTTGACGAAATCCTTCTGCTCCTCAATGAGGGCGAATCCTCGCTCAGCGACAAGCTCGCTAAGTGCAGCCATCTTCCGTGATTGTTTGGGGAAAAAAGACGAAGGTGAGTACTTAGGTGATTTGCAAACAGAGTGTGCTTGTAAATGGCGCCAATCGTAAGACGTGACGTTGAAGAGTAGCTTATATTGCAATGCGAAATCTATCAAAATAGAAGTTTAGGCAAAAGCACAGTAGAAGCGTTTAAGTAAGTTGAAGAGTTTATAAACTCGATTGCGAAAGCAAGTTACTCAGTAGTAAATCGGGCAAGCCGAATCCCTGTAAGAGGTTTTTGTAGTAAGTAAGTAAGTAAGTCTCAAAACCTAGCACCAGGCTGATGGAGGGGATGCGACTGAAAGTGCTCGCGGCGCTTATTGCGCAGGCCGCAATTATGAAAAGCCTACATACAAACACGACCGACGCCCCGACCGATAAGCAACGAAGTACACCCGTCGCGCGAGTGATGCTTTTGCTTTTTGCGATTGCCTATCTTCGTAAGTACTGGCTAAAGCCCAGCGAGCAGTCTGGGTCTTGCTTGGCCGATTCCATATCCGGAAAGGCCTAGGGCTGCAGATCTCTGAAATAGCCATTATAACGGATCTTGTTGCAATCGCTGCGGATTGATCTCTTCTCTCTGGGTCGCTTCATGCTGAGTCTCGATCTTTCGACGGGTACTGCCTGATCAGGATTGGTCACACAAGATGGAGCACTTCGCTATCTACAACCTACTTACAGAAGGCTTGCGCCCTGCGTCTCGCTGTAGAGTGGATCTCTGCGCAGTCTAGTACTCGACTCTTGCTACACGAGCGATTCCGCAACTCATGCCTGCTCGCATTTCAGAATCTTGCTGCAGTAGCTGTTCTACCAAACATATTTAGCGGCGCAGACATAGGCGTCGTGTCCACAAATTCAAGAGCATATACTAAGTTGCGCCTAAGTACGCAAAGCCAGGAGGCAGGAGCACTTGAGGGGCGGAGTACTTATTCCATAATTTACACATCGCATCCAAGTACTGAGCCGCGCAAGCCCTGGCGCAGCCCAGCGTGGACATGCTGCGGGCCGGGGACTCGGGCGGGGTAGGGTTCGATGGCGTGCCAAGCCCCGCCGAGGACACACAAGGCGCCCCGCTTGACATCCAAAAGCCGCTCCTTCCACAGCGGAAGCCAATGCTTTGTGCTGCAGGGTTGCCGCTCCGGAAAGCGGGGACTTTTCTTTTGTAAAAAGTGGCGGAAAAGCGGCCGGGCAGCCCAAAATTTCAGGAGGCTAGCCTTGCATAAGGAGCTTCGGGCGCAGCCCGAAAACTTTCGCCCCGGCCCAGATTTTAGGAGCCTATCCGAGGTTTTGGCCTTCAGAACCTCGCATAGCCCTCCACGATCCAGAAAAGAACTCTTCGTGGCGCTGTTGCGCCACCCAAGTTTCGAGGTGGCTATGCGAGGTTGTGGCTTTCAGAACCTCGGATAGCCATCCGCGAACCAAAAAAAAATTCTTCGCGGCGCTGCCGCGCCGCCCAGATTTCGGAGGGGCTATACGAGGTTTTGAAAATAAAAAGCCCGGGTAGGAAGTATACTCCTCGCGGCACTGCAACGCCGACCAGATTTCGGAGGGGCTATACGAGGTTTTGAAAATAAAGAGCCCGGGTAGGAAGTATACTCATCGCGGCGCTGCTACGCCGGCCAGATTTCGGAGGGGCTATACGAGGTTTTGAAAATAAAAAGCCCGGGTAGGAAATATAATCTTCGCGGCGCTGCCGCGCCGACCAAATTTTGAGAGGGCTATGCGAGGTTCTGGCTTTCAAAACCTCACATAGCCCTCCGCGATCCAAAAAAAAATTCTTCGCGGCGCTGCCGCGCCGCCGAAATTTTGAGAGGGCTATACGAGGTTCTGGCTTTCGAAACCTCGCATAGCTCTCCGCGATGCAAAAAAAAAAATTTTCGCGGCGCTGCCGCGCCGCCCAGATTTCGGAGGGGCTATACGAGGTTCTGAAAAAAAAAAGCCCGGGTAGGAAATATGAGTTTTGCGTTTTTTCCTACCCGGGGTTTTTATTTTCAAAACCCCGGGTAGGAAATATTTATCCGCTGCTCTGCTCGTCTGTAAGGGTGGCAACAGCTGATAAATATTTCCTACCCGGGGTTTTGAAAATAAAAACCCCGGGTAGGAAAAAACGCAAAATGCATTTTTCCTACCCGGGCTTTTTTTATTTTGCTGTCTGTTCCCATAGACCCCACGAGCCCCCGCGCATTGCAAGCTGTCTACACTGCTTTCCCACGTATTTTCTACGTCTAAGTACGCGCGCACTGCTTTGGTGCGTGTCAGATGGCTAAGTACGTACGTAGTACTTACTCGAAGTTCAATCATGCTCCAGCGCTTACATCCCGCACCTACTCTTCGCGTGATCGCTTCCGCTTGTTCGTGTTGCCGAACACGCCAGTGAAGAGTGCCTGCGCTGCTTCTGACCGCGGTTGTCGTAAACGCTCCGTGGTCGATCCCGACGACGAAGAGGCGCCGCTGCTGCTGGTTGACGAAGAAGAGGAGGCGGCCCGACTACTACTTGACGAGGAGGAAGAAGTGGCGCTCCTACTACTGGACGAGGGGGCAGCGGCACTATTACTGGCCCGAGAACTCGGCCCAGGTTCTACTGCAGATGCTTTTCCAGCAGTGCTTGCGGGCATGTGTCGTGCCTTTGCGTTTGCGCCCACAATTGCTGCCCCAAAAATACCTCCTGGCTTTGCTGCTGCTGCTGCAGTTGTTTTGGAGGATGTAGGCAACGACGCAGAGGCCGGGTTATTCGGGCCCGCAGATGTTGTTGCTGAACTAACTCGCGGCACTGTAGAAGCCGCGGACTTCGGATGATGATTCGGATTGCTGGCTGCAGCGTTGAGAGACGACGGCAAAGCTGGCAGATTGTATGCAGCTGCTTCCGCCGCGTTCCGCCACTCGATTCGCCGGCTCCTGATTCTCGAGTAGTAGTCGTTCTTCGCCGTGACGTAAGCAATGATTTCATCTCGCACCTTTTGCGCCTCCTCTTCTCGCCCTTTTTCCGTGAAATCCAGCATGACCTCCTGCCCCTCCATCACGATCGACAGGAAGTACTTGTTTTTTTTTTGCTTCTCGCTGTCCGATAACCGTCGCCCCAACAGGTTGCAGTCCTGATCCACCACGGCCACCGCTGCAGATATGGAGAGGTCGAAGCTTTTTCTCTTCCTGCAGACAATACGTTTTCTCTTCTGCAGACAGTATAAAGCTACCTACGCTTCCCGTGCTCCTTCCCGCTAATTATGTGCTCTCGCTCCTTCCCGCTAATTATGTGCTCTCGTGCTATCCCGCTAATTATGTGCTCTCGTGCTATCCCGCTAATTATGTGCTCTCGTGCTATCCCGCTAATTATGTGCTGCATATCTCGTGCTATCCTGATAGTTATGCGCTGTATTTAAAGCTGCTTATTTAGTGCTTCCTTATCCTGCTTAGTAAGTATCCTGCAGAACGAGAAAGCGGGTAGCCTGGGTCGGTGGCCCCTCCATAGCGTGGTGATTTCCCGATTTTGCATCCGCCCAGTTGCTGGTCCCGTACGCATATGCCACGCGAAAGCTTCTGACTAGTGAGTAGAAATGACAGTAAGCACACATCTCCGCAGCATGAGGCACTCAAGTGCTGTTATTTGTCATGCATGGCAGTGAAGTCTTATCAAAAAATCAATTCCACGGCGCTACTACACAATTTGGGGGGTTAATAGATCACCCGTGGTTATGCAAAAGTAGGTCGAAAAGATACAACTTTCTTGTACTCAAGATCAATTTTCGACATCTCATTTGTCAGCCAGCATCTTATTTGTCACGCATTACAGTCTGTGATTGCTACTCACGAGCCCGATACTTTGTTTTTCACAGGATAGCGAAAACACCGCTTCGGCCTGTTCGTCGTTGAACTTGAAGACGTGCTTCAGCGCATTCTTCACCTGCCGTGGCAAAACTAGGCCCGACTCGTGAAAGAGGACCCAGTCGCTCTTCTTGTCCGGGCCAGCCTTCCTCGCTTCAATAAGCTCGCTTTTCTGTTTGGCAAGTATTCTCGCTGCTTGACGGTTATTCACCACTGCAAAAGTGTCGCACTTGTGGCCCAGGAATCGCAACGACGCATGGCACCAACATCACAAATAGTATGGCAATTCTGCATGACAGGGCTCCTATCGCCCTAATTAGCCATGACAAGTCTTAACAGCCTCTCTGAGTTCGCGATGCGATTTCTAGCCAGAAGTGCAACAGTTTTGCATTGCGTAGTGTTGTTCCCGCAAGTTCTCTGCCTCGGTAGCAATTGCGTCTCCGAGAATGTTATGAACTGCAAAAGCATCGTACCAGTACAAATTGCGTGACAAATTAAGTAGCCCAGCATTACAAATCACATTACAAATCAAATTTGTAATGCTGATTGACATTGAGAAAAAGATTTGTAATGCATATTTGCAATTAGTACGAGTACGATACTTTTGCACAAGATACATGTATGGCGCACCAAAGGCCCTGATCACGCATCCTCCCTCGGGGCGAAGGAACAGAGAACCAGACTCCCCCTGCGTGTTTGGTAGTACTGAGGAAGACTAAGTACTTAAACGTACTTAGTTGAAGTGCCACGCGGGTCTGTAAGTGGGGCACACTTACCTAGGTCGAGAGCTTCAGCGCGACCACTCACAACGAGGAGAGGTAGTACTGCTGAAGCCCTTCCAGCACGCAATTTAACTAAGTAAGCACCCTCGGCCAGGTGTCTGAAGTGATCAGGGCCGCGTCTTAGCTCGCGGGAGTTGTGAAGCCGTATCCACGCTGAGTTGCTTGGGCCTGTGGCTCGTGCTTTCTTTTTTGCAAAACTTTACCAGCACTACTTACACCTCCGTCCACCCAGCTGTGCTGCCTGGCCGCTTGAATTTGCAAAGGATAAGTAAGCACGGGCGCATGCAAAAACGGTGTGTACAGTTTCCCTACCGAGCTACTTTCCCTCATGCCAAGCCTTTTCTTATCATCTTCGAATCGTAGCGCCCGATCATACTAGAGCTCATAGTCGAGTAAGCGTCTGCAAAAGAAACACCCGCACAGGCGCCGTGGGTTCTCGAAATCATACGACGCTCCGTCAGCTTGTATCCAAAGAAAAACACTTGCCGTCGCCTTCTTTTGTGGCCGCAGCGCGCATCTGCACACGGGCTTCGCTCTACTTGCATCCGCTGTTTTCAAAAACCTGACAAAGAGTAGTCCGGATCTGCAAATGATGCATTTGCAGTAGAGGATGTAGTAAGTAATTCAAATTTGCCTTCTTGTGCGTGGGAGTCCGAAAGTGCGCACTGACGAGTACAAATACTGCGAGGCGGTGTGCATTTTGAGGAGGATAAGCGCTCGAACGTGTTGGGCTTGGGGTCCTCTTGCACGAGGTTCCCGCTCTCGTCGAGCTTTCCCGAGCCCGCTTTATGCATTGAAAGATAGGGGGCGAAACATAGACCCCCGAAGATGTATTTATAGCCAAGCAACGTGCTCGCTCCTGCGTTTTGTTCTTACTTACTGACTACGTATTCTTGCCCGGCTGCTGCCACTGTTCTGGCACCCAAGCGCTATAAGCACATCGACGAACAGGAATAGGCGCTGATAACTGTCACTGACCTATCTTTCCAGTGTTCGGATTTTCCGAAGAGCCATATCCCGCATCCCCGTGTCGCCTGCTTTTTTGGCGGCTTCTAGCACGTCTTTATACGCGTCGACGTGCTCCTTCGAGCCAGCGAGGGGAGGCTGATCCTTGATCATGATCTCCTGCCGCACAGCCGATATCGCGGATTTCTGGTGGCTATTCAGTTCGAAAATGTCGCGACTACTTACTTGCCCACCAGAATTCGTCTCCATACAGCATGATAAGTAAGTCTTGCCTCCTGCTGCAGGAGCCAACATGACCAGTTGCCTCCTGCATGACAAATGAAGTGCCTGGTCTTGCCTCCTGCATGACAAATTTTGCATGACAAATTGAACTTCGCCTATAAATCCGCATTACAGCATCGAACTGAAGCTGTCCTTCTGGTGGTTTTTGCAGTCTGGGTGGCTGTTTTTATTTCTCCCTCTGTAGCTTCTACCAGTAAGCAATGGCGCGACAGTTCGTGGTGCATACGTCTGCTTCGTCGGCTGTTCCCCACCATCATCTATGACAATGCAGAACTCCCCCTCGTCCACCTCATTTGTAATGCAGAATACCAAATGCACAGCCACGGCGGCACTCTTGGCGTGCGAAATTTCAGAGAGAATTTATCTCAAGCTGTAAGCACAACACCCCGTGTGCAGATTTGTCATGCGGGCGCCACATCTCTGCCATTGCTTGTGTTCCTGTTAATGCTATCCTGTGCAAAAGTATCGCGCTCGTAATAATTGCAGTCATGCATTACAAATTTTTTTCTGAAAGTGAAGCTACATCCGCATTACAAATTTTATCTCTCACGCTGAGGAAATTTGTAATGCATTTATACGAGTACGATACTTTTGCAATGCATAAATGCAATACAAATGAGGCGGAGGGGGAGTTGTGCAATCTCATATCAACATCGTCGTCCGAGCTACTATCTCCGCCAGCGTCTTCCTCGCCCTCATCGTCTTCAACTAGCTCCGGCGTTTCCCAATACCCGAAGAAGTCCTCCTGAGAGTGGTGAGCTCCTACTTATTCATACTCTGAAGCGACATTTCTTGTTTTTGGTGGTGTTCTATCATCGACGAGGGGAGGGGTAAATAAGTACTTAGAGAGAATTCGGGCGGGTAGAGAGATTTGTCATGCGCAACGGAACGTCTGGGCGGTAATCGCGGTCAACGTCTCAGCATCACAGATTTTGTTTTCGTCTATGAAGTTTGTTCTTCAGCTCCGTCCATATAAATTTAAACAGCATGACAGATTTAGTAAGTACCTCTAGGCGCTCGATGTCACTGCCCGGGGCGCCAAGTTTTTCAATTGTCGGCAGTACGCGTCTATGCAGTGCAAAAGGGGCGACGGTGCTTTCTATCCGAGAACGGGCTGCACTCTGCCACCCCACACATGGCCCAATATGTAAGTATCTCTCTATGTGCGCGACGCAGAGATGCGGCCCGCTTATGAAAACTGCCCGTCGCCCACTTTTGCAGGGGGATACCAGCCTTCCACCAAGCGCCGCACGCCTTCCGGTGTGGGGACGCGATCTAGACCAGCCGCACGCAACTCCGCTACGACTTCCTCCGCCCGCTTCTTCGCGGCAGGCAGAAACGCAGCGATGGCCCGTGCGTAGTCATCTCGGATTGCCCGCGCGACGTGCTGCGGGTTCGTGACACGAGGGTCAAAGCCCAGCTTTTGAAAGGACTCAGAGCCGTAGCTGTCGTGGTCCAAGTCCTCCCAGGCTTGTAGGACCCGCCTGACGGCGTCCTCCCGGGAGGAGATCGTGAGCCGGAACTTGCTGCGCTTGTCCGCCATCTGCGCCAACAACTGCGCCGCCGCTTGGGTGATCTCTATGTCCTTAAGCCGCTTCGAGAAGGCGTAGTGGGCGTACAGGTCGCACGGCTGCACGAGGTCGGTACACCCGGCGCCTGCGGTTTGTAGTTTTTCAAGTTTCGCACTCATCTGTCGCGCGTCTGCTGCGGGCCAGCGTAGTGATCTATACATAGTAAGCAGAAGCACCTACTTACTGGAGCACCTAAAAAACAAACCCGCTTTGGGTCCACATACTCGCGTGGCCCACCCTGGTCACCCCCACCACCAGCGATTTGCAAGCAAGCAGCGTGGAAAATGCCAACGCTCGGAGCCAAGAAACGTAAAGAAGCTCATGGCACCTGTAATGCGGGGCGCGCCGCTTTCCCGGGATTTTATTCAAATCGCCGGCGAAAAGTCGCAAGGCCCATAGAAAGAGGGCGGCACGCACGCGACGTGGGGGCCCGGGACAAACAGCAGAATGGCAGCAGCGGAAGCGCACTGCTGCCGGAGTTCTCAGCGGTGAGGGGCGGCTGAATCGCCGCAACCGGGGCAAAGCGAGTATGTACTTACTTAAAAGAGAGAGGGAATTCCAAAAACAGCATGTGATCAGAGTAGTGCTACTATTGGACAAACTGCGCACTTGTGCGATGCGTGCGCTCTGTCCTGGGTTTTCCAGTCGTTTTTTGGAAGCCTGGCAACAGAAGTAAAGCTACGTACTAAGTACCGACGAACAACAATATTAGGAGAAGCTCAGCCCAATCGTCCGGGCGCTCGTGGCCCGAGAAATGGTCAACATACACCACGGTCACTATTCCCTTCCGAGAGTTTTCCTCGACCAAGTCGCGCAGCGCATCCGTGAATATTGCTCTGTTGTAACTGCCCCTCGGCCCTGTTCGTAAGACACACCACTCCGGGACGCCGCCTGCTATGGCGTGCTCAGGTGCTGAGTACAGATTCAGTACTTGGCTAAGTAACCACTGTCATTGGGGTCGAGCGCTGCAATTTGCTTAGGTATTCCCTTTGCCATGCTGTTCGTGCAGGACAGAGCGTAAACAACTCAGCCCGCCCGCTAAGTATAAGTACATGCAAGAACCACTGAAGCTGTAGGCCCCACCTGAACGGCCCATATGCACCCTGTTCAGCTTCGCCTGGACGCCATTCTTGCCCCGGAAGAGGATCTCGATACTTGGCGGCCCTTCCCTGTCCACCGCGTCGGTGACTTGCGTTAGTACCGTAAAGCGCGATCTGTGGCGCAGTTTTCATTGTGGGTGAGGTCCGTTCTTGTACTAACTTCCGCCCAAGGTCCAGGAGGCACCACTAACACACCACGAAACGCGTAAAAGTACTACTTAAGCTAGCAAAAGCGTGCGCAGTTTATCGGGCACACGAAAGGCGAGACGGAAAAAAACATACTTAGAGGAGGTCTGTACCTTGACTGGCCGTGGTTGTCGTTAATTGCCACCTTGTCCTCCCCTGAGAATGTGACTACTTTGCCGGCTGATGTGCCGTTCATGAAGACAGGCTTTTCGTCGAAATTTTTGGAGGCCTTATCCACTGCAAAAGTGCGACGACCTAACTCTTGCATTTCCCATACAGAGACCCACAATCTTGCATGACAGATTTTCTCTGGTTCCTGATCTCAGAAATGCGCCTGCGCTGCAGATCTAGATGCCAAATGATTTGCATGACAGATTTGAGAAAATTTGTCATGCAGACGTGCCCACGAATCGCAGGGGATATTTGGAGTCCCGGCGGCACTTTTGCAGGGGATATTTGAAGTCCCACCCTAGTAATTCCAGCGCGTGACGCACCGACCAGCTTGGCTCCCACGTTCCACAGAGGCGGAAATACTGCAGCGCGGGGTCAAGTTTCGGCCGTGTATTTGGCATCCGTAACACCAAATCGTTCGCCCGCATCCAGTATCAAATGCAAATATGTCTGGGTCTGGAAGATTTGGGGAGTTTGTCATGCACATTTTGCATGAGCCATGACGTCTGTGATGCATGCCGTAGCATCACAGATTTTTATTTTTTGAGGCCTTTTTGATGCAATGCAAATTTTTGGGATTCCAAACGCAGCATCACAAGTTACATTCTTCCAGACAAAGACACTTTTGCACTTGATATCCAGTCCCTGATGTACCTATGACTAGCTTGCGAGACGGTCTTTGGGTCTATATGCGGGCTGTCGTCCAGATAAATTTTTCGCTGGGCCGCGTATGCCAGCCGAAGAAGAGGCACCGTAATTTTAGTTTTCCGCCATCGTAGCTCGCAGAAAAGAAGGAAAAGGTCCTCCCGCAGCTGCGGGTTTGGCGGAGGGCGGCCGGCGCCCTTGTCTCGCAGCCGACGCAGTTCGGCCGCACTGTAGTATTGCCGAAGCCAGGCCTGCACGTCGGCAAGATGATTGAAGGCCTCGCTAGTAATGACCTCCCAAGTCCAAGTCTCCTTGACCATCTCCTTCGCCCGGCCGAGCATCTTTAGAAGCGAGTTGCGCTGACTCCTTGTCTGTAAGAGTTTGGGATTGTTGTTTAGACACCGGAGCTGCTTCATGTTCGTGTCATATTGTCCGCTTTCCAAGGATTCTAGCCGAAGTGCGAGAATTCCCGTCGTCAAACGGTCCCCAAGCCTGTAGCTGTCGTGCGTGCGCTTGTTCTTCCACGCCTCCGGGACGGCATTCAGGACCGCGGCGACAACCGCGTCGTCATCTTCATCGCCCCTGGCAGACGGTTCCGAGTCTGCGTCAAGCTGCGCCATGCTTCTTTGTCGGGATTTCTTGCGTGTCTAGCTCTAGGTCGAGGATTACTATAAAAAAGTAGTAAGAACTTACTTATTGCAAAACGCTACTTATCGACTACAAATACTTGCGAAATGGAAGAGCTAGGTACAGGAAGCGGGCCGCGCTAGTCGCGTCTTCTAGTGGTGCTTAACTAGTAAGTACTGCATTTCCACGACACCATGAGGCGCGATAAGTGCTTACACCTTCCACCCCAAGCACCCAAACAAACACACCCACGACAAGGAACGAAAAGCCCAACGAAAAAACAACTTTCGAGGCGAAACGAAGCGGGCCCATGCATCAATCTTCACCAACTTATTTGCGTCTCAATCTTCAACCGCAGCCATTCTACTTACACATCGCACAAGTGGAGCGAGGACCAAGCTCAGAGTTTCACAATCGTCATCATCTATGCTGCGCAGGGTGGTGTGCACAGGGTTCAGAAGGGGCCTGCCCTCGTGTTCAAGTTTTGATCACTTAAGCTCGTTGTCTGTTTCTGGTTGCCATTGCAGTTGCAGATTTATTCACGCGAACGCTCACGGAAACACTTCGCGAATTTCGTCCGTTCTCATGGAATTGTCAGCATTTTTCTGTGTCAGCACTCAGCAGCTGGCATTCGAAAGCGAAAGGTGTAAGTAGTCGCCAATAGGTATCATTTCAAAACGAATCCACCAACAATGGCTCTGGTTCGCTGTTTGCCTCCACACTGCTCTGTCCGGCCGTACTACCACAAGACCCCATGGCCAACGATCTGCATACCCGTTACCATCCAGGCGAAACCCCGCCGGCGCCCTCGCGGCCCATTCAAGCAGACCTGATGTCGTGTTTCGTCGAGGCTCAAGTAAGTAAGTTGTAGCTCTAGTTCTTAAGTAGTGCAGAAAAAGCATTCCATGCGTTCTTCTTGGGAGCAGACGATCACACATGACAGACTTTCCTCTGAAGCAATGTATGGGTCCTTACCTTCTTGCCACAGAAACCCGTACTGCTATTGCGTCTTCAAGTACTTTTCAACGCCCCACACTGTGGGGCGGTTCGCTTCCGCCAACGACCGTTGCGATGAGGTTGTGTTGTTCCGGTTGTGTTGTTCCGCGCGATGAGGTTTTGTTGTTCCGCGCGCCAAAAGGTGAAATGGTATTGGACTTATGAATGGGCCGCTAATTATGTATTTTGGAGTAGTGCCAATCAGAACCGAAAGGGAAACCCTCACAACTCCCGTGCAACATTAAATAGATGGACGCAAAACCGAAAGCTGACTTTAAATAGATGGACGCAGACTTTAAGAAGAGCCACCACATCATTGGCCTTTTTATACAAAATGCTGTCGGTCAGGATGTGCAAGAACGCACCGGGAAACAGCCATCATCCTCGCCAATCCAGCCCTGCCCGGCCGCCGAGTCACCGTTGAAGCAGCAGTGGCCGATGCAAAATTACTTATGCCATATGCAACTGTGAAGGTCAGCCCGTGTTTGTCGCCCCCGCCATGCTAGGTCGGTCATCAGAAAGGTGGGCAGGCCAGCAAGTCTCGTCTCGCAGTAGTACTTACTACGTCGGCATCAGACTGAGAAGCTCCTTCCTCATGGGAAAGCTGCGATGCCTTTTCCACTTTTTTGCAGAACGCGTGACGAGTCGTGCGAACTTGACTTGGCCTTCATTTTTCGGGGTGTAAAGGCTGCCTGTTCTATCCGGGTCCGTTTGATTGATGGTCGGCCGTGGCTCTGGACTCTCTGTGACCAAAAGACACACACCTCATGCTGTTCATCTTGTCTCAATTGAAAGGACAACAGCTTTGAAAATGTACAATAGCGAAAGTGTCTTGAGTTCTGGAAAAACGGAAATCAAATAGGCACTGCAAGATCAAAAGGGCGTTGGTCTGGATGGATAAATTTACGGGCAAGTAATGACAATGGGGAAAAAGGTGAGCTCTTGTCCGACGACCCTCAAACGCTGAAAATTTGTTCAGTGCTTTTACAAGAATTGAAATCATAGCGAAAAAATTTCTCTCATGAAAAAAATTCCGTAGAAGCTAGGTAGTTTGGAAGATCGCTGTGGCAAGCACGTGAAGGACCGTCCTTCAACACCTACCACAATATATAAGATCGGAGTTTCGGATCGCTGCGCTTTCAGGTACTGACGTGCCTATACAAGCTATGATGAGATCTCGTGTCCTGGATAACAGCGCGCTATTACATACTTAGTTCGTCAGCTAGATGCTATTGTGCACCATCGACATTGAGGCGCGAGGCGAGCTGCAAGGCTTGCGATTAAAGCAAGGACTCTCGATATACGATGAAATAATCTTCTTCCACACCCGCCGACTTCGGTCGGCCGTGACAGCTGCTCCGAAAGACAAAGAAATCACGCACCAAGGGATCAACATGAACTTCTCTCCGAGGATCAGGCACGAAATAGCGATATGCAGCCACTTTCAGTGTCACAAATTGCCCACACGGTGCATGACGAGAGATCTTCTGGGAAAGAACCGAAATGCTTCTTTTGCCGGTACTCGTTGCAGATCACGGTTTTTCATCGTCATCATCATCATTATCATCTTCCTCATTGATCCTGCACGGCGTGCGGAGGGCTTGGGGTTCGTGTTTGCTCCCTGCCAGGAATCGGGTTGGGCGAGTTCATCGAAGAATGGGTTCCCTGCCAGCCAATGCAGCCGGAGGAGCCGAATGGTATGTCTCCACTTCTGGTAGGGGAACACTGTCTGGAAACCCGGGATTTCTGTCCGGGTCACCATACAAACGCATGAATTACTGCAAATTCTCCAATGTTCGGAAACGAAATTCCACCACTGCTTGTCCAGCAGGTGACTCATTTTCTCCTTGCTTCTGAGACGGGCTGAAACCTACAGCTATCGTCATTGCTTTTGAAGATTAATCTGCTTTCGTGGCTTTCTTTTATCGTCGGCTTGATGTCGCCGACATAGGCTCTGTAGTGTGATTGTTGTTGTTCAAAGATTTGAATTGCTTGCTAGATGCCACCTCTTCAGATGAGTTCGATCTGCAGGAGTTCGAAAAACAACTACGTGAAACTGTGTTGCGTAAATCATCTTCCCATCTTCAGCCCTAATTGGCTACTGCGCATTCAAAGAAAAAAGCGCACGAGTGTGTATGTACCGCAAACAAGGTAGTAGGGGCGGAATCGGGATCCAACGCTGCCACATTCACACGAAGCGGATTGTCCCCCGCAGTCGTCCTGGCGGAAATGCAAGACCAGTGCGGCGGCGCCTCTTCCCGGAGCTTTTCGTAAACCAGTTTCCGTAAGTGTGGGACATACACGTCGTCCGTGCCTGAAATCGTTCCGATCTCATCTCTTGGGAGGGCGACCTGTCGGACACCGCCAGACCTCTTGACCAGCGAGATCGACACCGGGGCATCTGCTGCAGGGGCACTCATTTTTGTGACCGCATGCACAAAGGGGCAAACGGTGGAGACCGCTGTATAACTATATGAAGAACGTGCAGCGTTCTTAGCACTATTGCGTAAGAAAATCAGCAAGCAGGAGTCGGGGAGGCAAAAGAAAAAAACGTGGTTGTTCCACCTACCAGCAATGCGATATCGACGGCACGGGGACTAGGGTTGTACTTCGGGTTGCGGGAAATATTTTTTACCAAACAACGTAATTATCCAAAGATTTCCTGCAGGTAAATTGGTCCACGACCTTGTTACGGACGATCGTTTCTCTACTTACTTAGCTACATTAATATCGGGTCCGGATCATCTGCAAACTACGAAAACCTCCATCTAGCACTGGATCCTTTTCCGTTTGATTTGTAGAAGTTGGTATACGACATATCCCTTTCCACCGATACTCTGTAGAAGTAGTGAGCAGGCCACGAGTCGCGAATTTCATAGCGAAGTTTTTTGCTGATGGTGTGTGTCGAGGTAGAGACAGAGTAATGCCGCACCGGTGCCACTGATCTTTTCTTCCGAGGGCAACAGGTGGAGCTTCTGCTTGGTCTTGCAAAGAAAGGCGTTGTCGACATCACGTTGTGTCAACATGATTGCTCTTTGGACACACAATTCAGCTGGAGTTCTGGTCCTAGAAACGTAGGCCGAGGTTGTACATACTACGGGGCCGCGAAGCAGATGGGACTGACAGATCGAGAAGTTTCTTGGTTTCCACGACCACTTCAAGTTCTACTTTCTACTGAGCACACAACTCATCACATTTCGAGCCTAGTTGATGTAGCGTGTCTTGCAACAGAACACAAAAGAACGTGTTCCAGTGCTTGTGATCGCCGTCTTCGATCCGAAACAAAGTGGCGCGGAAAGCAACGCCAATGATTTAGAGATCGTGTGCTCCACCACACTACATCAGTCACTTTCTTTTCACAAATCGCCTGTTTAGCGAGGTCACCTGACGACGCATGTAACAGACGAGCACGTCGCGCAACGTTGTTCTGCTTCGATAGCAAAAATTCTACAAGAGTTCTACGCCGGTAAAGGACAGCAGCTCAGTTGGGGCGATTGTATCTATTCTAAAACGTGACTCGCGACAACAATGTGACAAAGTTATGAAGCTTTTATTATAGCATCTTTTCGGCGGTGGTACAGCTGCCAAAATATTTCGGCCATCTCGGTTTGCGTCCCCAAAATCCAAAATTTTCGATCCGCCACTGTATTATTCGTCATCGTCCGACGCCGGGTCAATTGGATCTTCGTCTTCCATAACATGCGGTAGGACGTACGTGATCTTCGAATCAGGGTCTCTGGGATCCATAGGCTGTCGGCCACGCGAGCGTGTTTCAAGATGTATCGAGTGCAATCATGTCTAGGTCACGAAAAGCGCAGCTGTCTTCTGGTCAGAGTACACAGTTTCCGGCATCGGAATCATACATAACTAACGCGATTGTGGCTTTTTGCTTCCGGGCGAGTGTCAAGATGAACTACGCGCCGACGATAGTGGATGCTTCGAGACAAAGAAACACTGCAAGAAGTCATGCAAATCACTAGTTATTTTGCTGTACTAGGCAACGGGCACAGTACAAGTTTCGCATCTTTTCTCGACTCAGACATTAGTGCAATCCATAAACTCATCAAACGGGCAAACATGGCGTAGGGTTGAGATTTCCCGCAAATACGCTTCCAAGGTCTCGTCGCTAGCGGCCTCGTTCCCGTACAGCGAGAGATTCTTCAGGCTGAATCGTTTCCCCTTGTCACCGTATGCAAAGGAAAAAAAAGCTGTGGACTGGGCCAAGCGAAGCGATCTCGTTTTGGGTCCTTCGTCGAAGACAAAGAGTGTGGCACTAAATAATCAAGCTCATTCTTACCGTACAAAGAAAGTTGCGCACTTGCAAAAACTAGAGGAGTGAAAAAAGACTGGCAGTTTGCTCGATAAGGAATCTGGCATGCAAGTAAGTGGCCAAAATCGCCACAGTCTCCACAGTTGCGGGCTGTTTTTTGTTCTTGATAAGGAGGCAATCGCATCGAGCAGAGCCATGGTAGTCGTTTCTGGAAGTTCGTTTTCCGTCAAATGCAGAGACTCCAGCTTTGGCAGCCTAGTCGAACGTCCAAACGTTTCACAAGCCATCCTGAGCGCGTCGGATATTTCGCCTTTTGGAAAGCTACCACTATTCCGCACGGCCTTGTTCAAATTCAAGTATTTCAAGGTCGACGACAGCTCTGCCTCTATATTACTGATCCCCACCAGCAGACGGGCAAATTCGACAGGCGAAAACCACTCAACCTTACCTGTAGTTGTTTTCGTGTGTTTTTCATGTTTAAAAGCGCCCACACGTAGCCAGCTTTTTCTCATGCGACTGCGAAGATCATTGTACCCAATACAGAAATCTGCCAACATCATGCTCTTTGCTATGACTTTTCTAGGCAACACAAGCTGCATTTACTCGTTCGAAAGATCCGCAAGTGTGCGCGCTGGTCTGACGTGAGGAAACGGATCATCGCGGTTGTGGCAGCCGCAAGACCGCCCTCCTCCTTCTCATCTTCGATCCAATCTTGCTCGAGATCCTGGTGGATATTCACCACTTCCAACAATTATGCGAGGGAAAAAATGCGGCGCTAGAGCAGTCCTGCAAAGATAAAAACAGCCTCTATACACGCAGCTTTGAATTCTATCGGCCGTCAGCACTACGGCTGCAGTAGTGCTGACCAAGCGGCGAAACTTTTTTTGTGGTCCTCTCACGCTCCTGGATCGCTGTCATCTTCAAGATTCAATTACCAGTAATCAGAAATAATTTTTCCAACGGCTCGCGATGCTGCTTCGAATTCCATGCAAGTACAGCTGCAGGGGTGTAAGTGCAATATACAAATTTCAGTATCGAGCCCAGCAATCGCATCCCGTGGATACTTTGGCGCCTCCAGCCAAAGTGTTCCCGAAGAGTGTCGTAATCACCGTGGGCGACCACCCGTCCAGGCCACAGTCTTCGAGTTCGAACCGCATCAGGTTGGAGTTTTCGTGGAGCTTCCAGGATTGGAAAAACAGTTTCCACAGGCTGGTGGGCATTACAACTTCTTGCAGTCTGACTTCCAGTAATGAGTCCGCCGCTGTCAAGGCTTGTGCGAAATTTCCGAGTGTCTTTGCGAGGGAGGCGTGTGTACCGTCCGATTCAGTCATATCCTGAGAAAAAGCATCTTGCTTCAGATCTGTGTATACAGAGTACTTCTTGGCCATGTCTCATGATGGTTGATTGCAGTACGAGATACGCATATTACCGGCACCAAACTGTGATGCAAAACTGTGACATGATGCTTTTTCACCAGGATAAGAATCGGGCAAACGCAGGTCGTCGCCAAGGTTGATATGAAGCTTCAGGTATGAGAAGGAAAAATCCTACCCACAGCGGGGTCGGAAGACTTCACTGGAAAGCGGAGTTTTTCACGAACAGAAAATACTTGCGTTGCAGAAAGGTGACATTCGTCCTGTGGTGCAAGAATAAGGTTCTAGACCGTGGCCGCACAACATGCTTACAACACTGTAGATTTGGTCATGCCAATCAGAACGGGATTCGTCCCTTCACACATGCCATCACCCGCTCGGTGAATCATGCGTACTGCAGGTAAGCTTTGGGTAAGTTTTTTCCCGACATACGGACAGCTTGTTTTCTTGCAGCATTAGTGTGGCGACTTGTATTCGTTGTTCGAAGCAGGCAAGTGGATCCTCCTGTACTGTTTGCTGTAGCTTCAGCACCGCTGGAAGCCTCGCGGTGCTACCGTCCCGGGCTTGCTCGAACGCGTCAGTTTTGAATTCGCGGTCCACCTTCAAGACCACGTTGGAGTCCAGGGCGTGCACGTAGGCCTGCCATTGCTCCACCGTCCCTTCGAGGCCGGGAGGGCTGGTGAGGTCCTCTGTGCTTGCCGCAGTCACCGCACCCGTAGCGACGGCACCTGATATTAAGCAGGATTTGCATGATTGTGGAACTTGCACTCTCGGACGGAGATCATACAAAAAAATGGAGATGCCCAATGAGGCACTGCAATTCTCAGCTTTGCCGTGCTTCAGTACAATTGGTGTCCTGAATTCAATTTCCCGTCTTTACAACTACCCAAATGCTGTTCATCTGGTTCCTGGCCTCATGACAGCAAAAAAAATGTACCCGGAGTTGGCATCGCCACAGAGCCTTGCGAACAGGCTGGACACACTGCTGCTGCCAAATATCCGCCCCCGAAAACAACGGAAAGCAAATAGAGGTTATCAAATGCAAAAATGTCTGGGTCTGGAAGAATGCAAGTTTGTCATGCTTGTCTGGCATGACTCGAGAGTCTGTGTTGCACGGCACGAAAAGGCCCTCTTACCTGTCATGCAAAAACGCAGTTTGCCATGCGAAATACGTAAGACATGGGAGCCAAAAAATATGTCATGCATAGCTGCGCATTGCAGTGCGTCTACCATTCACTTTTAGCATTACAAGTGTCCAGACCCAGACATATTTCCAATCCATACAGTTCGAAGATCAGCGATTTCGCAGTGCCGAGAAACGTCGACATTTTCTCAGGCGAGGGGCATTTCGCAATAGATTTCGCGATGTTGGACTTTCGATTCGTATACAGAAAAAAAGTAAAAGTCCAACCGTGGAGGTAGGGTGTAGGAAACGGAGAAGTAGGTAGTGTGGCGTTGCTGGAAATAAATTGTTAGTGTCTACTAGTACTACGAGAAGAGAAATTTAAAAATCAAAATTACGGTGAGGCTTGTGGAAGTGTGAAGAAGGGTTGTTTCTCCTGAATAAAATATATTACTGGTCGACACAGAAACATTCTTGAATGATCAGAAATACATACGAATGGCTTTACCACCGGAGGAACGCTTGCTCGTGATCTTAACCATTCCTTGAAAATTTTGCTTGTTGAGAATTGCGGTAGATCCTGCTGCTCCTCTCTTTGTCCTCCGGTATAAATTTGTAATGGACACAGGGCAGGAGCACAACACACACTTCTTGGAAGCAGTCTGAGAGAGAGCGGATCTTTCCATGGGGTGGAGGGATCCTGTTTTCCCCCAGCCAGAAGACCAGATGCAACAGCTTTCAGCCTGGGACCTAAAGTTCAACATTCTCATTTAATGATCAAAGTTTCGTAGCATCTACCGTCTAGGTGGAGATCCGGTTTGAACAGAAGTATTTGCCTACTCAAAGTGACACGCACTTGGAAACATAACACTTGTCCGCTTCAATAACTTAGTTCATTGCAGCCCATCGCTGTGTTATTGTCACGTCTTTCATCTCAATCTCTGTGCTTGATAAAAACAGCCAAAATTTGCGTCCGGTGGACATCCACACGGGACAGAGGTACACATTACGATATGAGATTTTGTCTTGAAATGGAAACGCTTATCTTCCTACGTGCCGTCACAGGTAGAAGATGTTTCTGTGAGTTGTGCCGTTGTACATAAACAATTTGATATTGATAGTTTTCTGTCGTACATAGAAAAACACAGATTGAAATTAGGTCATTAGATGTTCGATGAAATAACGCAGTCAAATATTCTTGAACGTCAGCAAAGAACAGGTTCCGCAGAGCAAACTTTGTTCTGTCGGAGTAACGTTAATTTGCTGGAGCGACCGCAGGCGGGAAAAGTAGAAAAAAGTCTACTTTGGGTCGGGCTTTGCGCTGTGAGTCCCGCGCTTCGCTTGTTCAGCGATGCGGCCAAAGAACAACAAAAAATGCTTGTCGATACAGAAGTTCGACGCCATTTTCCGCCATCCTAAAAAGTAGCTGTGGCAAATGAAAAAGTAAACACTCAGTCAGTGCTCTCCACGAGGAGATCGGAGCAGGAGTGTGTGGGTTCATCAGTACGCGGCACTGAAGCGTAAGGTTTTCGCTCTTCTGGTTCTGGTACTGCATCATTTTCGCGACATGAAACAGCCTCGTTCCTAGAAAGCGAACTGCTTGTAACTGTCAATTACGGACAAATACTTGCATTGCGGTCTACTCACGTGTTGCGCTTCTTTCCAAATTCTACAAACGTCTCCGTCGTGCCCTTGTTCTGGCGTTGTTGCAGGGGGTACCTATTATGGGGCGTGTACGTTTCCGGTACGCCTGTGATTAGGGTTTCCCTTCCGCCGCTAGGATTGGAAAATTTATTCCATTGATTCATACTATCCCAGATGATTCCCATAGCCTGCGTTTGCCGATTGCGCGCCCTCTCCGCTGGGGTAATCGGGTTAGCATCTGTGGGCTGGCGACGGTGGCCCCACAGGTGGTTCACATTCAATATGTTGCTCCGGACCTTGCCGATTTCGCCGGTTTGCAAGGCGGCCATACGGCGGTTGTCTAGCGTGATCATTCGGCCCTCGTTCCTGTCGGGGAGGCCTGCTTGGGTAGCGTGCTGTGCGTAATTTCTCAGCTTCTTCTTGCCTGACTTTGAAGTCATCGGTGAAAATACCGTTTGCTGGTGCGTATGACAGGAAAGCCTGGCACCCACCTCCCGCACTGCTGCATTTGCTATGCAAATTTTGTTCGGCTTTTGTTTTCTGGTATGCGTGCTTGCGTGGGCTTGTAAATATCAACGACCTCTAGTACACATGCGTTCGCACTGACTTACGAAAGTGAATCTATATCTTCCAACTACATGCCCAGAACACTTCCTTGCATACTTAATAGCTGGCGCGCCTCCCATGACACAGTTATCCATTTCAACCAGGGCGGGAAGTGAGTGGAAATAATGATCCTCGGGATAATTTCCCATGTTGATGTTCGCCGGCTGTGCTCCAGAAGTTTGTAAAACGCCTCGCTCGAACAACGACGGCGCATTAGCTGGATCGCTGTCCGCGTCGGTCAAGCCGTAGGCGTTCCAAGTCGGATTCGCAACCTGGGTTCCGTCTTCTGTTGTCAACGTCGAAGCGAGCGGGGCTCCACCCGAGGTCGTCGGTGTGTATTGCACGTGTGGGATCGTGTCGATGTGCATTAGCTCATTGACTTTATTATCGTCCGCCGCAAACTCCACGGCACTGCTTTGGACCGCTATTCTTTTAGAAAACTTCCCCGGCTCATGTCCGACATCCGTTGCGTGGCTGACGCTGACCTGGGGCGCGCAGGCGCCTCTCATATATCGACATGTCTCCTCACGACAGGGGGCTTCGAATAAATAATATTTGTGAGTGCGTATTTTTCAGGACTGCGAAATGTTTGGGAGGATGCGCGGGCTCGCAAGACCATGAGCCACGTGTCCACGTAAGTATACGGTGACGGCCTCAGGTTTCTTATGGCAAATCAACACCCGCTGTGGACTTGCAAAAGATAAAGACATGCTCAATTATAAAGCCCTTGTCCTATATATGGCAGGAAGTTTTCACACAAGTTAGCCGTGTTCACTTGGTCACTAAATACGAACGCCGCGGTGTTTTGAGAAACGCGAACGCCTTGCACAGGGATTTTGGTAGGGTTGAAGACGCAGCCATCATATGCCGGGGCGGTGTAGTCCAGTTTATCGTTTCCGCGAAGACTTCCGAAATACTATGCTGTGCTAAGAGATACCCGCCCCATGATCACAAAGTAGATAACCTGCATCACAAATGATACTTCAAAGCGGCACAAAGGAACGAAGGTGCTCAGGGCGGTGGAGGGTTTCTTCAGGCGCTTGGAAGGCGATCCTTTTGTTTCACGCGTGAGTAAATACAACATCAACCGTTCTTGTGCCTTACGACAAAAATGATTTCTGATATAAAAGCGATGTACTATTTTGTGTCTAATTAATATACTGGAACGGGGACGGGCATGGTGCTTTTCCACAGGATACGTAGTCGCCCTTGGCGCGCCTCTGCTCCCGCAGCAGTTTTGTCGCCATGTCTACAGCCGCTTTACCCTCTTCGGTTTGTTGCTGCGTTTCGATATAATTGCGCGCCCTTTGTTGGCTCTCCTTCGGCCCAGGCTTGAGGTTCTCGTCCTTTTCGTGAATATCGTACCATATGTCAACTTCTTTCTCGAGTTCGTCCCGGTCCACGCCGGCCCTCTGCGCCAAATCGTTCAACTCCGCGTCGTAGTGCTGGATCCGCTGTTCCCGCTCTTGGTCCGAGACCATCCACGCGCATGCAGAAAAGAATTTTCCTGCCGATGGCAGTGTCGCGTGGTGCTGTGACTCTTCTCATCCTTTATTCAGCAGTGCCAGTACTATGGCGCTCACATGCATGGATATATAATCACATCGCAACTTTAGTGGTCATCAACAGACGCGAGCAGGTCGGTGTTTTCTGGCACGGAAAAGAGCTTCACCTACGTTTCTCTAGCTGTCAAATTTCATGCATCCTAGCAACCTTTCGCGGACGGCTCATCGAAGTATTGATTTCACGTGGTGATAACATGCTGCGTTGATCCGTTGTTTCTTCGGATTCAACCCACTTTGCACTTTCAGACGCGGTCCCTTCTTGCACCCGATCGTACCGGAAGTTGCCCTTAGGCTTTGCACTTTTATGAAAGGAAAAAAAATCATTTGCGTCAAGTGGTTTTATTTATGCAATTTTCAGAAAATTTCACGGAATAGCTTAAGTAGCTAGTTCGCGTAAGTCGAGCTACGTGTGACATCTTCCAACAAAATTGTCAGACATCCAGGTACGCAATCAATTGCAATGATCATTATATCCCCTGCGGTTGCGTGTGACGGACTTCACTTGACCCATCATTGACTTTGCATAATTTTCGGGGTAATTCTGGATTTTTTGTTCCTTGAACAATTTTTCCAGTTGGTTCTTGTTTTCTTCGAAACCGAAACCCTTGCTGGCGGAGCTGTCGTCCCATTCTGGCTCGCGTTATGGAGTTGAAAAATCAAAGTGCATGCCGACTTGTCATATGTGCTACTTATTGTAGGTCTGATTAAGATCTGCAGGAACAATCGAATACAGATGCAAGAAAAACATAGCGCCAGCTGCACATTTGGCTTTTTCACTGCATAAAGGCTTGCCGTTGGCGCGCGCTTCGTCTTTCAGTTTTTCTCTGTCCGCTAGTTGCTTTTGTTCACGTGCCGTCCTGGCTTTCTCGGCTTCGATCGGGAGATTTTCCGCTCGCGTTTGGGCTTTTGATTTCGAGTTATTATACGTTTCGGATTCTTCAGTCGGACCGTAGTTTTCCCGCAAACTATTGTCGCGGCCAGTTTCGTCTCGGAGTTCGGCCCCAGGATCACCATCATGATCATCTGTGAGGAGATGTTTGGGACAGGAATTGTCTGGCTTTTCTCAGGTTAAATTTCTTTGAGTATTGATTGCTTTGTATTCAGTCGCCAGTACCTACGTCAGTAACTGCAGAAACGAAACAACCAGCGGCTTTTGGAAAAACAAGCCCTTCGTTCACAACATGCATTGCCGAGGAAACAGCGATCTTTTATTTGTCCGATTGAATAAACTTTCCGCAGGGAGCGGAAACCACTACGCTATTCTCAATCTACAAAACCGATCTCTTTCCCTGCATCATTGTGTGTCCTGAAAAAAGCCAGACTTTTCAGCATCCGCACTGAAGGCCGTAGTGGTAGGTCGGGATCGCAGAAGCGCCTTTTACCCCTCCTTACATGTTGTACTTCGGACGACGGATCTTGAATGTTGACACGCGGCCGGCAAGTGTAATTTGGTTCATGCCAGCGCCCGAAAGCAAAATCTTTCGAATTCGTCACGTCTCCGATGTGGGATGCAAGAGGAACGTGAAGGCCTCACCAGGTAAAAAACTGATGCGGTCAGGCATGTTCGGGTTTCAGGTCTGGGTGGTCAGAGAATTCTGCAGGTACCCTCCGACGCTACCGGGCCGGTACGAGTTGCGGAAAAGTCCGGGCAGTGGAACACAATTTCGCAGAGTGTTTTTCACAATCCTCATAGACTGATTTCAGTGCGCACGACGAGGAAAGAAGCGACCGAGACTTTTTGTATATCGTGGAGACGCGACTAACACACTAGAAGAGGAAGAAACGCGACGAACCACGAGACGAGGGACGAGAAAAAAATGACGACTCACCGAGGAAATATGACTGGTCTCAAATCAGGCTTCGATGGGACAAAGACAAATTAGAAATAGAAAGGCATTGTAGCAACTAGGTATAATAATGATGTTTCCTGGTGGAAAATGGAGGAATGTGTTTGCGCTTTGTCTTTGATAAGTAAAGGTAAAGAGGATCTTCCAATTTCATCAAAATAAATACCAGCTGTGGCTGCCAATGTTGCTGCGGTGTCTGTCGTCTCGCCATCTTCTGCCGAGCCGACGGCCGTCGCTGGTCGTATGAAGGCAAAAATTTTAGTCAACGAAGATGTTGGTGTTTGGCATTTTCTTTTTCTTGATTCAGCATCACGACTTTTTCTTTTTGCTCTCCACGGCATGACCACCTTCGTGCCTGACGACTGGGGGCAGTCGGAGGCACGGGTTGTGCTTCGCACTACAGCTGAAAACGTGCTGGTGGAACTGCTTGAATTTGTTGTAAAGATACACACGAGGAAAAGTGTAGAACCTAGTACACTGTGATGCTGAATATGCACGACTACACGCCATAATTATAATTCGACAACTTGAAGACGGTCATTGCGTCACATACATGGCTCGACATGCGTCGCTGCTGTGCTTGAAGTGCTTGGATCTCCTGTTACAACTCCTCCCGTGGCAGTTAAATCGGGTACAATCGTAGAATCCCCTACGCCCGGCACTCCCGTGCCCGCACCGCCAGGGGCTGACCCCAGCAACCTCGTCCCGCAGCAGTTGCAGGTCGCCCGGAGACCATTCCATACTTCATCGGCCCGGAGACCATTCCATCGGTATCTCCTGCCCCGTGCTTCGCTTTGCGACTTTCCAGATGTACAAAGGTTACCCGAGGTCCTGGTGCAAGTACCACCTCTGCCAGCAAAAACAGCATTGCGTGACGGAGCCGGGGATTGCAGACGACCCGGATAATATTCGACAGTTCCCGGTAGGGTTTCTTACAGATCAGGTCCGTCACGCGAAGACCGCAGCACCCAGAGTCAGCTTTTGTTGAAAACATCCTTCAACGCAAACAGGCGTTAATGCGCCGCAACAGCAGCTCCACGTGGATGCTAAAGTAACACTGACTTCGATATAGGTACTTAATTTCCATCACCTTTTGAATGATGAAAGCACGCGGACCGAGCTCATCAATGAAGGGCACAAGCAAGATATCTTACCGACGTTTCAAAAACGGCTAAAACCAGCACGCAAAGAAAGAAAGCAAATTTACGCGAAGAAAGAATGCAAGCAAAGTTGATCTCAGATCAGTTGATCTGCTACAGAGTTGGATTTTGATTGCTGCACGGCACTTCCGCGTGTACTTTTCTTCTGCAAGAGTAAGTTTGATTCAATTTGCAACTATATCGAAATAGTCAAAATACCTGAAGCTCCTCCCGTTGCTGCGGTTGCTAAGGCTGCTGCAGTGTCCTCGTCTGACTTGGTCTCGTTCTCGTCTGTTTCTGACGCTGATAGTATGCTGGCAAAATATAATCCAGTCTTCAACGAAGTCCACTGCTTTTATCCGAAAGACATCTTTGCTCCACAGATTTTCGCCCTATTGCAAATCACTATTGCAAATCACAATTGCAAATCACAATGCAGAGGAAAAGTGTAGAACCTGTACGGTGATGCTGAATATGCACTACATGCCAATTCGACAACTTGAAGACGGACATTGCGTCACATACATGGTTGCAATGTTGGCGTCTGTGTGCCTGATGCGCTGGAGCCTCCCGTTAGAGCTCCTTCCGCAACCGGATTCTTATTCTCGGCGGCCAACTCTCCTAAAGTCGCATCGGCCTTGGTTGCTCCCAACAACCTCGTCCCGCAGCAGTTGCAGGTCGCGCACTGGCTTGTGTACCTTTGTTTGAAGTCCGGGTTATTTCGGATGGAGTTCGCCACGTATTGGTTGAAATCGCCGGCGTTGTCGAGCTTGATTCCGCCCATGTTCTGCGCAAACTTCGGGTCCTTTTCCATCATTTGCTTCACGCACTGCAACGAGCTGTCGGCGTTGCATTGGCCCGGGGTGGCGCAGTGCAGGCCCGAGTCGTCCCGCTCCCAAATGGGATTGCCCTGTGCGTCCTCCCCGCGCTGGTTCACCTTGATCGCGTGGCCGTCCGGGTAGCCCGTGTTGGCGTCGCCGTCCATGACAAGCTCCGAGCCATACTCGGGGACGCCCGGCAGGTACCTTCTCCTCGCCGCGGGGATCACGTTCCCGGCTTCATCGCGCATCAAGTTTCCGCTCGCGTCGTACTGCGGCTTGGGGTCTGACCCGTACGGGTATCAACTGCAAATATGTCTGGGTCTGGAAGGGTGCAAACTTGTCACGCAGGTTTTCCATGACCCATGAGGTTTGGAATGCGGGACCTATCATGACAGACTCTATGAGGTCTCTGTGATGCCTATCCTGCATGAGAAATCCCCTCCCAACTTGGTCGAAAGTGGACGGCTTTTGGCACTCATGCAACACAGATTTTTGCATGATTCCCATTTAGCATGACAAGTTGCAACTTTCCAGACCCAGACATATTTGCATTTGATAACGGGGGGTCGTACGCGAAATCTCGGTACGGAATCCCTTTGGTCTTGCACACCGCGGTCGCCACCGCGCCGTCGCGCTGCGGACCGCCGGTGGCCTTGCCCTGCGCGTACTTCTGGGCGTAGTTGTTGGCGTCATTATCCGGGAGAAACGCCCAGCCGCCCTTGTCGCTCTGCTGGACCACCTCGCCGGACATGTGCGCCTCCGCAGCGCCCAGTTTGGCGGTGCTGCCGTTTGGCATTTTGACATCCGTGTTCTTATCCAGGTCTTCCGGGTGCGTGTTGCGGACCTTCTCTTCGTTCTTCTGCTCTTCCTTTTCCGCCTCCTGCACGGCGTCCTTGTACGTCGACACAGTGTCGGAATCCGTCCGCTTCAGCGGCGGGGCGTCGTCGTCGGAAGTCGAACCGCTATTCGCAGCTCCCGCAGCGGCGGCTGCCGCTGCCGGCGCTTGTCCACTAGATGCAGCTCCTGTTGCCGGCTGTCCTACGGGTTGTTGAGCAGGAGCCGCTCCGCCTCCCGCCTGCTGCTGCAGGTCGTGGGCGCCACCTGCGGCTTGGCCGATCTGGTCCTGGCCGGAAACGTTGCTCGTGTCCATACCATCCAGCTGCATGTTGATCTGCGGCTCACTGGTGTTCGCCTGGCCGGCCTGGTCTCCACCAGAGCTACTACTGCTACTGTCACCACCATTCGTATTAAGGCCCAACTGCTTTCCGACGCTGTCCAACTTCCTCGCCATGGCGACCGACGCCTGGCCGGCGGCCGACATATGGGCGATTTGCGGGCCGCTCATCCCGGTTGTCTGCAAAGCGCCACCTCCCCCGCCGCCCGCAGCGGCCTGGTCGATTTCGGCTTTTTGCATCGCCTCCATGTTTTTGTAGACCTGCTGCAAGTGGTTCTTCAGATTCTCCGTCGCGGACCGGTACCAGGCGTCCAGCGCTTTCTCGATGGTGGCTCGGGCCAAATGCTTGGTAATCGACTGCACCGCCGCGGACACGAACTCTTTCTCCATCATTTCTTTCAAAAAGTTCATAATTTCGTTGTCCAGCAGCTCCAACAACTCGTCCATTTTCGTGTCAATGACCTGCTTCCCGAGCCGCCCGTTCGGCTGTTCCAAAACGTTCAGAGGCTTCCCGTGGTACAGTTCCGACGCCCCGTGCTGGGTGATGATCTTTTCCAGCGCGAGCAAGCCGAGCAGTTTCTCCGAAAACGCCTTGCCGACCTTGCCCATCTTGTCCCACTCGTGCATCATCGACAAAATTCGCAGCGGCGCCAGCTGCGCCCAACGCTCCATGTTTTGGCTGTTGAACACCGACTGCCGGTTGGTGCCGAGGTTGGATCCAAACATGTTCACGTCCGCCTTCTGCTGGGCGTTGGCGCCCGCCTGCATGGTCTGCTGGACCTGCATCTCCCGGATTTTCTTCGCGAAGTTGATGAAATCCGACATGGAGTCGTCCTCGTCGTAGCATTTGCGGATTTCCCCGATCTTCTCGCGGATCACCTCCTCGGATCGCATGTTGTCGGAGTAGTACTGGTATTGTGAGGAAAAATCCCCCCTCCCCATATCGAAAACGATATTTGTGTTCCTGTATTTGTGTACACTGTATTGCTAGAAGGCCAAGAGACGCAGTAGTTTCCCCCTGGTTTGCAGGCAATTTGTCATGCTGTTTCCCGTTTCCAGTTGCTTCCTGGCATGCTGAAGACGCAAGGCTTTCCTAGTACGCCAGCCAGCACTACAATCCGCATCTCTTCCCTTCTAGCATGACAACGTGATTTGTGATCACAAATCATGCTACACAAATCTCCCTTTGAGTATGGGGAGGGGGGATTCTTTATTTTGATAACTGGAAGATCCGCATCATGGAATTCCGCAAACGCAGTTTGTTCTTTTGGTAGTCCCGGGACTTCAGGATCTTCTCGTGCAGCTTGGTCAGAATCTTTTTCATGATCGTCGACTCCATCAAGGTCTTGGTCAATTTCTCCTGGACGTTCTGCTTCACGCCCTGCGCCACGCCCATCAACAACTTTGACGTGAACCGCTGCACCTGCGCCCCCACCTTCGCCGCAACCATTCCCGCCGGGCCACCGGCCGCACCCGCGGCTGCGCCCCCACCCGCTGCTGCACCACCGGCGCCCGCCGCGCCGGCGCCGCCGCCACCAGCGATGCCTGCGAAGCCGTTCATCCCCGGCAGTCCCTCCAGGGGCTTGTCGGCGTTAAACGCGCCCCACCCGCCGCCATTGTCGCTGTCCTGCACCCTACCAGTCAAGCCCAGCTGGAACACGGTTTGGCAAACAGACGGCAGCTTCGTGTTCTTGAACCATCGCTTGATGTGGGGACAATCCCCCTTCATGAAGGCGTCAATCGCGAACGCGATGTCATTCACTCCCTCTTCCCGCAAAATCTCCGATATCGGCGCCAAATACGGGATGAAACTGATCGCCAACTGCACCACACCGAAGATCGCGATCAGCATTGCGTGCAAGATGTACCGGGGGGATTTGAGGTGGAATATGCGCTTCAGCCCCATCTCCTTTTCCAAGAATTTGATCAAAGTCTTCTTGTGCTCCTTCCCCTCGTCATCCTGGTCCAAACCCGCCTCTTTCGCCTTTTCCTCCATCGCGTTGCGGACGGATTTTGTGTCGTCAATCTTCAAATACGGCTCCAGCTTCAGCTGCCCGATGTCCCCTTTCACCTTCTGCAGCACGTGCCCGTATCCCGTGCAAAAACGTCCCCACCCCAGAGTCAAGATCATCGGGATTCTGCAACACAAACCTTGAAGTTTTGGGGGTCACGCATGACAAGTTGCATGCTGTACTGTAGTGCAGCTTAGCAAGCGAAGCCGCATAACAAATCCATCTACTCATCCTGTTTGCAGCATTACAAGTTCCGAAACACGATATGAAATGCCTCTCATGGGGATGCGCATTACAAATGCTCCTGTGCTTGCAAATCTGCATGACAACTCTGGGGTGGGGATGTTTTTCCATAGGATAGCTCGATCATTTTGTCCAAGTCCATGTCAGTTTGATCGCTGGCCCACACGTCTTTTACCACCGGGAGCAGCGTATCCTGAGTAAATACGTCCCCACTTCATAGTCAAGATAGGAAACCTCTCCCATTTTAGGGAGTTGCGCATGACAAGTTTGCCTCTGCAGTTTAGCGCTGGTTAGCAAGGCAAGCCGCATGAGAAAGCCATTTTCTCATCCTGTTTACAGCATTACAAATTCCAAAACACGATTGGAAATGCCTCTCAACATGGAGCTTCGGATCGCAAATGTTCCTGTCATTGCGCATTTGCATGACAACTATGGGGTGGGGACGTTTTTACATAGGATACAGCGTTTTCAAGATGTACTTTACCCACTTCGGGAACTTCCGCTTCAAGCTTGGATCCATATCCCACAGAAAAAAGCAGGCAGGTCATATTTGTAATGCAAAAATAAATACACAGGAAAATCTGTCATGGGCGAGGCCATAGCATGCTGTTTAGGGCATGCAATACGAGTTTTTTTGTCTATTTATTTTTGCATTACAAATATGACCTGCCGGTCTTTTCTAGGGGATAATCCACTGTCGTGATCGCGTCCTCCACTTTGTCCCGCATCGCTTCAATGCGGTCCTCCGCGTCCTCCCAGAACGAACTGTAGTGGTAGTCCATGGTGAATTTCGCTCGCAGTGGGAGCAACGCCCCCACCTCATGCAGCCGGCCGTACATGTCCTGGGCCTGGGCGTGTCTCAGACTGTTCAGCGAGCGTTCTATCACCGTTTCTGCGTTCCTCGGGCCGGAAAACCGGTCGTTCTCCACAATGTTCATGTCGGGGGAGTCCAGCGCTTGCAGTCTCTCCAGCAATATCATGAGGAAAAACGTCTCCACCCCATAGCCAAGATGAGAAATCTGCTAGACAAATCTACAAGTTTTGGCTGTTCCGCATGACAAGCTTGGCCTCGTAGTGTAATCCTGTTTAGCTAGTTCAGCAGCATCACAGATCTAATATATAATGCTGACTGGAGCATCAGAAATTACGAAACACGACTAGAAAGTGCATCTCTTGGGGCTTCGCATGAGAAACATTTTCAGCATGCAGATTTGCATTACAACTATGGGGTGGGGACGTTTTTAGATAGGATAAGTAACGCGTCATCCTTTTCCGACATGGAGGTGGTCCTTTGCTGCGGCTGTTTCTTATCATTATTTTAAAGGTGCAAAAAACTCAGCTCCCGAAACAGCTCCCAAATTTCTTAATTGAACGCTTCCGGGACCGTCCGAGGGCAGCTTTGCACTTCCGAAAGCGCAAAACCTTTCGACCACACTACGCGCGCCTCTTGAAGCAGTCTCATTGGTCTTGTCATGGCTCACGATGATCAGACCCCGCGGCGCCTACTGTTTTAAAATATCCAGAAAGGCGGCCGAGATGCTTACTCGTGCGACCAGGCGAAGTATCTGCGTAGTTCTTGGCCATTTGCGCGCGGCGGCGTCCCATCTGTGCTCTTTTGGGTCATTTGTGCAGAATAACGCGCCATCTGTGCACGATGACGCTTTATCTGGCCGAGAGTGGCCATCGGAGACCGTTTTGCGCGACCAAGTCCGAATGCTATAAAAAACACTATGCCGAATGCTATAAAAAACATTATGACGAATGCCATAAAAAAGTGCACCCGAACATGATAAAAAACAACACGCCGAAAAGACAGCGTTAGGTGCGGGTAAGCAACTCAGGAGCAGCCCTACCTTTTGACCCCGCAAAACAAAGCTTTTTGTGATGTGCCGGAAGCCGCATCTTTTGCCACTTTTTCTGTGAAAAAGTTGCGAAGGTTCCGCATTCCAGACGTCCATTCTTCCAGTTTTCGGCTTGCACGTCACAGATTCCATTCCCCATGGAATTTGTGACGCTTGGGCAATTTGGAGTACATGACGAGGAGAGTTCGCAAATGCGAAGGCTCCGCACGACGAAACTCCATCCCTCAGCTTTTGGCTTGCGCATTACAAATTTCATTCTTCATGGAATTTGTAATGCGTGAGGAACATGGAATCGCGAGGCGTGGAGTTTTTATCTGCGCTACCCAGGCGCCTACTTCGTTTCAAAGGAAGCGGACGCCTTGCTTGCTGAGCCCCAGAGGCTGCAAGCTTTTGAAGCAAAAAAAAAAAGCCCCTTCAAGAAGACCGAAGAAATACCCTTTTTGGAAACAGCAAAAAGCACATGAAAAAAAACCACACTTTTTACAACAAAAAAGTGACTTTTTTGACTCGTTTTGACTGGGTCACCAACATGGGTCAGAAAACGGGTCCGAAAACCCTATAAAGAAATCACAGCGTTAGGTGGGGATAAGCGAGAGCGACTCTGTCTTTTCGGTATAGGTGTTTTTGAGAGTCTTCTTTGTCGCAGTCGGACTGCGACAAAGAACACTATAGAAAACACCATGCCGAACACTATAAAAAACACCATGCCGAACACTATAAAAAACACTATGCCGAATGCTATCAAAAAGTGCACCCGAACACGATAAAAAACACTACGCCGAAAAGACAGCGTTAGGTGCGGATAAGCACTTCAAGAAGCGCCACTTTTTGCACCTCGAAATTGCCAAAAAGAACAACTTGAGACGAAGGCGCAAGTTGTCCGCAAAGGTAGTGCTGCCGCGTCTCCGCGGAGACGACGGCGCACGACGTTGGCGCCCACTTTTTTGTTCCTCTCAAATACGAGAGCTGGAACTTCCTCGACTTTCAAGTCGGTAAAGTTCCAGCTCCCGTTCCGATGGCTTTCATTTCTTGAGCGCTCCAGTTCGTGTTGTCCTGGAGCGTCCTCTCTTTGAAAATTCAAGCCCGAGTCCTGCAATTGAGCGCTGCAGTTACTCTGAGCTGGAAAGTTCATGAAGGGAAGGCTACAGCAGCGGGAACTGGAACTTTGCCGACTTGAGAGTCGGGAAAGTTCCATTTCCCGCTCCCGAAAGGAAGAAAAGCCCGCTCCTTTTTTTTGATCGCAGAAACGCGGCTTTTTGAACGCAAAAAAGTGGTGATCTTTGGAAGTGCTTATCCGCACCTAACGCTGTCTTTTCTTTATGTTGTTTTTTATAGTGTTCTTTATAGTGTTCTTTGACTCGTTTTGTGTGGTGTTCTTTGTGTAGTTTTTTGACGTGTTCGGGAACCCATTCACCAACTCATGCTGTGTGCAGTTCGTCATGTCATGACGAACTGCGCGCAGAATCCTGGCAACGGCACCAAGAACATAAGCAGAACATCGCAAACGACGCGAAATAGACGCTTTGCAGCGCGAAAAGTCGCTTTCGCACGATTTGCGACCTTCCGCGCGCGAAATCGGGCTCGAAGTGAGCTAGCGGCGCCACTATATGTTGGCGCCGGCTCTGAAAGTCCCTGCCACTAAAATAAAAACCCACAGGCCGAATTTTCAAAGCTGTTCTCAGAGCTGAATTTTTTACACCCTTAATTATTGCTCCCCGTGCCGCCGATGACCAAATGGCGGTGCAAATCCTGGGCGTCGATCCCGTGGCTCAGCGTCGCGTAGAAATGCGTGCAGGTCTGCCGCCGCAACTCGTGCAGCGCGGTGTGGATAAAAGCTTTCTTGTGCTGCGGCAAATGCTCGTAGCCGGCGACGTTGGAGTTCTCGTAGCGGAGTTTGAACAGCTTCAGCATGAACCGCTGCGAGGAGTAACTTTTGGCGGCGAGTGGCAGGCGCGAACCGGGTGGCAGTTCTAGCGGTTGAATCAAATCTTGGCAGAACTTGTGCTCGGCGGAATCGGCATCACTGCTCGTGTCCATCTCATCTATGCTCTTCGTCAAAGCGGACGCAAGGGTGAACTCCTGCAACAGCGCAGCGGGAATTTGCGGTTCGTTTTGCTGCTGCTGTTGGCCACTACCTGCAGCTTGTTTCTTGTCAAAGGCAAACGCCATCGCCGGGTCGACGTCGACAATTGGGACGATTTCCTGACGCAGCAATCGCACCGTCTTCTGTTGTACCTCGGGTGTTCCATTACTGTCGTCGTACCAGCTCACATCGTATAAAGTCGGCAAATCGAGTTTCTCCTTTTCAAACATCTCTTGGAGAAAGCTCTCGGCGCGGGGGGAGTTCAAACTAGTCTTCAAGTTCTTCAACAACCCAGCCGGCATTGCGTCTTTCAACGCGCCGCCTTTTGTGAGAAATCAAATGCAAAAGTGTCTGGGTCTGGAAGAATGCAGACTTGTCATGCATATTTTCCATGCCTTATGAGGTCTGAAATGCAGGACCTAGCATGACAGATTCTGCGAAGTCTCTATCATGCCGATCTTGCATGAGAAACTCCCCTCCATGTTAGAAGTCAAAAAAGGAGAACTTTTGGCGATCACGCAAGACAGATTTATTTTGTGTGACCCACGGGACGCATCACAAGTTCCATCCTCCCAGACCCAGACATGTTTACATTTGATATGAACGAAGATTTCACGATTTTCTCCACCACTCCGACTTTCCCGTCCTGCGCCCGCAAAACCAAAGAATTCGGTTTGATCAATGCGTCTCGGCTGATCAGCAGCTTCTGGTCGTCCAGTTTCACTTCCGACGATTTTTGCTTGCGCGCCTTCACGATGACGGGGACCCGACGGTCAGCACCACTGTTCCTCGAGTCCATCTCCTGCAGAGCCACGCCATCGACGTAGGCCTCCTCCAGCCGGTACTTGGCCCGCAGCTGGTCCAGGGTTTTCGCAAACTCACCGTGGTAGTCCTTCCCCGTGGTTGTTTCGGTCGATACGGAGACGTCGTACTTCCAGAATTCGTTTAGCTCCCGGACCGTCACGCCCGCGCCGTCCCGCGTCGCGATCAAATCGGAGTCCAGGACGATCGTGCAGGGGTTCTCCTCGGAGCACGTTTTAGATAACAGCTGCAGTTCCTGCTGATCTTTGCTGTTGCTGCTTCCCTTCATCTTCAGGAAAGAGCCTGCCGGCGCGTTTAGGAACCGTTCGTTCAACTTCTCGAGATTTTTATTGTGCGTCAGCTGCATGAACTTGGCCTCCGTCTGGGTCATCCGCATGCGGTCGAAGTGGTCCCCGTAGGCCTGCAGCATGGACAAGACCCATTTCTCCTGCAAATCCTTGTTTTCGTCCTTCTTCCCGGCGTACAGCATGGACTGCGCGCGGAACTGCTGGTTGCTGGTTTCGTCCAGGGACTTGTACCAGATTTCGTCCGAAAACACGATCGTGGACAAAAACGCCGCCTTCCCGACCCGCCGCTTGAAGTTGGACAACAGAGTTTCTTTTTTGTCCTCTTTGTTCCTGTCCAAAATCATACCCATGTCCGTCGCTGCCGTCACCGCGGAGTCGTCGATCATAGAGAGGTGGGTGGATTGCAGCGCTCGCTCGATCCGAGTTGACAAATCTCTCTTCTTCTTGTTCCGATAGGCGCCGTTGTGCTTGTCGAATTTACCGGTTATTTTGTCCATCGCGCGTTGGAAAAAATCCTTTTCCAAAAACCGCGACAAGATGAACACCTGCCCAATCTGCACGGAAGTGAACGCGGTCAAAAGAGCCTTGAAAAATTGCTGCTGCAGCAAGCGGATGCGGTAGCTCTTCCAGGCGGATTGCACGGCGAAGAACCCGCGGCCGTTTAGCTCCGCTTTGTCCAACATTTGCTGCACTTTCAACTCCGTTGTTTGCTTGTTTGCCTCTTTCAACTCTTCGTCCTTTTCTTCCGGGTCGAACAAATCGTCCTCGAAATCCTGGGCAAAAACGTCCCCACACCGGAGCCAAGATGGGAAAGCTGCTAGACAAATCTACAAGTTTTGGCTGTTTTGCACGACAAATTTGGACTCGTAGTGTAGTGCTTTTTGAGGTACTTAAGCAGCATCACAGATCTGGCACATCATGCTGATTCTAGCATCACAAATTCCAAAACACGACCATGGAGCTCCGCATGAGAAACTTTTTTGGCATGCGGATTTGCCTGACAACTCCGTGGTGGGGACGTTTTTACTCAGAATACTCGAAATCGGTCAACAGCCGCGGGACGTCGGCCGCCGTGCTTGCGCGGTACAAATTCGAGACCCTCGACGGGAAAAATTCTCCGGCTTCCGGTCGGAATAACTCCTCCAATTCGATTCGCACGACAACTTCCGGATTTTCCTTTTTGTTGTAGAAAAGTCTTTCCAATTTCGCGAGGATCCTCGCCGGTTCCACGGTCTGGAGGAACTCCTTGATGACGCTCTGCTCGTCCTCCTTGTTCGGCCGGTACTGACAAGCGGCAGTGTCCTCTGCGTCGTCGAAGTTGTCGTCGTCGAGGGAGCTGTTCATTTTGTCACTCAAATCTTTGCAGCCGCAGAACTCCCCCGGTTGGTCGTCATTCGTGCCATCAGCAGTACTAGAACTGCTAGTGCCTCCCGTCTGCAGGGCGCCGGAAGTAAAACTTCCGTCGAAGCTCGTTTGGTCAAAGTTGTTGTTGGTCAAACCACCAGCCGCTCCTCCACTCACGTTCGCTAGAGCGTTGGAGCCGAAAACGCCCTTCGCAGAAACCTTCTGCTCCACGAAAAAAGCGGTTTGCGCTTCGGCTTTCAGAACGCTGTTCGCAGCGGAGTCTTGGCCGAATTGCTTCAGCGCGTCCTGCACCCCGGGCGTGTTCCGCGCCATCTCTTCCAAATGCGCCCGGTCCTGCAGTTTGTTCTTGTTGCAGCTGCAGCTGTTTTCCAGGCGTGCGGCGAACCGTTCTAGTTGCTGGCTCACGCGCGAACGAATGTCCGAGGTGCGCAGCTTGTCAATGTCGTGCACCGTCATGGCCACCCGCTCCGTGAACGTGGCGCGCAGCTCCCGCAGGATCAGTAGTCGGGTTTCGAATGTTTCTGGGGTGTGCTCCCCACCATTCCAATTCGCGCTTTGGTGCTTGAGTCCGAGCTTAATGCTATCACGCGCATCTGCGGGCGAACCGAAGAGCTTCTTCCAGGTACCTGCTGGAACATCTTGGTTGCAGTCCTTGGTGAGAAAATTGGCAAGCTCTCCAAACTTCGAAATAAGCCTGTCGAAGGGGAACTGGATGCGATTCTGCGTCTTCACCCACTGCAGCCGGCTGCGGGCAGTCAGCGAGTTGGCATCTGCGTTGGTGGGCGGGGGAACAGAATTGCGGTCGCTGTTGGATTTCGAAGTTTTTTGCTCTTCCTTCTTCGCCGCCAGCTCGGTTGGCGTCAGGCCGAACTGACCAGCGGTGTTGTCCTTGTTTGCCTCGTTTTGGAGATTGGCATCCGCGTCGATCTCCAGCGAGGTGGTGATTAGTTTGCTGTGAATTATGTCGTGTTTGCCGGATAATATGATATCGATATGCAGCTCTTATTTCGCAAACGTTTCATCTCAAAAATCTTTGGTTTTGATGTCGCTCCTGCGGGCATAAACACACACTTTCTCATGCAAAGTGAAAGAAAAGAAAAAGATGAATGTAAGTACTTTTCGTTTTCTCCGCCCGCACCCTTGCAGACTTCCTTGCTAAAGACCGCCACCGCACTCATTTCCGTCGCTTTGGACAAGCGAAACGGGTTTGCGGCGAAACAAATATCGAGGAAGCATTCCTCCAGTCCGTACTCGCTATGCATTGCAAATTAGCCTGGGTGGTCTGGCAAATGCAAGATTTGTCACCTTTGTCTGGCATGACTCCTAAGAAGTATTTCAAACAAATCACCCAGATAAAGCCCCATCTTTGTGCCGGAGTAGAAATGCGGTTCGCAGTGGTGAATTGGCAAGAACATCTAGCAACTCAAAAACTTCTTGTCATGCTTAGCCGGCAAATAATATGGCGTCGACGTGATTATCCCTCCGGATGAGTCACAAGTTTCCAGACCCAGATCAAAAATATTTGCAATTTGATACTCGCTGCCCTTCTGCCACTTGATCTCCCGCACTAGGTACTGTCCCAGTCTGCGGTTCAGCTTCTGGATGTCCTGCAGGTCGACCATGACTTCTTTCTTCTGCTCTAGATACGCGAACACCCGGCGAACGATCTTCTCCCACTGCCCCACGGTGAACAGACTGTGCAGCTGCTCTTTGTTCACACCTATCGTCACGTCCTCGTTGCGGTTCTGACCTGCGTTGTGGGTAAGCAACTTCATCATCAGCCGTTGCTCGTGGTTCGGAATGACGATGTCGCTGGGCAGTTTCTGGTCCACGTTCGCACCAGTTCGGTAGGATTCCGACCTTGTAAGCCGGTTCTGGAGTTTTTTCTGAAAACCCTCCCGCGTCCCCGCGTGGCCCCGGTGCTCAATCAAGAAGGATTTGGTCACGTTGGCGAACATCCTCAAAATGCGCTCCGACAGCGCGGCGGCAAAGTGAGAGAGCGATGCGGACTGTTGTTGCTCGGCGCCGGATATCAAATGCAAAAATGTCTGGGTCTGGAAGAATGCAGACTTGTCATGCATATTTTGTATGATGATTGATGCCTCTAATGCATGATCTAGCAACGCAGATTTTTAGCGGGCTTCCTAATGCTTATTCCGCATGAGAAATGCCCTCTCCGCGTAACACAAAATAGAGTCCTGTTGCTGGTCATTCAATACAGATTTTTTTGGAATCCAAAGATAGCACTACAATCCAGATCCAGACATTTTTGCAATCCATACCGGACGAACCCCCGGCGCCGTTTCCGTCCAAGTCCTCGCGCTGCCGCCGTTCGTTCTCCGCCTTGCGCTCCGCGAGTGCCTTTGACAGATTGGAACAGGTCTCGGTCAGCAAGTTCGCGGCGGTTCTCTGCTGGCCCAAAATTTGCTGTTTCGCCACCACCTGGCGCAACTCGTTCCTCTTTTCGCCCAGTTCAATCGTTTTCGGCCCGATTTCTGCGTGGTTGGCGAACTGGCCGGAGATCTGGGGACGTCCGCCGTCGACGTCCATTGCGGCACCTTCCTCGTCGACGTCCATTGCGGTACTGCTGGCTCTTCTCGCTGTTGTCGCCCGCCGATTCCCTTGCCGCTTGACCTCCGACATGCGGGCTTCCACAGTTTCTATCAAAGTGGCAATCTGCCATTTCCGGTTTTTGAAGTCGCGGACCTCCTCTTCGACCGTGTTTTTCTGCTCATCAAAGCCGCTCTTTTCCCTATCTATCTTCTCCCGGACTTGCGGGATCAGCTGCGCAATAAGTTGCCGAAGACTGTCCAGTCTCTCCCGCGCGACCTGCCGGCCATTTTCGTATGCTGCATCGATCAGGTTGTAGTCCTGCAAAGCAGCCTGCACCTCTTGTGTGGTGAAACCGGTTTGGGCTCCGCGAATGTCTTCGGTCAAATAATTTGCGATGACTTCCGCAGCACTTTCCAATTTTAGCAATCCTGGCAGTACCTTCGTGAGCTTTTCCATCCTTTTCACTTGATCTTCCTCTTTTGCGAGGGCCTCGGCACTCAGTTGCGGCGTCACGACCCCGTCGAGAAAAGTTTTGTATGCCAGGACCTTGCTTGCAATAGTCCCGAACTCCGTCTTCCTCGAATTGACCTTCTGCTCCAGCACACTTTTCAGCTCCGCAGCTCTGCCTTCCCGAGTTTTCTGCTCATTCTGCGCGTTGGGCTTCTTGTAGAGGAGCATGTAGACGGTGCTGTCCCTCTGCGTGCTTTGGTCTTTCAAATACTGGTCAAAACCGCTGTTGTATCGCAAGAAAAAAGTGTTACAGTTACACATTGTCACGCAAGACTGGCAAAAGAGACAACCTTTCCCATGCAGGAAATGCTTCGGAGCCTCGTTTCCTTCCTGTTTTTCCTTATGATCTTCGTATTACAAGTCTTCTCTGCCACACAGAGAAAATTTGTGACGCAGAAACTCCAGCAAGTGTGTAACTGTAACACTTTTTTCTCGTGATATGTTGGGGACGGCCCTCACGCTCTTGTCGTCGTCGAAGTGTCGCCACTGCGGATCTCTCTGAGTGCCGACGTTCACCACGGCTGTGTAATGGCCGGAATTCGCGGTGTGGCCGTGGTGCAAAATCACCGCATGGAGTTCGTACGCCTGCGACACAGGGTCCATGCCCCGTCCCTGAGTTTGCCTTGCCCACTCAGTGTATTTGTGTGTGTCCTCTTGGCTTTCCGGATTGCGCAAGCGCGCACGTTCAAACTCCGTGTGGACGCCACTTGGACCATTCCGTCTCGCTTCCCCGTCGATGTAGAAAAGCCTAGGAACATCTAGATAATGCTTCTTTTTCCTGATGCTTCCGTCCATCTCGTATGCAAAGCGTTTCACTTCGAGCCGCAAAATTTCCGGCAGTCTCCGGAGGTGGGCTTTGCGATGGAGGCCATACATGATCTTCCGAATCGTTCGCGTTCGTCCGTGGCTATCTGTGATTGTCCGAACTTCCGCCGGTACCTGCTTCGTCCGCATTTCCATACCCTCCAACCAGGCCGGCCGAGGGTCGTGGGGTTCCATTGCACTATCGGGGCAAAATTGAGAATCAAGCAGCAACTATATTGATTGGGTCAACACGACTTGTTCTTGCGCAGTCAATGGCCATGCAGTCGGGGGCAGGAGCGGGAGCCCCCGCTGGAAGAGCAGTTGAGAGCACATTTACGACGTATGTCTGAGCTCTGTATGCAAACTTTGTCGCCTGCTTGATTCCAATGTTTGCTTCAATTTGATAGTCGTGGGAGTATATGCTGCTATCTCCCTTATCAGGGTCGAAGTGGGCGTTTCGCAGAGCTCCGAGAATGTCAGTGTGTTTTTGCTCGTTGTACTCAAACATCAATTGGGAGTGAGGCCACCACGCATTGCCGGCGTCGTCTTTCTTTTCCTTGCTCTGGCCCGGAATCGGGTTCTCTTGCTGGTCAATCGCGAAGAATTCCTCCTTGATTTCGACTTTGAAGAGGTTTTGGAAATGCTCAGGTAGCACATAATCGACCAGTTTGTTCATCCCCTCCGTCGGGTCCTGTTGGTTCCAATCATGCCTGCCCCTAAGTTCGTGCCAATTCGCCTTCCGCATGACATAATATAGAAGCGCTTCTACTCCTTGCTGTCGGTTGTAAATTGACAAATTGTTGTTGCTCTGTCCTCGACCGCCCGACCCAGCGACGGCACGGAAAAAGGGGCACCATTGTCTGAGTTTCTCGTTATCTTCCGGGGTACGTTGCTGAAAATTACTACCGGAACTCGCGCTCAGTCCTCGCAGCTCCTGCTCTCGCTGCGCGCACTCCGCCTCGGCCATCTCGTACACAGAGGGAATGTAGAGCAAACTCTGCGACAGACTGATCATCCAGCACAGGTTCGAGGGATTGTGAATACCGACCGCGGGCTGCGAGGAGCTGGAGCGACTAGATGATCCCGAGGAAGTATCCCACGAAGAAACTGTTTCACTGTGATGATCTTGCACGAACCGCATCACAAGTTTGCTACACATGACACAGAAAATTTGCCATGCGCGTTCCCCAAGGAAAACCACGCTTGCAAATCCAATGTCTTGCAGGTGTAGCAAGACAAATAGTTCTGTGCTCCATTTTCTGCATCACAAGTTCGCAGTGAAGCAGTTTTTTCTTGCGATAGGAAGTGCTGTCGCCGCTGCTTTGTCGAAACAGACGCGGTTGCTTCCACAGCTGCTCTATCAAATGAAAAAATGTCTGGGTCTGAAAGAATGCAACTTGTGATGCTGCATTTGGATTCCAGAAAAATCTGTATTGCATGAGTACCAAAAGGAATGTAATTTTTGCTACGCGGAGACGGCATCTGTCATGCGGAATAGGCATCAAGAAGCTCTCGAAAAATCTGTGATGCTAGGGCATGCATCACAGACATCAGGGCTCACGCAAAACGTGCATGACAAGTGTCACGATCTTCCAGACCCAGACATTTTTACATTTGATATGCTCTAAAGTCGGCTCTTGTCCAGGGAAGGATCGCACCAGCGCAGCCCAGGGCTCGCTTCCTCTGCTGTCGTTCTCGCTAAAGTGACTTGCCCCGCTAGCTTTTTGAATCTCGCTTAGCTGGCTGTTCTTCTGCGTGAGCGAATCCTGCAACATTCGTGCCCACACGTGCAAATGATTCTCCAGAACCGCCTTTGCTGTTGTCGTCACGGCGTCCACGTGCTCGCGTTGCTGGATACTTGCAGCTGGGTCGTAGCCTTCAGCGGCAAAAGGCTTCAGTTCTTCAGCTCCTGTAAAGTCAGTGTAGGCACTTATTGCCTTCTTCTGCTCTCCCTCTTGTACCCACCGTACAGTCATCTCATGCAGCCATTTGTAGTCTGTCGCTTCAAACGGACTTCCCGGTCCTGCCATCCAGCTTTTTAACAATATCGCCAAGTTCCGTCCCGCGGTGAGTTTTTCTTGACTGGCCTCTGCCTCCTCCCTCGCGTCCTGGATTGCTTGAATTTCGTCTTGCAACCTTCGCATTTCCGCCTGCAGCTTCGTTCGTTCCATCTCGTTCTTTTGGTTTTTAGAACCAAGCTTCCCACTGCGCAAGGCTTCCAGCTCGGAAAGCAACCGGGCCAAGTTCAGCATGGATTCTTCGCGATCGCCCAAGTACTTTTCCAGCGTCTGCAGCTTCTCCGCCGAGTACCCTCTGTTCCGTTGCTTCCTCGACCCGGGGGCCGCTTCGTACGCGCTTCGGATGTCCTTCAGGAACTGCTGCAGCTCACTGGTGAGCTCTTTATCCAGCTGAGTGCTGTAGACTTGCTTCTCCGTGTAGATGTAGTCGAGCAGTTGTCCCACAGCCGTCAAAAGCGAAGCTTCGTTCGGACTCAGGCCGTGGTCGTTTCCATTTCTTGGCCCGCCACCACCGCCGACGTTGGTCTGAACAACCGCGCCCTTCTTCGTTTTCACGCTGAGTCCGATGCTGTGCCGCTTGTCCTTCAACAGCACCGCCAACGCGAGCAACTTCCGGAGAGAGTGCGTGGTTACTTTCTGCAACACGTAGTTGTCCAGTCGCTGCACCGCTGCGTTCGCCGTGTTGCGGACCACGTTGCTCGAGGCAGTGTTGTATGCATTGCAAATATGTCTAGGGTCTGGAAACTTGGAACTTGTGATGCTGCGTTTGGATTCCAAAAAAATTTGTATTGCATGAGCAGCAAGGGGAGCGCATTTTTTGCTACTTACGCGGAGAGGGCATTTGCCATTCGGAATAGGCATTAAGAATCCCTCAAAAAGTCTGTGATGCTAGGGCATACATCACAGACATCACGCATCATGCAAAACGCGCATGACGAGTCTCAGAATCTCTCTTTCAGACCCAGACACTTCTGCATTTGATATGTTGTAGACTTGCGCTAAATTCGTCAACTCGTTTGACAACGTTTTCTCGATCTCTCGACGAATTTGCTGCCCGTGCCCGTCGGAGCAATTTTTCTGTTTATCTTCCAGCAAAACCTGGAGCATGATGTCCAGCAGCAGGTTTTGGGACAAAAACCCATTCCCCCGCAACACCTGCTCCAACCGCGTGTCCAGTTGGATCACCTCCTGGGCGACCAAAGTCCCCGATTTGACGAGCTGCTTCGCCGCGGTTTCTTTCGGGAGGTCGACAAACTCCTCCAGATCTTCGTCGTACAAGACAAGCGGGTTCGGAGCCGAGTGGATCGCCGAGCCGATGTTGATCACCTTTTCTTGCATCGGGTCGGCGGCGGTTTCCTTCCCCAATTTCGACTTTTTGTACAGGTTGTTCAGCAAATGAATGTTGTTCGACTTGATCAAATGGTACTGAATCAGCTGCCGTTCAAACAAAAACGCGATGTTTTCTTCCTTGAACAGCAGCTTGTCCCCCGGCCGAACGAACTTCAGCGCTTTCGCGGCCCCGGGGTGCGCGTACCCCCGCGGGCAGCCCTCCCTCGATTTCGTCCGCGCAAACAACAGAAAATCTCGCACGTACTTCTGCTTCCTGTCCATGCCGATCTGGTTCTCCACCTCGTTGCAACGGACCACCTCGGGCACGGCGATGACTCCGAAATCCGCCAGCAGCGTCATCCACGCCTTGTAAGCGTCGAAGAAAATGCGTAGACCCTTACGGTGGTTCCGCAAGTTCCGTTTCTGGTTCTCGGTCGCGATGAAGTTCCGCACGAAGAACAGACACCGTTCCGAGCCACAGCCGGTATCCAGAAACGGATTCTCGAAGAACAGTTCGATGAACACGTGCGTTCGGTTATCCTGAGCAAAAACGTCCCCATCCCAGAATTGTGATGCAAATCCGCATGCTCGAAATATTTCTCACGCGGAGCCCCATGAGAAGCGTTTTCTAGTCGCGTTTTGGAATTTGTCATGCTAGAACCAACATGATATGCCAGGTCTGTGATGTTGCTGAGCTACCTACTTAAACAGAATTACACTACGAGGAGAAACTTGTCATGCAAAACAACCCAAGCTGGCTGATTTGTCTAGCAGATTTCCCATCTTGACTCTGGTGTGGGGACGTTTTTCCTCAGGATACCGGTGGCGTCTGTTGTAGCCAGAGCTGTCGTCGTGGCCGGCGAACACGGAACAGAGCTGGTGCTTGAAGATCGCATCCTTGTCCGCCGCTTCCAGCACAGCGAGAACTTCTTTGTTTTGGTATTGTGAGGAAAAACATCATCCCCACCCCAGACAGACTTGTCATGCAAATTTGCATGCCAAAAAAGTTTCTCATGCGGAGCCCCATGCGAAGCATTTCCTTGTCGTGTTTTGGAGTTTGTGATGCTCAAAGCAGCATGATCTGCTAGATCTGTGATGCTGCTGGAGCTTGCTAAACAGGATTACACTACGGGGCCAAATTTGTCATGCGAAACGACCAAAGCTGGTTGATTTGTCTAGCAGATTTCCCATCTTGGCTCTGGTGTGGGGATGTTTTTACATAGGATATTTGGTTCTTGTCTACTTTCTTGTAGTACGACAACATGTAGTCAAACGTTTCCATCAATTTCCGCCTTTCCGTCATCACAATCGGGTACAGCACCCGCAGGTCCCGGTCAATCCGGAAGTACTGCAGGTGGTCCTGGCCCCAGGTTTGGTTTTTATGAACTGCAAAAGCATCGTACTCGTATAAATGCATTACAAATTTTCTCAGCATGAAAAATAAAATTTGTAATGCGGATTTACCTTAAGACAAAGATTTGTAATGCTAGACTTGCATTTATACGAGTACGATACTTTTGCACGGGATAGTTTTCTCGCTTCGCCAACTGCCGGACGAAATTCACCGCTTTGCCGTTCGACGTCTATCAAGTTTAAAAATGTCTGGGTCTGGAAGAATGCAACTTGTGATGCTGCATTAAGATTCCAAAAAAATCTGTATTGCATGAGTACCAAAGGGAATGCAATTTTTGCTACGCTGAGAAGGCATTTGTCATGCGGAATAGGCGTCAAGAAGCCTTCAAAAAATTTGTATTGCTAGGGTATGCATCACAGACATCATGGGTCATGCAAAACGTGCATGACAAATCTCGCATTCTTCCAGACCCAGACATTTTTACATTTGATAACATCAGAAACTTCCCAAACTGGAAGTCCTTTTCCATCAACCCCACGGACCCGACAAAGCCCTCGATGTTCTCGATCATCCATTTGATGCCCTCGAGTTTCATCTGCCGTGCCTTCCAGAAGGAGGACTGCTCAAACTTCTGCTTCACGAGATTCAACCGTTTTTCCGCCCGGGTCCTGACCGCCGGGTCGACGTTCGCCTGCTTTATCAAAGTGAAAAATCCCCCCACCCCATACTCAAACTAGAAACTTGTGATGCGGATTTGTGGTCACAAATCAGCTTTGTCATGCTAGAAGGGAAAAGATGCGGACTGAGGTGCTGGCTGGCGTGGGAAAGCCTTGCATCTTCAGCATGACAGGGGGCAGCTGGAAGTGGGAAACAGCATGACAAATTGGTTGCAAACGAGGCCACAGCTGCGTCTCTTGGCCTTTTAGAATTACAAGTCGACTTGTGTACTCAAATACAGCATCACAAATTTCGTTTTCGATATGGGGAGGGGGGATTTTTCCTTTTGATATGCTTCAGCGTCTCCACATCCGCGTTCAAAACCGGGGAATAGATCTCGTGCGCTCTGTATCGCAAGAAAAAACTGTTTCACTGTGAACTTGTGATGCAGAAAATGGAACACAGAAGTGTTTTGTCTTGCTACACCTGCAAGACATTGCATTTTCAAGCGTGTTTTCCATTAGGAAGCACGCATGCCAAGTTTTCTCTGTCATGTGTAACAAACTTGTGATGCAGATCTTGCAAAATTATTACAGTGAAATAGTTTTTTCGTGGGATACTCTGCGGTCGGTCACCTCCCGGACATCCTCCAGCAGCTGCTCCTCCCGCTTCAGCCGCTCGCGGGCACGTATCAACGCCTCCTTCAAATAGTCCTTCATCATCTGCCGCGGCGCTTCCTCGAAGATGCTGGTCCAGAACCCGCGGTTGCGCAATTCCAAGGTCGCCCGCTGATACAGCGCCGCCTCGCAGTGGTGCGGGTACTTCCGAATGATCTCCTCGTAGACCCGATCCTGGATGTCAGTAGTCAACACCTCCAGCGGCGTGTTGTTTGTGCCCTTCTCGTAAGCGTTGGAACCAAGTAAACCGGCCAGCGCCAGCAGCTGACTGGGCCCCTTGATCCAGCCCTCGAAGTTTCCGCTGGCGATCTTGGTGTCGAATTCGTGCCAGATGCGGCGGGAGAGAAGCCCGTATTCCTGGATCAGGGTCTGATACAAATCCTTGAACGCCTCCTCGAATCCGGCCCGGGAATTTGCCCTGCCTTCCTCCCCCTCGCCCTCCTCGCCGGAGCCAGCCAAGCTGTTCAGCACTTCGTCGTTATGAATTGCAAATATCCCTGGATGTCTGGAAAGGTTGGAACTTGTCATGGTAAATCTGAATCATGCAAAACTCTGTATTGCATGACTACCAAAAGCCGCCCACTTTCGACCAAGTTGAGAGGGAGTTTCTCATGCAGGAACAAAGGCATGATCGAGATCTCAAAGAATCTGTTATGCTGGGTCTCGCATTCCAGACCCCATGGGTCATGGAAAACCTGCATCACAAATCTTGCATTCTTCCAGACCCAGACACTTTTACATTTGATAGTCGTTCATGTGCTTCAATTCCATGTCGTTCAGCCAAAAATATGCGAGAAAAAAAGTTCGTCACGATCACTCATGCGCATTTTCGCAATACAAAATTTTCTGTCATGCGTAAAAATGCATCACAGCCAAACTTCCTATAGGGATTTCCCTAGCGTTTCTACAATACAGAGGAAACTTGTGATGCTAAAAAATTTGTATTGCAAAACCCGCAAGTTAGTGACAGTGACAAGCTTTTTTCTCTCCATAAAAAAGCGAACATGTTCAACAAGTTGTGCTTTTGCAGCTCGATGTACTTTTCCATTTTGGCCCCGGACCGGGCGAATAAGCCGTGCGCCAGGTCAAAGCCCTGCACCCGCTCCCTCATATCCCACAGAAAAAGACAGACAGGGCAACGTCGGCATACTTGTAATTATGCAAAAACGAATTTACAGAAAACTTTCACTTTGCCATGTGCGGGCCCATAGTGTGCAGCGTAAGATACGAAGTGCAGTAGATTTTGTTGTGTATTCATTTTTGCATTACAAATACTCTCGCCTTCCCTGTCCTCTTTTTCATCTGTTGGATAACTCAGAGAGGAAACCAACACCCCGTAGTCAGCCATAAACCGTTGGAACAAAGCTTGTTCCATCTCGATTTTTGGAATCGACGTCTGCTGGAACGCGACGAGGGATTGGAAGGATTCGTTATCCCGTCTGTATTCCACCTCCGCCTGGTCGATGGGCGACCGGTAGTAGTTAAACTCCTCGCAGGATAATGCGGCACTACCAGGGTTCGGACCACCACCGCCGCCAGCCTTACACGGACGAGAAACAACCGAAGTGGTGGCTTGCTGCAGCATGGAAAGTTTGTAGTTCTTCTCGTCGCGAAGCCATTTTAGCTTTTCCAGGTCTGTCCGCAAATTGTGCATGGTTTGCTCATCTTTAGTGAGCTCGTTCCCGCTAGAAAACTTGGCTTTGAGGAAGTTGGAGTCGAGATCGAACTGCTTCTTCAACCAATCCACCTTGTCGAAAAACTCGGTGTGCAATTCGCGGACGAGCGCTTGCAGCATCTTCACCGGATTCTTCTCACTTTCCGCATTCTCGCGCTTGAACAGGTTCCAGGGCAATAATTCCTGGTAGTTCTTTTCCAAATTTTCATTTTCGCTGAGGCGGTACTCGCGCCACAGCCCGGTTAGCAGTTCGTCAAACGGGAGGTCTTCGGCTGGTGGAGAGGACAAAGCGTCTTGCTCCTCAGATTCATCAGCAGGTTCTTCGCCCGCCTCAGTTGCAGCCGCAGCCGCAGCCGCAGCTTTAGCCCTTTCCGCGGCCTCGAATTGGTCGAAAATTTGTCGCTTCTTCTGCCTCTCTTCAAAATCCTCGGACAGCTCGAAAGTAGCCGGCAAATTATGCGCTTCTAGCAACCGCTTCAGCTCGCCCTGCGGCCTCCTTCCGCCTCGGCTGAAAGATTTTTCTTCTCCTTTCTCGTAGAAGCCCCGCTCCTTGTCTTTCTTCAGCCTAGCAATTACCGTCAGCAATTTCTTCGCCGCTGCCACATCGTTTTGGAATTTTTCATTCTTTTCCTTCGCATCGGCTGTTTCCAAGTAGTACAACTCCGCGTTGAGCTTTTTCTCCACAGCTCTGCGCAGTTCTTTTTCCTTTTTGGCTTTTTCCTTTTCGGCTTCGTCCATTTTGGCTTCGTCCTTTTCGTTGCCACCAAGGGGGGAGTATGCACTGCCAAAAGTTTATCGTACTACATAGTCACGTAATTCTTGCACGACATTTATTTCTTTTGAATCTACTTCAGTAGCAATGGTGGACTTTGCGATCATGCTGATTTAGCTTTGAGCAGAAATCTGCTAACTCATGCAAGACTTCTGCAATTACTACGAGCACGTTATTATAATTCTTGCTTGCAGTGGATAGCCAAGCTACTTTCACCCGCTCCTCCCAGCGCATCATCTGAAAACTCTCCATGGAGCCACGCTGAAAGCTGGTGGCGTATTCCGGCGCGGCAATGGCGATTCTGGCCTCTTTCGTCAAAAATTGGTTTTCGATCACCTTGCAGAGTTTGTCGTCTTCACTGCCCTCGGCCCGCGTTTTCGCAGAAGACCAGCTATGCACGGAAGACTGCGCGCCGGAGGTCGTGTAACCCTTTTCCGCGTTGACCATTCTCTGCTGCAATTTCTCTCGCAAATCTTTGAACCGCTGCGAAGGCTTTGCAAGGAACTTCCCGCCCTGCTGTCCATTGTGGTCGAAATCGCCAAGAAAAGCGATAACCTGTTTCATCGTCAAGCGCCACTGGAATTCGTGCGGGTTGAAGGATTGCAAATATTTCTCCCACTCTGGCTGTGTTTTGACCAGGACAGCCCTACGTGCTGCTACTTTGCCTACCATGCTTTTGAAGATACTTTTTTCTGCTGTAGCTGGGTTATTTTTCATCTCCTGCTCAGAGTGCTCGAAGTCTTCCAGTACGTCAATGGCGAAAGTCTTCAAATAAAGTTTTGACTCACGGGGTTGTGCCACCTGCCTTGCCCGCAACATTGCCGCAGAATCAGGGCCGCAGCCGTTCTTTTGATCGTACCGTCGGTTCAGCGAATCGATGATATCGGAGTCCGTAAACTGCTTCGGGGAAACGAGGCTTGCAGAATCGCTTTCGTCTTCGGAAGGTGCAAACTGCCGGTCGCTCGGCAGCCCGAGATGTCGCGGAATAAATCTTTTCGGCCAGCTGATGACGTTCAACATCTTTTTCGCCTTGTTTTCTCTCCAGAAAGAGTCGTGCAAATCCTCGAGTTGCTTGTTATTCATAGGTGGAGAGGAAGAACCGTACTCTTTTTTCTTCGCTTCCTCACCGACGTACTTATTAACGAGGCCTGCCAATTCCTCTGCTAATTGCTTGGCTATGCTTTCCTGGTACATCTCCAACTTGCTTCTTATGTCCTTTTCCTTCTCTGCGATTTCCCCGTTTAACTTATCAATTTCCTCGTTCAATTGTTGCTGCTCCTTTCCGGAGGTTTTTGTCACCATGTACGCATATCCCACAGAAAAAAACTGGCAGGTCATATTTGTAATGCAAAAATAACCAGACAGAAAAAATTGTATTGCATATCCGAAGCAGCATGCTATGAGGCCGCCCATGACAGATCTTTCTGTGTATTTATTTTTGCATTACACATATGTCCTGCCAGCTTTTTTCTGTGGGATAACGCAATCTGCTTCTTCGGCTTGCCATCGTTGTTGAACTCCGAGAGGTCGTACCCGACCTGCTGCCGCCTCCAGTCAAACACATACATCTATTGTGAGGAAAAATCCCCCCTCCCCATATCGAAAGCGGAATTTGTGTTGCTGTATTTGAGTACACAAATCACATCTGTCTTGCTGGAGAGGACTGCAGACCCATATCAAGCCTGAGCAGAGAGGCTTTGACTTAGGCGCTTAGCATGAAAAGCGTCGGAGAAGTTTGCTCAACAGCATGAAAAACCGCCTCCATAATGGGACGGAAGCTGCTGCCCTTGTCTTCTTGCAACACAGACGTGATTTGTGACCTCAAATCAGCAACACAAATTTTTGAAAACCTACCTCTTCAATATGGGGAGGGGGGATTTTTCCTTGCGATAACATCCCCGACCCCGGCCTGCCGCACCTGGCCGTCCGGCCAAACGCCTGCTCTTCCACGCGCTTGCCACCCCGATCCGCGGGGAGGAAGCCAACTAGGACAAACAAACCGTAGTTGTTTTCCACCACCGGTGTGATGCCCAGATCCATCCCGCGCCCACCGATGTTCGTGGTAACGAGAATTTCACCGGGTTGCATCTTCTTTTCCTCGAGCGGGTTCCCGGTGTAGACTCGGTCGAACTTGTAGAACTTCGGCTGCAGCGTATCACAGTGAAAAATGCCCCCACCCCCAAAGTTGCAAAAATTTGTGATGCGAAGTTTCCAAATGAAAACTTTTTGTCATGCATGAAAGGAGTATGATGAATCTTTCTGATGCAGAGTCTAGACGTGTATCGCATCGCATGCACGACAAGCGCCGCTCTTGCTGGGGTCTTTTGCAATACAAATTTTTGCTACAATTCACGATCGGAAACCTGTGATGCTGATAGATGCAAGAGGGCGAGTGTTTCATTTGGAAAGGTTTGCAATACAAATGCTCCCAAGTTCGGAGGTGAGGGCATTTTTCATTGGAATACACCGCCTCCCGCAACTGCGGGTGGGCGGAAAGTGCGTCGTAGAGCGTCGACACGTCCTTTATCCAGGAAAAAAACTGCGTCAGTGTAAGTCTTTTGGGAAAACAGCATCACAAGTTTGTCTGCCATGACAGGAAAAACTTGTTATGCGCAGATAGGAAGGGAAAACACACAGGAAGCGAGCCGATCATACACGTTAAGCATGACAAGTGTAAACTGTTTTGCATTTTCTGCATCACAGATTTACACTTACACAGTTTTTTTCTTGCATATCCTTGATGGACTCCACAATGATCAAAGCGGATCTTCTCACATCCCCCAAATCCTCTCCGGTGAAGGTGGTTGCGCGCCTCCTTGGATTCGACAAATTCCGCTTCTCCAGTTCGTTCCACTTTTTGAAGCGGAGTTCGAACTTCTGCCTCTGGTCCCCGGCTTTCACCTCCTTCCCGATCTCCGGACAGGCTTCCAAAACTTCCGGCGACGCGGTCTTCGCTGTCACAATCTGCGACTCATCGTTCATATAGGTGGCACAGGCGACTTCGAGGTACTTTTTGTTTCCCTTAATGTACTGTTCCGCGGTCGCCTTCTCGTCCCCGATCTCCCAATATTTCTTCACGCCATGCTTCGCTCGGTCCCAAAACTTCTGCAGTTTTCCGAATTGCAGCTGTTCCGCCGTCTGCGCGTTCTCGGTGTTCCTCGCTTGTTGGTGGATTTTAGACTGAAACTCCTTCTCGGACAACTTCCCCGTAACTGCTTCCACCAGAAGGTTCGCCAAGTCCATTTGCGGCTGAACCGCGGGCAAGCCCCGCACGTTCAAATCTGACGGGTTACCGGTCGGCTGGCCGGAGGGTTGTAGTTCCTTATCGTCTTTGTCTTTTAACTCTTCGGGCAAATTCGGGTAAGTGTCTTCGTCCCCAAAAGTCCTCTTCACCAGGGAAATCTCCCGGTTCACGAGAACCTTCAACAACGCGTGAAGGGTTGGGACTTCCTTCAGCAAGCCCTCCTCTAAATTCACGAAGTCCCTGCGGAGCTTCTTCGCCTCGTACCCCGTGCCGAACAAAGCGTTGATCCCGTAGTTGGTGGAAGCGCAGAGTCCGTCGACGTTCGAAACGTCATCCCCTACCACCGCCTTCAGAATCGCTTCCACCTTGTTCAGATTATTCCGCAACGCGGCGTAGTGCATCTTCTCGCTGTCAATCAGCTCCGACAACTGGTTTTGCAACCGCATCCCCCGCAGCCGGAACTTCAAAATCCGGTCCTCAAAGTCCGGGTTCAATTTCTCGTTCTTCGCAGGCCGCCGGAGAATCTCCCTCGCAAACGGCTGCATCGTGTAGATCAAGGCCTCGGCGATCGTGTCGACCCAGATTTGATCCGGAACGGAAAGCTGAATTCCGTGGAAATCGCCCATCTCTTCGCCATTCGACTGCTCGAGCGACTGCAGCGCGTAGTTCTCCGCGGCGGAGGAAGATTTTTGCATGTCGGCGGCGATCGCGTCGGAGTCCAAGATCAAACTCGGCATCTGGTAGTACCGCCTCTGCTCGTAGCGTGGCAATTTGAAGAAGTCCACCTGGTAGATCGACCGCAAAAAGGATTTTTCCTGCCGCCCACCCAAGGTGCCCGTCATCCCGAACATCCAGGCGTATTTCTTCAGAAAGCCCATGTTGCTGTCAAAGTACGCTTTTAACCCGAGTGGTTCCAACTTCCCCAAGTGCTTCAACTGCAAAAACTGGTGCAGACCGTTGGACCACCGGGTCGAGGGGTTCTCCTGGCCCGTGTCCTTCTCCATGGGCAAGACCTTGTCGTTGTACTCGGATCCGGCAACCGCCTTCTCCTTTTCCTTCACCTTGTCGTTCGGATTCACAATCATCGGCACTGGGGTGCGGGCGCGCTTCTTGTAGCTGCCGGACACCTTGTCGTACCCCTTGGTGCTCATGGCCGTCCGCGCGCGGGACAGCTCCTTGTTCAAATCTTCCCGCGTATCCTCTGCAAAAGTATAATCGCACTCGTATTGTTTGCAGAATCATGCACTACAAATCTTTTTCTGAAGGTAAATCAGCATTACAAATTTCATTTCTCATCCTGAGGGAATTTGTCATGCATTTGTAGGAGTACGATCCTTTTGCAGTTCATACTGCGTCGGGGCCATCAGTTCGTTCCAGTGCTTCCCCGCGCCGGAGGGGAACAGGTAGTCGTTTGACTCGGTCAAGGAGAGGGCGAAAAACGCGTTTTCGACCAGAACGCGGATCTGCCGGGGGTTTAGCATCATCTTCCTCAGCAACTCGTTCCCTAACGGAATCTGGAACCGGTTCCTGCGGATTTCGTCCAAGACTTGCTCGGTCATCTGGTCCATCAGCACGTCGTCCTCCCACGGGTCTTTGCCCATCAGCTCGGTGTCGTAGGGGATCTCGTTCGCCATCTCCCAGATGCGGACGACTATAAATTGCAAAAATATCGCACGTCGTGTAAATGCATATACAAATTTCCTCAGCATGACAAATGTAATTTGTAGTGCGAATTTACCTTAACAAAAGGATTTGCAATGCATGATTGCACAATACGAGTACGATACTTTTGCACAGGATAACGACCACAGGTGCGCAATACTCCAGATCGTCGACCTCGTGGGAAATGTAGAGAGACTTGTCCGCGTTGTCGATGGTCAGACTGTCGACCTCGTCAATCACGGTGACCAGTTCCACCGACATTTTTTCCTTCGCGGGCACCATGTTGTCGCGGATCTTCTGCTTGTCGTACTCGGACAGCAAAAAGTCCCGCTCGTACGCTCCGATTTCCCCGTAAATGATATCCGTTTCCAGGTACATAAAGTGCCGGGCTTTGGTGTGCTTCTCGTACATATCCTTCGCGTTAGAGTTTGCCTTGATCCCGGTGGTGTCGTAGAAAACGGACCACTCTTCATACTATCATGTGCAAAAACGTCCCAGTTTATTTTCTGAGATGGGAAAAAATCTTCTGCTTCTGCTAGACAACTCAACTAACAGGTCTTGGTTGTTGCTCATGGCACCAGCTTTATTCGGCTCGCGATGTACTAGCCGTGCATAGCTAGCTAGCGCTGAGCAGCAACACAGATCAAGCATCTCATGCTGATTGAGGCACCACAAACTCGTCCAAAACAACGAGAAAATTATACCTCTCATGGGGCTGCGCATGAGAAACATTTTAGGCATGCAGATATGCATGCCAGCTCTGGTACTCAAAATCTTTGGGACGTTTTTACCATGGATACATACTGGGTCTTCGCCAACACCCGGTTACTGGTCATCATGTCCACCTTGAATTTCTTGCTCGCGGGATCCTGAGTAAAAACGTACCCACACCAGAGTCAAAATGGGAAAACTGCTAGACAAATCATCCAGCTTTGGTTATTCCGCATGACAAGTTTGCCCTCGTAGTGTAATCCAGTTTAGCTAGTTCCGAAGCATCACAGATCTAGCACATCATGCCGATTCTAGCATCACAAATTCCAAAACACGACTAGAAAACGGCTCTCATGGGGCTCCGCAAGAGAAACGTTTTTGGCATGCAGATTTACATGACAACTCTGGGGTGGGGACGTTTTTCCTCAAAATATGCGGCTAAAGCGACCGAGAGCAGGGCGACGACGTGCGACTTGCCCTCACCGGTCTCCACCTGCCCCAAGCGGCCGCGGTTCGTCGTTTGCGTCTTCACCGCGTGCCGGTCACTTGCGAGATCGGACAACGGGCAAGTCAAGCACAACTCTTTGTTGTCGTTGTCCGTGACCGGGCCGCGCTTCGGCTCGTTTTGCTTTGAGGGTAAAGCCTCTTCCTTCATCAATTTTTCCACCCGCTTCATGATCTTCTCCTGCTGGTCCGTGGTACTAGACGCAGAAATATCACATGTAAAAATGTCTGGGTCTGGAAACTTGTGATGCTGTGTGGCGTATCATGAGGAGGCCACAGTTGAGGGCTCAGCATGACAAGTTTCTGAGCTTCTAGATGTTGCCTATTCTGCATGACAAACTACGTTTCTGCATGACAGAAAAGTGGGGCTCTTTGGTAATGTGCATGACAGATTCAAGAGTCATGCCAGAAAAGCATGACAAACTTGCATTCTTCCAGATCCAGACATTTTTGCATTTCATAAGAAAAGCCTGTGTCGTCATCCAACATTTCCTGGTCGGATTCCGATTTCGACTTCCCGAACGCGTTATCAAATGTAAAAATGTCTGGGTCTGGAAGAATGCAACTTGTGATGCTGCATTTGGATTGCAAGAAAATCTGTATTGCATCAGTACTAAAGGAAATGCAATTTTTGCTACGCTGAGAAGGCATTTGTCATGCGGAAGAAGCATCAGAAAGCCCTCAGAAAATCTGTATTGCTAGGGTATGCATCACAGACATCATGGCTCATGCAAAACGTGCATGCCAAGTGTCAGAATCTTCCAGACCCAGACATTTTTACACTTGATACGCGTCCAAAAACATGATGACGGCGATCACCTGCACGTCCCGCGCAAACATGTCTCTCGAGAGCAGCAAAGCCCGCTGCATCACGGCAACTAACGTGTGGAAGTGCGGCTTGCGCCAGTCGTAGATCCTCGCTGGGTCTTTGTCGATCATTTCGACCCCGAAGGACCGGATCCACTGCTGGATGTCCTCACTGTTCCACTCGCAAATCGGCTTCTGGTCCGAGATATCAAATGTAAAAATATCTGGGCCTGGAAACTTGTGATGCTGTGTGGCGTATCATGAGGAGGCCACAATTGCTGGCTCAGCATGACAAGTTTCAGAGCTTCTAGGTGTTGCCTATTTTGCATGACAACCTACGTTTCTGCATGACAGAAAAGTGGGGCTCTTTGGTAATGTGCATGACAGATTTAAGAGTCATGCCAGACAAGCATGACAAACTTGCATTCTTCCAGACGGAGACATTTTTACACTTGATACGAGATCAACTCCTCCAGTGCCGGGTTGTCGTTGAAATACACCCGGTATCACCTGCAAAAATGTCTGGGTCTGGAAGGATGCAAGGTTTGTCATGCACAGTTTGCATGAGTCTTGACGTTTGTGATGCATGCCCTAGCATCACAGAGTTTGTGAGGGCTTCCTGATGCCTATACCGCATGAGAAATGCCCTCTCGCCGTGGCAAAAACTGGACCTCCTTTACTGTTCACGCAATACAGATTTTTGTAGTATCCAAATGCAGCATCACAAGTTCCACTCTTCCAGACCCAGACATATTTGCAATGCATACCTGGCTTTGCGGCTTCGAGTTCTTCAACAGCTGCTCTTCGAAGGGAACTGCAGGGGCGTTGCTTTCACCGCCCGAAGTAGCGGCTGCAACCGTGTTTCTGCTACTTTGGATCGACGGCGCGGGTAAGTAATACTGCAAGTGGATTTGCGACAGCGCGTCGGACAGTCTCTTCTGAAACACGTTCTTCTTCGCGGTCGACAACATCGGGTCCGGGCCGGCTTTCACCTTCAAATGCTATCCAGGGAGTAAAGGGCTACAGTTCTTACCCGTTTCCGTTTGTAGTGAATGCAGCATCTTCACAAAGTTGCCTTGCATGACAGAGAAAACTTGCAATGCTGAGATCATATGGCAACACACAACTGAAACGAGGCTCGCAAGAATCTTGCGCATGACAGAGGTTGTTTGCCTTGCATGCTTTGCAACACAGTGTGGAACTACTGCAGCTGCCCTTTTTTCTTTGCATAAATGCCGCGAGTTCGTCAATTCCTTCCGATATTCTTCCTCGGCGTCCTTCTGCGCCGCCTCTTGCCTGAGCTCAAACTCGAGCCGATATCACTATGAAAAATCCCCCCTCCCCATATCAAAATGGAAACTTCTGATGCTGATTTGCGTACACAAATCAGCTTTGTATTGCAGAGAGGCACTCGGGGAAAGCTCCAGGCTGGATAGGGGCGTATGTGTCTAGTTGTTCAGCATGGCAAACGGCTCCCCTTTAGGCCCAAGAGCATGACAAATCGCTTCCATAATGGGGCGAAAGCTCCTACCCTTGTCTACTTGCAAGACGAATATGATTTGTGACCTCAAATCAGCAACACAAATTTTCGAAGTCATACATTTTCAATAGAGGGGGGCGAATTTTCCTTTCAATAGCCGACTGTCGTTCCACACGTTGCTATCTCCGATGCGCTGCACGAGCGTTATGGATGTGTCAGGATCGAAATCGACAAAATCGAAATAAAACTTGTGATGCACAAAATCGATACCAGTTGGAGCCTCTGTGTCCGAGTGGCGCATAACAAATTTTGGGAGCATCAAAATCCAGTCTCTCATGCTGTTTGGGCAAAGAAGACTGCGCCTGTCATGCTATTCTGGCAGTACATCTTTAGGGCTAAACAGGCTTGCAATCGGTCTCATGTGCCTCCTCTCCAACACAAGCCTTCTGCGCCCTACATTTTATGCATTACAAATTTTTCGATTTTGTCAATTTCGATTCTGACACTTCCATAAGCGTTTGCCGCGCCGCGTCCCCGGCGGAGGTCTTGTGCGTGGAGCAGTACTTTCTCAAGGTGGCCTTCAATAATGCGATCTCGTTCTTTTCCATCTCCTTGATAAAAGCCTGCGCATCCGAGAACGATTTCGCCTCCAAGGTTTTCACCATTTGCTCCTGCTCCTGGTTCGTGAATTCGCCCAGCCGCTCCATCTGCGCGGCCTCAATGTCCACCCCCTGCTGCATGAATTGGCTCGGCATCACACGCAGCGCGTCCGGAACATCTTTCCCCCCGCCCATGGCGTTGTCCCGCAGCGTCTGCAGCTGCCGGATCTTCCCGACCTTC